CCCTTATGGCAGAAAACGAAGAGGAACTAAAAAGCCTCTTGATGAAAGTGAAAGAGGAGAGTGAAAAAGTAGGCTTAAAGCTCAACATTCAGGAAACTAGGATCATGGCATCTGGTCCCGTCACTTCATGGGAAATAGATGGGGAAATGGTGTCAGACTTTACTTTTTTGGGCTCCAAAATGGTGCAGATGGTGATTGCAGCCATGAAATTAAAAGACACTTACTCCTTGGAAGGAAAGTTATGGCCAACCGAGACAGCATATTAAAAAGCAGAGACATTACTTAGCCAACAAAGGTCCGTCTAGTCAAGGCTATGATTTTTCCAATGGTCTTGTTGGATGTGAGAGTTGGACTGTGAAGAAGCTGAGCACCAAAGAATTGATGCTTTTGAACTGTGGTGTTGGAGAAGACTCTTGAGAGTCCCTTGGACCACAAGGAGATCCAACCAGTCCATCCTAAAGGAGATCAGTCCTGGGTGTTCATTGGAAGGACTAATGCTGAAGCTGAAACTCCAATACTTTGGCCACCTCATGCGAAGAGTTGACTCACTGAAAAAGACCCTGATGCTGGGAGGGATTGGGGGCAGGAGGAGAAGGTGACGACAGAGGATGAGATGGCTGGATGGCATCACCGACTCGATGGGCATGAGTTTGAGTAAACTCCGGGAGTTGGTGATGGATAGGGAGGCTTGGCGTGCTATGATTCATGGCATCGCAAAGAGTCGGACACGACTGAACTGAACTGATAGTAGTTTTCTACTGCTGCACAAAAGTTTACCACATATTCAGTGGCTTAAAATAACAGCCATTTAATCATCAAAAAATTTACAAACAAATGCTGGAGAGGGTGTGGACAGAAGGAAACTCTCCTCCATTGTTGGTGGGAATGTAAATTGGTATAACCACTATGGAGAACAGTATGGAGGTTCCTTAAGAACTAAAAACAGAGGTATCATATGACCCTGCACTCCCACTCCTGGGCATGTATCTGGAAAAAAACATGATCCGAAAGGATACATGCACCCAAATGTTCATTGCAGCCCTGTTTACAAGAGCCAAGACATGGAAGCAACCTAAGTGTCCATCAACAGAGGAATGGATACAGAAGATGTGGCACATATATAAATGGAATATTACTCAACCATTATAAAGAATGAAATAATGTCATTTGCAGCAGCATGAAGGACCTAGAGTGTCATACTGAGTGAAGTCAGAGAAAGAGAAATAGCATATGACATCGCTGATATGTGGAATCTAAAAAGAAATGATATAAATGAACTCACTTACACAATAGAAAGAGACTCACAGACTTAGAAAAAGAACTTATAGTTGCCCATTTGGGGAAGGGATAATTAGGGAGTTTGGGAAGGTTATGTATACATTGCTATACTCAAAATGGATAACCAACAAGAACCAGGTGCATAGCACATGGAACTTGACTCAATATCTTGTGCCAGCCTGGATGGGAAGGGGGTTTGGGAGAGAATGCGTGTGGGCTTAGTCGCTCAGTCATGTCCAACTCTGAGGTCCCATGGACTATAGCCCACCCAGCTCCTCTGTCTATGGGGATAATCCAGGCAAGAATACTGGAGTGGGGGGGTGGGTTGCCATTTCCTTCACCAGAAAATCTTTCCGATCCAGGGATGGAACCCGTGTCTCTTATTTTCCTGCACTGGTAGGAGGGTTCTTTACCACTACAGCCACCTGCGTGGATACATGTATATGTATGACTGAGTCCCTTTGCTGTTCACCAGAAACCATTACAAGACTGGCAATCAGCTATACCCCAATACAAAATAAACAACCTAAAGTATGAAAAGAAAAACCCAGCCATTTATCAGTCTGTAGGCTGGGATTCTCGGCAGAGCATGGCTAGGTTCTCTGCTCAGGGTCTCACCAGGTGTGCCCGTTGCCAGAGGAATTCAGTTCTTTGTGGCTCCAGGGCTCTGGTCTGCCTCTCCTCACTGGCAGTCAGCTGGGGATGCACTCAGCTCCTAGAGGCTGCCTACATTCCCTGCCAGGTGGCCATTCCACGCTCCAAGTCAGCCAGAGAGAATCTCCCTCACGTCAAATGCCACTCACACTTTCGATCTCTGACTTTCTCTGTCTCTGACTAACAGACCCAGATTCAAATGGCTCTTATGAGAGAGAAGACACTCAGAAGAGGAGGAGGCAATGTTACCCCAGAGTCTAGAGTAATATGGCCACAAGCCTAGGTATGGAAGATGAAAGAGGCTGAATTTTGGACTTTTAGCCTCCAGAACTGTGAGAAAATAAATTTCTGTTGTCTTAAGTCAAAAACAAAACACCTCATGTGATCAGGTCAGGCCCACTTAGAGAATCTCCCCATGTTAAGGGGAACTGATTTGGGACCTTAATCTTATCTTCAAACTCCCTTTCGTCATATAATCAAGGGAGTGATATTTAATCAAATTCATGCGTTCTGCCCACACTTGAGGGGAGATTATGCAAGATTATGCCTAAAACACAGCTTCTGTTTGATGTGCCTTACACATCTTCTTAGGCACCGTGCTGTGAGGAAGCACAAGTGGCTTTAATAGTCCCAGCTGAGCTCCCAGTAACAACTGGTATCAACTTGCCTGCCTTGTTAGGGAACCATTTTAAAGTGGATCTTCCAGCCCCAAACTGAGCTGCCTCAGGTGGATCAGATAAGCTGGCTCTATTTAGTCTCACCCAAATTGAAAATATCTGAGTGCAATAAAAGATTGTTGTTCTAAGCCACTATATTTTGGGGTGATTTGTTACACAGTAATGGGTAATCAAAACCAAGTAGCAACCTATGGGAGATGATCTCCAAATACTGGTAGCTTCTAATGGACAAGGTGTGGCAACTTACATTTATTTTAGGACACCGGAGCATCTGGCAGTGTAGACCTAAAATGTCATTCCATTCATGGTTTGCTGATTTATTAATTCCAATTTATAATGAATTGACTCACACCAGTATATCAGTCATCCATATGTGGAAGCCCAGCACTTTAAAAGGGTTATGTAAAAATAATGTTGTTTTCCTTTTGAACAATGGTTATACTGTGTATTTTAAAACTATATCTGTAAAACATCTGCGATGTAAATGAACACATAATGAATGTATTAATTTTTTAAAGTATAATGGGCTCGTTATAAATCACTGCGTGTATGCTCACCTGCTAAGTCATGTTCGACTCTATGACTTCATGGACTGTAGCCCGTCAGGCTCCTCTGTCCAGGGGATTCTCCAGGCAGGAATACTGGAGTGGGTTGCCACTACCTCCTCCAAGAGATCTTTCTGACCCAGGGATCAAACCAGTGTCTCCTGCATTGCAGGCAGATTCTTTACCACTGAGCCACCTGGGATGCCCTATAAATCATTATGTAAGTACAGACTATACAGTCCATGGAATTCTCCAGGCCAGAATGCTGGAGTGGGTAGCCTTTCCCTTCTCAGGGGATCATCCCAACCCAGGGATCAAACCCGGGTCTCCAGCACTGCAGGCGGATTCTTTACCAACTGAGCTATCAGGGAAGCCCATAAAATGAAAGTCACTCAGTTGTGTCTGACTTTTTCCGACTGTATAGTCCATGGAATTCTTCAGGCCACAATACTGGAATAGGTATTCATTCCCTTCTATAGGGGATCTTCCCAACCCAGGGATCGAACCCAGGTCTCCCGCATTGCAGGAAGATTCTTTACCAGCTGAGCCACCAGGGAAGCCCATTAATATTTCAATGTTTTCTTAATTACTTTTCAACTCATCATTGTTACTGCAAAAAGTAGAAAACACTGGGAAGACCACCATCAGCTTTGTCATTAAGAATTTTCATCAATGGATATTAACTATTATGTGAAAGACTTGGGAGAAGAGAATATTCATCCACTCTCAAAGAGGCTCCAGAGAGAGGAAAAGGTACCTTTATAATGGAGAAACCTGACAGACAATTCCTTAACCACATGATCAAACTCACTGTCACCAATGATGGAAACAAATAATATCAGGTGCCTCCCATTGTAATGCATTAAAGACAAGCACACCTGTGTAGTATTCTTACCAAAAAACATTCCATTTAAATTTAATTAAGACAAAACAGACATGTCCAAATTAAGGACATTCTGAAAAACCACTGACTTGTACTTTTCAAAAATATCATATCACAAAAGAAAAAAAAAAGCTGGGGAACTCTTCTAGATTAAGGGAGGTTAATCTAAAAAAATATAACTACATGTGAATCTTGAGTGGATCCTGGATTTTCCCCCTCCAACAAGAAAGAAAAAAAACAGCCATAAAATTATTTAAATATGCACTGTTTATTAGACGATAATGCTGTACTAAATGTTAAGCATCTGAGTGGATTATTGTGGTTTGGAGAATGTCCTTGTGAAAAGCCAGAAGCTGAAATATATAGAGGTGAAATATCCGCAGGTAATTCAGGCAAATTGTGCAGAGAAAATTCTGTACTTGGTTGAAGAATTTTGTATCAACATCTAGTTAATGCAGTCCACAGACTAGAGAGAGCAAGCAGGGTTTCCTTTGTACCTGATAAGTGGTAAGCTAGACCACCATCTCCCCCAGCAGCACGTGGAGCACTGAAAAGTTTCAAGTTGCGGCAGCACACCACGGAGGCAAAGACAAGGTTGTACACGCATCTTTGCTTAAACACACTAGTGCGCGTGCAAACATGCATGCAGACTCTACACACTTTACGGCAGTCATGCAAAGGCAAAAAGGCGAGGCCACGCTTCGCGTTCCCAAAGACGGGCATGACAGTGGCACGTGTCCTCTGGCGCACTTTACGGCAGAAACGCAGTCACGAGGGCTGGCCACGCCTCTGCCCGCAAGGGAACACACGACATGTGCAGTCTGGCATGCTTTACGGCTGTCGCGTGTAGGTGCGAGACTTGGGGCTAATGCAGCTTCTGGGTAGGCTGAGGTTCGAGGTTCTACGCCCCACGTCAGTATCTGTTGGCTGTTCATTTGTTGGTGCTCTCAAGTCTTGACGGTCATGGCAGCAGTGGTGGCTCTGTGGCGGAAGGCGATGGAGACCGTGAAGACTAAGGAGTTCCGAGATTACCTGACCAGCACGCACTTCTGGGGCCCAGTGGCCAACTGGGGCCTCCCGCTGGCCGCCTTCAGGGACATGAGGGCATCACCGGACATCATCAGTGGCCGCATGACGACTGCGCTCATCTTCTACTCGATGGCCTTCATGCGCTTCGCCTACCGTGTACAGCCTCGCAACTTGCTGCTGATGGCGTGTCACGGCACCAACATAGTGGCCCAGAGTATGCAGGCGGGCCGCTACCTGATCTACCACTATGGCGGTGGCACCACGGCAGCCACCACTGCTGCTGTCTCTGCCGCCTCTGCCACCTCTGCGGATTCTACTGCAGCTACCACCCCTGCAGCTGAAGACCCTACGGCTGACAGCGACTGCCGGGAGATCATCTACTGTTGTCTAGTGACCTGGGTCTGTGATTGAGTGGCCTGATCCAATCTCTGCAGCTTCCATGCACTGAACTAATCTTCCTAAACAAAAAGTTTTAAAGTTTGGTTTTGACTCTGAAACAGTGCAAATTTGATCAAAAGCTGCAGTTCAGTTAATAAAAAATGGCAAAGAGCACAGAACTGATGCTGTTGAGTACCGTTTATTTCGTGGAGAAATAAAATGGTTTTTAGGTTAGGGTAGATTGGCTAGTCTTCCTCTCTGCGGGGCCTGCAACTCGAGGGTTAATTTATGTAGGGGAGGAAGAGTGAATGAAAAACACTTCAAAGTATTGATTTTTTTTTTTTTAAAAGCTCTCTTGGGAACACGTTTTTGGTACTTGTTTTGGGTGTTCAGGTTTAAATAAGGGTGCTTAGTAGAATATGACTTTAAAAACTTGATATAGCCACAATCTCTTTATACCAATAAATTCAAGGGCTATTTCTACTGAGGTAAATATTTCCAAGTGTGTTTAAATGAATTCAGTGATATCCAGCTTAGACTTTTAAGGTGTACTTAGCAAGAGACCATAGAATCTCTTGGTGACCGAGAACAATGATAGAACCTTCCATGGAAACAAGATAAATAACTCTGAGGTCAGTGGCTGTCAACCCGGAATTCTTGATAAATAGAAAATAAAAACAAGATCATAATCCTTTCCTCTTTTCCTCATGCCTAAAAATGGGGGAAATGGCAGTTTGTAAAACTGGTGAACTTATCGCTCAGTGTTGCATGCTAGCTAGGGTTGGGGGTGAGGGTCAGTGGTCAACAGTATCAGCCCAGGGTATCCCTCTCTAGGAGGACTTCCTAAGTGACTTAGTGGTAAGGAATCCACCTGCCAATGCAGGAGATGCAGAAGACATGGGTTTGATCCCTGGGTGAGGAAGATCCCCTGAAAGAGGAGGAAATGGCAACTGACCAGTATTCTTGCCTGGGAAATCCCAAGGACAGAGGAGCCTGGGGGGCTACAGTAGTCCATGGGGTCTCAAAGAATCAGACATGACTAAGCACACACACATCCATGCTAGTCCATGGGGGGGGAGGGGTCACAAAGAATTGGATATGACTAAGTGCATGCACATGCGCACACGCACACACCCATGCTAGGAATCCTATGAGTGCTCAAGGATTTGCTTAAACCTGGGAGCATGAGGCGGGAAAAAGATAAGGATGGGGTTGTGGGTGTGAGACCATTACCTCTACAGCAGAGGCTGCCCTCTAGAATTTGATCCCAAATCCCCCGAATCCCTTGGGAGAATGCAGAAGGTTCCAAAGTGATCTACTGGGGAACCTCAATTAATGCAAGTGTTCAAAGGTGCTTACACCCTGCTTTTGTCAAAGATTTCAAATGCAAAGACACTGAAAACAACTCTGAAAGCTTCTGAAGACATCAGGTTTTGGACAAGACGGGCACAAGTTTACCTTCTGTGGCATCTACACAACAGTCCTCTTTGGAGGCAGTCTTTGCATTTCACATTTTGCATACAGGGGGGAAAACAAATTCTGGAAAATGACAGCATATGAGTTATCTATTGCTGTGTAACAGATCACCCCCACACTTAGCTTAAAACAACAAATATCTCACACAGAGTTTTGGAAGGTCAGCAATCTGGGAGGGGCTTAAGTGCTTCTGGCTTGGTCTTTCAGCTGTCTGCTGGGGCTGCAGTCTCTGAAAACTTGCCTGGGGCTGGAGGATCCACTTCCAAGCTCATTCACACAGTTGTTTGCAGGAGGCTTCACTTCCTTGTCATGTGGGCCATAGGGCTGCTCACAACATGGCTTCCCCCCAGAGAAGGTGTTCCAAGAGACAGAAAGTCCAAGATGGAAGTTGCAGTCTTTTATAGCTTAACCTGGGAGGTGACATACTATCACTTCAGCTGTCTTTGCTTGGTCACATAGACCAACCTTGGTGCACTATGGGAAGACAACAGAAGGGTAGGGATAGCATGAGGCAGGGATGATTGGGGGCCATCTTGGAGGCTGGCTACCACACACGGTTCTGAAGTAAAAATTTTCATACCTTTCTGAAACTCAGTAGAAAGTAATAAATCATGCAAGATCATTGCCCACCTTCCCCAAAGGAGGTCACAAAATGCTCAGTTTACAGTTGTGCAATCATTACAAACAAGCATATATCATAGAGGATGGTTCTTGAGGAGCAGGAAAGAAGTCTCTGGAAGACGTGGTAGCTTCTAATATTTCAGATAGTTCAGACATACAATAATAAAAAGCAGTTCTAAAAGTTCTGAAATGAATCATAACCTTGGTATCAAGATTTTTATTGAAACTTTAAAGGATTTTCCCCCTTTGCTCTTACATGAGTAGAAATTAATATATTTCTAGATTTGTTTTACAAAGTATATTTTGTAATTTGAGTATTGCATTTCAGTCAAGGGCCACGGTCTGTTGAAGACATATGAGAGCAGGTAGGTTTCTAATTAACCTGGTAAGGGGAAAGGGGGTAATCCCTGCTGATAATTTCCTGTCACTCTACATTTATAATTTAGAAGCCAAAACGGTTAGAGAAAAAAATCCCAAAGATTGCTACGCCTCCATTCTCATGCAAGGCTTCACTTACAGGATCTAATTTGTAGTACGCCCACCCAGCTCAGAGCTCCAACCAAAGGTTGTTGTCTACGATATTAGTGTTTACCGCCATGTAAGTGATTAATACTTTAATAAAAATGCACTCTTCAAATCATTAGGGTAATAATCATTTCATAATCCCCCCAAACTCTCAAAAATAATCCTTTCTGGCCTTGACAATTTGACTTAAAACTGTCTACAGTTCTCTACCATTGCTTTATAAAGCAATAACATTTTCCAAATTGGCAGAGCTCTTTTTCCAAAAGTTTTTCTTACTGACACACTTCGGTTATTTCCCAGAATTGTGGTTTTGTATTGAGTTTAATACATAACGTTTTTCTCTTGAGGTCCTCTGACTTTCCCAGCAAAACCCAAGATAAAATCCAAAGAACTGCCTTATCCTTGCAACTTGAATGCTACAACCATTTTGCTCCTATAATTCTTTCAAAACTATGAACCTTATACCATGTACCAGGGAGAGGTCAGGTGCACATTGCATTGCTGGACCAAAACAAGGCATCTGGAGATGAAACAGCGCTGTGTGGGAAGGAAACCACTTCCTGGGCTTCTCCTGACCCTGACAACTCACAAATGCCCCTGGAGAGGGAGCCAACACCCACAATAATGTAGACCACAATATATTCCAGCAAATGTGACACACAGGTCTTACAGCTTGAGTTTATGTCTAGTATTTTGAAATACAAAATTTTAATGAAAAATTTTCAAAATACAGGAGTGCACATTGTCGTTCAAATTTCATATGGGAGTGTGCCAAGGACAGAAAAGCCAAATTCGACCCCAATTCCTTTCGCAGAGGCGACCTGGGGAAAAAACTTGGGAAAACCTGAAAGCGCCATAATTTTATAGCATGCTATACATTTTTGGGGGCTCCAAAATCACTGCAGATGGTGATTGCAGCCATGAAATTAAAAGACGCTTACTCCTTGGAAGGAAAGTTATGACCAACCTAGATAGCATATTAAAAAGTAGAGATATTACTTTGCCAACAAAGGTCTGTCTAGTCAAGGCTATGGTTTTTCCGGTGGTCATGTGTGGATGTGAGAGTTGGACTGTGAAGAAAGCTGAGCGTCAAAGAATTGATGCTTTTGAACTGTGGTGCTGGAGAAGACTTTTTTTTTTTCATTTATTTTTATTAGTTGGAGGCTAACCACTTTACATCATTGCAGTGGTTTTTGTCATACATTGAAATGAATTAGCCATGGATTTACACGTATTCTCCATCCCGGTCCCCCCTCCCACCTCCCTCTCCACCCGATCCCTCTGGGTCTTCCCAGTGCACCAGGCCCGAGCACTTGTCTCATTCACCCAACCTGGGCTGGTGATCTGTTTCACCCTAGATAATATACGTGTTTCGATGCTGTTCTCTTGAAACATCCCACCCTCGCCTTCTCCCAGAGTCCACAAGTCTGTTCTATACATCGGAGTCTCTTTTTCTGTATTGCATATAGGGTTATCATTACCATCTTTCTAAATTCCATATATATGTGTTAGTATACTGTAATGGTCTTATCTTTCTGGCTTACTTCGCTCTGTATAATGGGCTCCAGTTTCATCCATCTCATTAGAACTGATTCAAATGAATTCTTTTTAATGGCCGAGTAATATTCCATGGTGTATATGTACCACAGCTTCCTCATCCATTCGTCTGCTGATGGGCATCTAGGTTGCTTCCATGTCCTGGCTATTATAAACAGTGCTGCGATGAACATTGGGGTGCACGTGTCTCTTTCAGATCTGGTTTCCTCGGTGTGTAGGCCCAGAAGTGGGATTGCTGGGTCACATGGCAGTTCTATTTCCAGCTTTTTAAGAAATCTCCACACTGTTTTCCATAGTGGCTGTACTAATTTGCATTCTCACCAACAGTGTAAGAGGGTTCCCTTTTCTCCACACCCTCTCCAGCATTTATTGCTTGTAGACTTTTGGATAGCAGCCATCCTGACTGGTGTGTAATGGTACCTCATTGTGGTGGAGAAGACTCTTGAGAGCCCCTTGGACTGCAAGGAGATCCAACCAGTCCATCCTAAAGGAGATCAGTCCTGGGTGTTCACTGGAAGGACTGATGCTGAAGCTGAAACTCCAATACTTGGGCCACCTCATGCGAAGAGTTGACTCATTGGAAAAGACCATGATGCTGGGAGGGATTGGGGGCAGGAGAAGGGGACGACAGAGGATGAGTTGGCTGGATGGCATCACCGACTCGATGGACATGAGTTTGAGTAAACTCCGGGAGTTGGTGATGGACAGGGAGGCCTGGCGTGCTGCGATTCATGGGGTGGCAAAGAGTCAGACACGACTGAGCGACTGAACTGAATGCATTGTTATACATTCTGCTTTTCTATCTATATGTCTTAGACATCATTTCCTATCACAGCATGGCAGCCTTACCTCCTTCTTTTTTAACAGTCATGCAATTCTTGGCAACATGGATGTGCTGTGATTATTTAACTGGTCCTCTCTCCATGGCTGCCTGCCAAGACTGCTGTGAACACCCTTCTGTGCACGCTCTGTGCCCTCATACAGAGATCCAGAAGGTTGATGTCCCTGCACACACACTGTTTGCTTTAAAGCCCCCTCTGGGCATGTCTTCTTTTAAATTAAATGCTGGCCACACCTCGTGGGTCATGGGATCTTAGTCCCCCACATTAGGGATTGAACCTGGGGCTCATGCAGTGAAAGTACTGAGTCCTAACCACTGGACAACCAAGGGAATTCCCTGAATTCATTTAATTCATCAGAGCAGACAATAAATCCAATAAGATGAGAGCTCACGTATCATTGTCCATACTGTAAAAATCTTCACTTTTGCATCTACTTCAGTGCCTGGCATGTGGCTGACACTTGCTAAATGTTTGTTTGGTAGATAAGGAAAAATGAAATAGATACAAGAGGAACGAAATAAAAGTATTCAAAACCCAAAGTTCCTAAGGTGAGAAACCAGATCTTAAATTGGTTAGTGAAGCAAGATTTGATTTGATCCCAAGTTTTGTTACTTTATATCTAGAAACTAGGAAACATTTCATGAAGTTTCTTAGTTTGGTTGGGGGAGGGGAGGTTGCAAGATGAAAGAAAATTGCAACTGTACTACTGAAGTCTTCTAAAGGTATTCCAGGAAATGAAGAGAGAAAGAAAAAGCAAGATTAAAGACCAAATAGTAGCATGAAAGATGAAAGCAGGAAGTTACAGGCATATGTGCATTCATCCAGGTTTTACACCATTACATTCAATGCATTTTAATGTAAGAATACACCAAATATATCCCCCACCCCCATTCCCTAAAAATCACATCCTTGATGGGCAGCTGAGTAAGCAAAGGAGCAGGGCTTCACTTGGGTTGGACTGGAAGCACTTTCTCCAGGCAGTGGGGAATGTGGCAAGCCTGTCCCTGAAGATCCAGGGGCAACATGGGCTAGCTCAGCACCGCTGTGCTTTTGTGCTTAGTCATTCAGTCATGTCCAACTCTTTGCAACCCCATGGACTGCAGCCCACAAGGCTCCTCTTTCCATGGGGATTCTCCAGGCAAGAATACTGGAGTGGGTTGCCATTTCCTCCTCCAGGGGATCTTCCCAACCCAGGGATCAAACTCAGGTCTCCTGCATTGCAGGTGGATTCTTTACCATCTGAGCTACCAGAGAAGCCCAAGAATACTAGAGTGGGTAGCCTATCCCTTCTCCAGGGGATCTTCCCAACCCAGGAATCAAACCAGGGTCTCCTGCATTGCAGGCAGATTCTTTACCAGCCGAGCTATAAGGGAAGCCCATTGGCTTTGGAGATGAGCAGATGTGGGGGAAGGTGAGGGTAAAGCTGATCCCACAGACCACTGCACATAACAGAACAGGGGTTTGCAGTTCAAGAAACAAATAGGACAAAGCGGAAAGTGGATGACTTTTGGGGTAAGAGGAACAGAGTGAATTTGTGAAGTTGCTGAAAGAAAATGATGTCTTTGAACTTCCATAAGAATGTTCAAATTCTCATAACAAAGGACCAGGCTTGGTTAACAATGTAATGAATATTTACATCTATGAATACCTCTACACTATCAGCCAACCCTTCAGTTAAGGAATATTCATGGAGCACCCACGGACCACACCCTGTGCTCAGCACTTGAAATAACTGAACAGAAAGAGCTGTGATACCAGCCTGGGCCCTCCCGCTATGCTGTCAGTCATGTTACTGTATTCTCAGCCCAGCTCTCTGTCTCATTGTCTCAGGCTACCAGAAACGGGTACTCACAGTCTTCTACTAACTGGAAATGCTGGCAAGAAGGAAGGATTTATATCTCAACATCAATACATCACAGCCCACCTGTGGGCATCCTCATGATTGAGACTTTAAGGCAAGGGTATGTGTACCAGTGGGCAGAGAACTCGGCGTGGCCCTTCACAACAGGCCTGGCCGAACACAAGCCTAGTTACTGTTGAAGCAGTTAAGAGTTTTAGGACCAGAAAAGAATGTCACCTTTTAAACAGCAACACAAAATGAAAAACAAAACCTGAAAACAAACCACACACAAAAAAAACCCTGGATGATATCAAGTTTGGTACAAGAGTACCTAATATTTTTTGGTTGGTACAGATAAAAACACCAAGCTTGTGAATGTTAAAAAAAAAAAAATACTCCCGAAGAGTCAAAGAAAAGTCCAGGAAAAGAACACAAATCCCTTTTTGTTTGAGTGGAGTACTCCGGAGAGTTTTTCCTTTGGCCAGAAAAGGATGCCTGAGATGGAAGCCTGGGTGACTTTCATAGAACACGCCTGATCTTTGTGGAAGGTCGACCTAAAATAGAAGAGAACATTTAATTTTCTTCATGAGGGAAAAAAGTAAAACACTGCATACCATTACTTTAATGAGTTTTTCTTATGAAAACTAACAAGTTGCCATTATTAACGTCACAGCTAAGAGCAAGGCATCACTGCTATCATTTTAGGACTGAAGCGCTTTTTGATTGTCATAAAGTTGATTCATGTCAGACTAGCCGAATGACTTCAGGTATACTTGACTAAACAAAGCTGGCAGGGAGTTTATTTTGAATTAGTTCACAGATGTGAGACCTACCAATTAGAAAGAGCACAAAGCTCTGTGTTCTTTCAAATAATAAGGACACAGTGAAACGTCAGATGAGGCTGGGTGTGCTATGGCCTTACCTAAGAGAACAGACATCAAAGAAATGAGGCCATTCAGTCCTTATTTAAACATCATATGCTTAAACTCACCTCAGGCCTTCCCTTCAGGTGTCTGTACCCCAGGTTCCTTTGAATCTGGTTTTAGATGCTGTTGACAGAGGCTGTCTAGCTTCTGCATATCTTCTGTCAGACCATTTCTAAGATCCTCATTGTTTCTTAGAAATTCTTTTACCACTTCCAGTTGGTTTAAGATCTGTATGAAGAAGCCATACAATGCACAGCTTAGCTAATTTTATAGCAGACTTGAAATTCAGATGAAAAACTTACTAGCTCCAAAACTGAGTCCTGCTCCTGTGTCTACCAATAGCTGGTTTTGGGACCACACAAGGGAATGTTTGCTTGTCTCCTTAAAAATTTTTGCTTTTAGGGGTTTATATCCAAAATACATAAAGAACTCATATGATTCAATAGCACAAAAACTACCCAAGTTAAAAATGGACAAAGGACCTGAACAGGCATTTTCCCAAAGAAAACCTACAAATGGCCAACAGGTACATGAAAAGGTGCTCAAGAGCATTAATCATCAGCGAAATCCAAGTTAAGACCACAATGAGGTTATCACCTCACACCTGTTAGAATGGTCATCCTCAAAAAGAGATAACAGATGCTGGTGAAGGTGTGGAGAAAAGGGAACCATGAGCACTCTTGGTAGAAATGTAAATTGGTACAGCCACTTTGGAAAACAACATGGAGGATCTTCAAAAAATTTAAAAAGGAACTACCATATGATTTAGAAATTTGACCTCTGGGAACGTATCTGAAGAAAATGAAAACATCATGCTGAAGAGATATCTACATCTACATGTTAATAGCAGCATAATTCACAATAGCTAAGACAAGGAAACAATGTGAGTGTCCATAAACTTACAAATGGATAAAGAAGATGTGGTACATATACACAATGGAATATTATTTGGCCATAAAAAGATGGAAATCCTATCATTTGAGACAACACGGATGGACCTGGAGGGCATTATGATAAGTTAAATAAGTCAAGCAGAGAGAGACAAATACTCCATGATCTCACTTATATGTGGAATCTAAAACAAAAACAAAAAAAATAAATTCTTATGAAAAGAGATCAGATTTGCAGTTACCAGAGGTGGGAATGGCTAAGTGAGTAAATCTTAACTGTTCTTACCACAAGGTAAAAAACATCTTTTTCCCTTTTTTTGGCATCTATATGAGATGATGTCATATAAATATAAGAAGTCCCCTAGAAAAAATTTTTAAAGATTTTTTTTTTGCTGTAAAACTTCCTGAATAGGTATATACCTATGTGTGTGTGTTTACATATACATATGTATACATATACACAAATATGATATATATGTATATTAAAAAATGAAGCCCTTTCATTTTGAATTTTGTATCCACTTATTATAATTAAATATATACACACACATACATACAAGGGCTTCCCTGGTGGCTCAGTGGTAAAGAATCCACCTGTCAATGCAAGAGATGCACATACATACACATATATGTATGTACACACATATACAAATGTATACACAAATGCATATAAGTGTATACACTCACACATATACAGCTCTTTCAGTTTGAATTTTGTACACATGTATGACTATTAAAAATGTCTACATATGTACATTTATTACTATTCAGTATTTATAAAAATATACATACCTATTCACTAGTAGTAAATATACTGGTATAAAATTCAAAATGAACACAGGGTACAAGGTAAAAAGTTGGTTCTCTGTCACATCCTTTCCCTAGTCACTCAGCTCCTCTTAGAGGTGACCATAGTGTTCTTGTATCTCTTCCAGAGATACTCCATGCATTTACATATGAACACATGTATATATATGTGCACACATTTTTTAAATTCCAGTTTTATTGAGATATAATGGGCACATACACATTTTACAAAAACACAAATGGCAGCATATTAGATGTTATTCAACTGATTTTTTTTCTATATCAGAATATAAAGAGTGGCCTCATTTTTTTAATGTCTGAATAGTTTTTTAGTTATGGATGTTTCATATTTTAACATATTATTTCAAGCCTTCTGCTAAGAGAAATGCTGCTGTAGTAACTAACCTGGGACATGTGTCATTTTGCATAAAGTGACAGGTTATTTGTAGGATCTGCTTTTAGAAGCAGAATGGAGCTTTAATTAATAGAGTTTTCTGTTTTAATGTTAATAGATTTTGCCAAAACTGTCATCTCTAGAGGTTACAGCAATTTAAACTCCCATCAGTAACATACTTCTTGACATTTAAACTTAATAAAAGTGTGTACTCTCAGAATAGTACCACAGATATGTTTTCACTCAGCTTATCCCAGGATACCCTCAACTGGTCACTGTGCTTATTACAAAGAGGAAAGTTATTAACCTTTTGGGGTGTGGTGAATTTTTTTTTAAATGGGAAGGAGGGGAGGACGGGAAGGGACTTGTGGCCAGGATGAACAGGGAGCAAAGCTGAGGTCTTCAGGTAGGTTACTAAGTAGATGGGGATGTTCCCTTCAGCTGGAGCTGGGTTGGTTTTCTTTTTTTTTTTTTTTTCCAATTTATTTTTATTTTTTGGCCATGCATATGTGATCTCAGTTCCCTGACCAGGGAACGAACTCGAGCCCCTGCAGTGGAAGCGCAGAGTCTTAACCACTGAACTACCAGGAAGTCCTAGCTGGAACTGTTTATTACATGGCTAGAAACAAGCCTACAGCCCCTGAAAGACTGTTGTTGCTGTTGTTGTTTAGTCGCTAAGTTGTGTCCAACTCTTCGTGACCCTATGGACTGTAGCCCACCAGGCTCCTCCGTCCATGGGATTTCCCAGGCAAGAATACTGGAGTGGGTTGCCATTTCCTCCTCCAGCATATCTTTCTGACCCAGGGATCAAACCTGCCTCTCCTGCTTGGCAGGTGGATTCTTTACCACTGAGTCACCTGGAAAGCCCTGCCTGAAAGATATGTGTGGTGCTTAGTTGCTCAGTCGTGTCTGACTCTTTGCGACCCCATGGACTGCAGCTGGGCAGGCTCCTCTGTCTTTGGGAATTCTCCACGGAAGAATACTGGAATGGGTTGACATGCCCTCCTCCAGGGCATCTTCCTGACTCAGGAATGGAATCAGGGTTTCCCACGTTGCAGGAGGATTCTTTACCAAATGAGCCACCAGGGAAGCCCCTTAAATAATAAATTTGGAAACCATAAAGATGTGCAATGAAGCTTATATCAATGACATTATTCACAGTGGACATTAGACACTGTGGGTACTGCATTGTTAGTGCTTATTGCCTGTGCCAGGCATTCTAGATGCAGCCCAGGGTCCTTCCCATTACAGCATTCCCATCAGATGCATGATATCATGCCAGCCTGGTCTGTGCACTAAGATGGACTGGGGTCCTCCCTCCCCAGAGACCTTCTCATTTGATGTCCTGAGAGCTATGATCCTTTGTGTTGTCACCTCCTGACCCTCTCTGCTCTTGAAATGTGCTTAAAAGAGATGATTATTTTAGCGTGGGGGGAAGATAAAGACTCAAAAGGATTTTTTTTTTTAATTATTAAGAATGGGGAAGTCTTGTGCACCTTAAGTGGGAAGAGGAAGTAAAGATGGAAAAACTAAGTCCTAGAAAAGTTATGGAATGCAGTTGGATAGACTTGGGTATTGAAACCCAGCTCTGTCACTTAACTAGCTGTGTGACTTTGGGCAAGACTTGACCTCTCTGAGCTTATTTCCATATATGCAAATATAGGATGACCATACATATGCCAACCAGGATTCTTGCAAAGGTTAGATATAATCTACTAAAAGCACATAGCACTACATCTGGTACATTCCTTCCTTCTGACAATCATTTAACAAAAGCATCGTGAGAGTTAAACAGATGACTCAGAAGCTGGAATGAAGACTGCCAAGGAGAATTATCAACAACCTCAGTTATGTAGATGATACCACTGTAATGGCAGAAAGTGAAGAGGAACTAAAGAGCCTCTTGATGAGTATGAAAGAAGAGAGTGAAAAAGCTGGCTTAAAACTCAACACTGAAAAAACTAAGATCATGGATCCAGTCCCATCACTTCATGGCAAACGGATGGGGAAAAAGTGGAAGCAGTGACAGATCATATTTTCTTGGACTCCAAAATCACTGCGGACAGTGACTGTAGCCATGGAATTAAAAGATGCTTGCTCCTTGGAAGAAAAGCTATGACAAACCTAGACAGTGTTATTAAAAAGTGGAGATACCACTTTGCCAACAAAGATCCATACAGTCAAAGTTATGGTTTTTCCAGTAGTCATGTACGAAAGTGAGAAGCGGACCATAAAGAAGGCTCAATGCCGAAGAATTAATGCTTGTGAATTGTGCTGGAGTAGACTCTTGAAAGTCCCTTGGACTGCAAGGAGATCAAACCAGTCAATCCTAAAGGAAATCAATTCTGAATATTCATTAGAAGGACTGGTGTGGAAGCTGAAACTCCAATACTTTGGCCACCTGATGCGAAGAGCTGACTCATCGAAGAGGACCCTGATAGTGGGAAAGAATGAGGGCAGAAGAAGGGGGTGACAGAGGATGAGACGGTTGGATGGCATCATCGACTCAATGGACATGAATCTGAGCAAACTCCGGGAGATAGTGAAAGACAGGGAAGCCTGGCGTGCTGCAGTTCATGGGGTCGCAAAGAGTCGGATGTGACTGTGTGACTGAACAACAATTCTGAGTCTACTATGTGCCTGGTAGGCACTATTCTAGGCCAAAGACGGTTAGTAAGTACATCCATACTCTCAGCATTTAAGCCAAAACCCTTGCACTTGTCTTTGACGCCTTTCCTTCTCTCACACGCCATGTGTGCTCCCCCTTCTCATCGCCTCTACTCTTCACCCTTCCACCCTGGCCCGAACTACCACCTCTCTGACCAGGTAACTAACATCTCCCTAGTTCCATCTTTGGTCCCCGGCCCCGCATTCTCTACATGGCGGCCAGTGTGCTCCTTTTATTGTTCTGCAGCGTTGCTGCCATCTCAGGAGGAAGAGCCTGGGTCCACCCAATGGCTCACAAGGCTTCCCTTCTATCTACTCCTACCACACTCCCCCTATGCTGCTCATATCGCCCTGCCCTCGGCCTGAATGCTCCTCCTCCAGATGTGCCACCTGTCACAGCCCAACACCTGTCCCCATTTGGCCACTCCTGATCCCCACACTCTGCTCCCCACAGTACTTCTCCTCTTTCTAAATGCCTCATCATTACTTATTACATGGACCGTTTACAATCTGTCTCTCCCAAGGGGACCTTTGTTTTGTTCACTGATGCACGTCAAGCTTCTAGAACTGTGCCTGGGACACAGTCAGCACTCACTCATGAACTAAATCTGGACTTTAAGGAATGGAGTGTCAATTACATCCTTTCCCCGCCTGCCTCGACTGCATTCGGTCGCTGTCCTTTCTCCCCAAGCTTCCCTATGAAAGCGGTTCCCCCACCAGGGTTTAAAAAATCAGTAATGATTTTAAAGAACAGACACGTGGACACAGAGGGGTAAGGGGAGGGTGTGATGAATTAGGAGAGCAGGACTGACATATATACACTACCGCATGTAAAACAGATGGCTAGTGGGAAGCTGCTATATAGCACATGGAGCTCAGCTTGGTGCTCTGTGATGACCCAGAGTGGTGGGAAGGGAGAGTGGGGGTGGGAGGGAGGCTCAAGAGGGACAGCAGATATATATACATAGAGCTGATTCATTTCCTAGCACGTTTTCTCATATTTTAACATCTCAAATGAGATTGCACTTTACCATTCATAGCACATGCTTGCGTGCTAAGTTGCTTCAGTTAGGTCCAACTCTTTTCAACCCTATGGACTACAGCCCTCTGGGCTCCTCTGTCCATGGGATTATCTAGGCAAGAATACTGGAGTGGGTTGCCATGGCCTCCTCCAGGGGTCTTCCTGACCCAGGGATCGAATCCGTGTCTCTATGTCTCCTGCATTGGCAGGTGGGTTCTTTACCACTAGCGCCACCTGGGAAGCCCACCATGTATCTTACAGTAAATGAGCAGCATTTTTTTTTCTTTGAAAGTAACTGAATTAGTGATGTATCCTGCAATTCACAGTGTTTTACAGTCACTGAAATTTGGTTTATCAAATCCTCTGACTTTGGAGACTAATCTGAAAGAACGTGAATAATCATACATGGTGCTAAAATTTCAAAAGAGGTCCGTTCCATGCATCGTGGACAGACAACCTACAGCTTCTGAGATAATGTGCCAATCAAGCCAAACTTACATTCTGATCAATTGAAATATCAAAAGAAATGCCACGGTCTACTGAACAGAAAGCATGAAAAATGAGAATTTATCACCCCTATCTAGAGACTTTGGGACCCAGAGGACAAGTCAATTAACCCCAATTTCCTCTCTGTGAAATGGAGATAATGAGGGGTCAAAATTTCCAATTGCTAGCTCCTCGATGACACGACAAGAGACAGGATAACCACTGCGTGGCATGTGTGAAGGCAGGCTCAGGGTCAGAGTGGGGAAACCCCTGGGCCAGCCCTCACGCCCCGGCCCTGAGGCCTCTCACCCCGCAGCACTTGCTCCTCAGAGTTGTGGTAAAGCAGCGGATTGCCAGGGTCCCTTCCCACTCTCAACTGGCAGAGACTCCTGGTTTCAGTGTATTGCTACTGATGCATTTTGCTCTTTGTTACACAAACAGGAAAAGAACTGCAGCTCCCTCAAGGAAGAAGACAGCATTTCTGATGACTTTGAGGTCCATGAGCCTGAGCCCCTGGTTTTCGTCTGTTGGGCGACTTTGGGGGTTAGTTCTAATGGCATTTTCAAATAAAGCCAGATGAAACAGGTGGATTTAGAAAATAGATTTAACAGTCTTATTCATCATCTTAAATACCTATTGTGTGCCATGGTGGGTGTGCCCCTAAACCAGAGGTATCCAGTCCCGGTGCCAAAGGAGCCCATCAAGCTGAGTGAAACACCTGGGTCAAGGTCAGACGCCTTAACAAAGGCGCATGGACCAGTACGGAGCATGGCCTCAAAAAGGAAGTACACACTTTGTATTAAAACATGCTGTGTTTTATACGACAGCCTGGATGGGAGGGGAGTTTGGGGGACAATGCGTGCGTGCTGTCACTTTAGTCACACCCGACTCTTTGTGACCTCACTGACTGTAGCCCGCCAGGCTACTCTGTCCATGGGATTCTCCAGGCAAGAATACTGGAGTGGGTTGCCATGCCCTCCTCCAGGGGATCTTCCTGACCCAGGGATTGAACCTGCGTCTCTGTCTCCCGCATTGGCAGGCGGGATCTTTACCACTAGGGCCACCTGGGAAGCACTTGGGGGAGAACAGATACATGTGTATGTATGGCTGAGGCCCTTTGCTGTTCACCTGAAACTATCATAACATTGTTAATTGGCTATATTCCAACACAAAATAAACAAGTTTAAAAAAAGTAAAGTTCAAAATCAGCCTATTAAAAAAATAAATAGAACATGTTGTGTTTAACGAGGTAATCAGCAAAACTACTTTCCTTGGACAAGGTGGAATGGACAGATAAAATGACCTGTCCAAGATCGCCTGGGAATCTGGAATTCTAATCCAGCAGGCTATTTCTAAACCTTACAACAATATAATTCTATTATTGTTAATTTTTTTTAATACCTTGCCTGTAACAAAGGAGATTCCTAGCTCCTGTACTTGAGACCCTCATTAGCCTGCAGTGTCCAGAGCTAGAACCCTTGTTGATTCTTTAACCTTTGCCACCTCCTGCTGGGTCCAAGAAATCTCACTGGCAACTATAAGTCATCAGCTTGGCCTGGCAATGCCTCCAGAACTTGGCTCCTGCCTCCTGCACACTTCTAGCTTATGTCCTTTTTCTCTCATCCTCACACAACTGCAAGAGCCTCCTGGCTTGTCTTCAACCTCTGATTGCCCTAAGACTTCACTCTGCAAAAGCCATTATCTAATCTATTTCATTTACTCTCTCTTGCTTTAAAACCTCTGTTGGCTGCCAACTGCTTTGGGGGAATAAGGTCCAAACCTCTTAGTGCGGCACAGAAAACCTTTCAAAATGTGGCTCTGCCACAGTCATCAAGACAGTATGGTACTGGCACAAAGACAGAAATATAGATCAATGGAACAGAATAGAAAGCCCAGAGATAAATCCACGAACCTATGGTCACCTTATCTTTGACAAAGGAGGCAAGGATATACAATGGAAAAAAGACAACCTCTTTAACAAGTGGTGCTGGGAAAACTGGTCAACCACCTGTAAAAGAATGAAACTAGAACACTTTCTAACATCATACACAAAAATAAACTCAAAATGGATTAAAGATCTAAATGTAAGACCAGAAACTATAAAACTCCTAGAGGAGAATATAGGCAAAACACTCTCCGACATAAATCACAGCAGGATCCTCTATGACCCACATCCCAGAATTTTAGAAATAAAAGCAAAAATAAACAAATGGGACCTAATGAAACTTAAAAGCTTTTGCACAACAAAGGAAACTATAAGCAAGGTGAAAAGACAGCCCTCAGATTGGGAGAAAATAATAGCAAACGAAGCAACAGACAAAGGATTAATCTCAAAAATATACAAGCAACTCCTCCAGCTCAACTCCAGAAAAATAAATGACCCAATCAAAAAATGGGCCAAAGAACTGAACAGACATTTCTCCAAGGAAGACATACAGATGGCTAACAAACACATGAAAAGATGCTCAACATCACTCATTATCAGAGAAATGCAAATCAAAACCACAATGAGGTACCATTACACACCAGTCAGGATGGCTGCTATCCAAAAGTCTACAAGCAATAAATGCTGGAGAGGGTGTGGAGAAAAGGGAACCCTCTTACACTGTTGGTGGGAATGCAAATTAGTACAGCCACTATGGAAAACAGTGTGAAGATTTCTTAAAAAGCTGGAAATAGAACTGCCATATGACCCAGCAATCCCACTTCTGGGCATACACACCGAGGAAACCAGATCTGAAAGAGACACGTGCACCCCAATGTTCATCGCAGCACTGTTTATCATAGCCAGGACATGGAAGCAACCTAGATGCCCATCAGCAGACGAATGGATGAGGAAGCTGTGGTACATATACACCATGGAATATTACTCAGCCATTAAAAAGAATTCATTTGAATCAGTTCTAATGAGATGGATGAAACTGGAGCCCATTATACAGAGCGAAGTAAGCCAGAAAGATAAAGACCATTACAGTATACTAACACATATATATGGAATTTAGAAAGATGGTAACGATAACCCTATGTGCAAAACAGAAAAAGAGACTCCGATGTATAGAACAGACTTGTGGACTCTGGGAGAAGGCGAGGGTGGGATGTTTCAAGAGAACAGCATCGAAACACGTATATTATCTAGGGTGAAACAGATCACCAGCCCAGGTTGGGTGCATGAGACAAGTGCTCGGGCCTGGTGCACTGGGAAGACCCAGAGGGATCGGGTGGAGAGGGAGGTGGGAGGGGGGACCGGGATGGGGAATACATGTAAATCCATGGCTAATTCATTTCAATGTATGACAAAAACCACTACAATGATGTAAAGTAATTAGCCTCCAACTAATAAAAATAAATGAAAAAAAAAATGTGGCTCTGACTTGCCAGACCACCCTCACACCTGACCACACCTCCCTCCTACACTTGTCTCGTCACTGTCCGGCTCAGGATAGTCTTTCACGTCTTGGCAAGTGCTGTTTCTTCTGCCAAGAACGCCCTTCTGCTCTTGCCAATTTTCCAAACTCTGATTTGATTCTTAGTACCAGTGACGGACAGGGATGCCTGGCTACAGTCCATGGGGCTGCGAACAGTCGGACACGACAGAGCAACTGAACCACCACCACCACCACCACAGCATCTCTCAGCAAAGCTGGTTTTGCAACCCCTTCTCCCCACCTTGACCTGGAGATACTCCCCAGAGCCTGAGGCTCAGGATTCCGTGGTCACCCTTCCTGTGGTTTTCCACTCAGTGGCACATACTAGGCACCCAAGTGTTTGCTGACCAAGTGAAAATATTTAAGGGTACCAGTATTTTATGCCAAAAGAATATTCATGTCTGGAAATTATTTGACTTTTCAATCAGAAACGTAACTGGTGACAAGTTAAAATGAGCTACTCTTCCCTTCTGGGGCCTTTGCTTCGTTTACTCACACAGAGGATATAGTGCTTTTAAAAATTTTTTTTTTACCTCTTCAGGCAACACCTCTTGTTCTTTTACTTGAAGATAGAGCTCTTGAAGTTTTTCCTTTAGTAATTCCATTTCTATCTCGTTTACTTGGCTCTCACTCAGGTAAACTCCTGTGTCACACCCATCTCGCTGATCTTCCTCAGGGATGTAAACAGCCCAGTCAGATGTCAACAGCTGTTGGGTTACCAAACAAATAGATGAACTGAATGGAAAATATATTCCAAAAAAAAAAAAGAATATTCCACTGGGTTACATAAAAGTGAAAGTGAAAGTCGCTCAGTCATGTCCAACTCTTTGCGACCCCATGGACTATACAGTCCATGGAATTCTCCAGGCCAGAATACTGGAGTGGGTAGCCATTCTCTTCTCCAGGGATCTTCCCAACCCAGGAATCGAATCCAGGTCTCCTGCATTGCAGGAGGATTCTTTACCGTCTGAGCTACCAGGGAAGCCCAAGAATACTGGAGTGGGTAGCCTATCCCTTCTCCAGGGGATTTTCCTGACCTAGGAATCGAATCAGGGTCTGCATTGCAGGTGCATGCTTTACCAGCTGACCTACCGGGAAAGAATTTATAATTAAACATTGTTGACTGGATCCATTCTAATATCATCCCGTGACCACAGAAAAGCTGCTCAGATGAATCACAGTTCTGACTTCATGTCAACATGGTGCTCTCTGCTTACATTCTAAAATTTTGTTTAAATCTAATAAGCTTTAAATTCTAAATAAGTGACTCTGAACTGTACTATATGATGATCTTTCATTTTTATCTAGCTTGTTTCACTTTTTCTATTTCATATTCAGTATTCCCATTTCATTTATATTTTCCAATTTCTCCATGTCTTTTTTTTTTATGTTCTTTCTCAAGCTTTGGTATACATATGTATAAATAATATGTATAATATATATATTTTAAGAAAACTTATGAATTTTTGCCTAACTAAAAAATTTATGACATTTTGATTCCACTTGTTTGACTTAGTATGAATAGAATGCTAGATTTCTAATTTAAAAAATAGATATGCAACAAGTAACAAAGGTCTACAGGGAACCACAGTCAATATCTTGTAATAACCTACAATGGAAAGTAATTTAAAAAATAATATACATATATATGTATAACTGAATCACCTTGCTGTGCACCTGAAACACTGTATGTCAACTATACTTCAATCAAATACATATATTAAGAAAAATAAATAAATAAGTGACTGTGGTTCCTTTTACCTCCCCTTAGTTCTTTATGTCAGAAATGCTAAATGTAATTTTTACCTGTTCTATTTGGGAGTATACCGCCACAATCTCCGGGATATTCTTGAATTCATTTAGAAAATTTTGGATCTTCATCTGAAAATCTCGTAGCCATACAGAAGATACTTTCATCTCTGAAGAGTGCATGATCTCGTTACGACACTTAATCACCTACAGAAAGACAAAAAAAAGAGAGAAAAATCTTCAAAATCCAACAGTGGGGTACACTGAGATTTTGGAGCTCCAGAGAAAAATCACAGAAAGGCCTTGTTCATTCTAAAATCCGTAAGTGTGTGGCCTGCAGGTGTTGCCAAGGCTTATTCAACCCCCTGCCATTTGAAGACTAAATTAATCAAGGTAAGAAATATAAACAAGCGTACAACTGTCCCAGTCCTTGAGCTCTTGGGTGAATCTCTCTTACACAATCCTCCAAACGCCCTAACTTAAAAACACTATAAAATTGTAAAGTAATTAGCCTCCAACTAATAAAAATAAATGGGAAAAAAAAACCTGCCAGGGTTTCTGTAGTGGTTCTGTGGTTAAGAATGAGCCTTGCAATGCAGGGGACACTGGTTCCATCCCTGGTCTGGGAAGATCCCACATGCCTCCATGGGGATGGGCATGGGCAGCTGAGCCCATCCCCTACAACTACTGACCCTGCATTCTGGATCCCACAAGCTGAACCCATGCACCACAACTACTGAAGCCCCAGAGCCCACACTCCACAATGAGAGGCCACCACAATGAGAAGCCCGCACACTGTAACTAGAGAGGAGCCCCTGCTTGCTGCAACGAGAGAAAAGCCCACACAGCAACGAAAGCCCAGCAGAGCCAAAAATAAATACATATTTTTTTTTTAAAAACCTGCCAAAGAGCAAGAGTATTGCCTACTGGCTCTGAGAATACCCAAAGGCTGAAGCAGACAATGTAAAAATCTTTTAATATTAATATATAATTCCTGCCCAGTCTTCCACATTCTTGATGAAAAGCTATCAAAGGAGTTAGTTTTGTATTGTGATAGTTTTTGTCTTTGCTGATGGTAAAGGACTCTCAGTCCCTTTGGCTGCTGGCACGCTAGCAAAATATACATGCGTTTCTGCACATATTATGAATAATCTGTGTGTGCCATATATACTTTTTAATGATCCTCAGAGTAACAAATGCACCAGAGCTGTCCTCTGGTGAAACAGAGACAGCTGAAATCTCCCAGAGGATGTCTGACAAGCACAGTGATCTGTTCTGACACTGTTTATCCACTAATGTTTATGTTTTCTTTAGGTCAAGGTAACTTGGTCTTGGGGCTTCCCTGGTGGCTCAGAGGTTAAAGCGTCTGCCTGCAATGTGGGAGACCTGGGTTTGATTCCTGGGTCGGGAAGATCCCCTGGAGAAGGAAATGGCAACCCACTCCAGTATTCTTGCCTGGAGAATCCCATGAACGGAGGAGCCTGGTGGGTTCACGGGGTCGCAGAGAGTCGGATACGACTGAGCGACTTCACTTTACTTCAGCTTGGTCTTGCAACTGTTCACACTTCCCTGGTGACTCAGATGGTAAAAAAACCTGCCTGCAATTTGGGAGACCCAGGTTCAATCCCTGAGTTGGGAAGATCCCCTGGAGAAGGTAATGGCTATCCACTCCAGTATTGCCTGGGAAATTCCATGGACAGAGGAGCCTGGAGGGCTATAGTCCATAGGGTCACAAAGAGTCAGACAGGACTGAATGACTAACACTTTCACTTTCAACTTGGTCTTGCAACTGTTAGCCAGTGAGATTGAGAAGGGCAGGACTCAGATGCTGGCATCCAATGGAGAGAATGATGCATTGCTCTGTATTTGTTTTTTCAATACGGAAAATTACTTTGCCTCAGTTTATGACAGAACAGGGAGAAGAAATCTGAGGTTTGCCAGTTTAGCAACACACAGTACAACAGCAAGTTGTTGTTTAACAACTTGGGAAAGTTCAATCAGGGAGAGCTGAAGGGACAGTCCCCTGCCTGCTTTTACACAGGGGTTTCGGACATCACAGCAGGCACATGTGACGTGAGCGCTGCTAACCTGCTCAGCGATGCCAACAGTGGACCTAAGTCTAACTCCTCTGTGCACCACTGTCTGGGGAAAGGACTGTGAGCTCCACCCATGTGGCTGCTTTAGCAACACAGGGTGTGGTTCCTGCTTGGCGACATCTGCTTGGCAATCTGAGGGTTCTTACCTCTGTGACTTTTCTTCGATCAACCACGAAGTGATCACAGGAGTTGATGAGATTCAGAAGAGCAACCGCGTCACATTCCTCAGGTCCTGTTTTGTCTGCCTGTCCTCGGGGCATGAAGGCCTGCAGCAGGGGAGGCCCAAGAGGCTCACGAGTCTCCTCCAAGCCAAACAGACATCTATCTACACGGGGCTAGTGGGACAAAACTGTTATCTGCCTGTTCCCCCAAGGACGACTGAAACTCTCTTGTTGAGTTTAAATTAGAGCCTCATGAGTCCAAAATGCAAGTCGGGAAACAGTGTGGCAGCCAAGCCTCAGCCCAGGGCAGTAACTGAAGAGCTGCTTTATCTGTCCACCTGCTAGTAGAGACACTTCCACACCTGACCTAACTGTCCTTTCTTAACGGCATATAAGCAGGAGGCAGGGGTAGGAAGCAGGCTTCCCCGGTGGCTCAGTGGTAAAAGAATCTGCCTGCAAAGCAGGAGACTGGGGTTCGAACCCTGGGTTGGGAAGATTCCCCTGGAGAAGAGAACGGTTACCCACTCCAGTGTTCTCGCCTGGAGAATTCCCATGGACAGAAAAGCCTGGCGGGCTACAGCCCACAGGGGGGTGCAAAGAGTCAGACAGGACTGAGCACGCCAAGAAAGAAAGGGGTAGAAAGCAGCCTTTTTTTCCCCCTTAAGTTTCAGTGGCTGAGTTGTAAAGATGATTTCAAACTAATAGTTGCTCCAAAGTGAAAGTTCAGTATGGTGGTAGAATGTGAAGAGTTTGGGCTTTGGAATGTGACAGAGCTGGGCTGCAAAACCCTCTTCGGCCACCTGTCAACTGCGTGACCTTGGGCTAGTTATATATCCTCAGATCCCTCATCAGTAAATGGGGGATAACTGTCCTCATCTACCTTGAAGGATGTTTCAAGAATTAAATGAGTCAATGTGGGTAAAGCATGGTGCCCGGCACATGAGAATACACAGGCCACACATGTTGGTATTTACGATGCTGATGGTGCAAGGTGAGCAGAACCTACACAGGCATTACAGATGGAGTCCCAGGGTGTGAGATACTAGATACAACAGAACCGCCTCATTCTAGCACGATCTTGCCTTTGTTAGGATTTTATGGTGTGGACCCCCAAAATGGTGTTTTAACAAGGCTTGGGTATATTTCTTTCCTGAAATATTTCCAAATTTATGATGAATGCACCAACTTTACCAAGCCATGAAGCTCAAGAGTACATTCCTGCTAAGGGACTAAAAGTGATGACATATGAAAAATGACGCGCAAAAAGAACTCTAAATAAAGAGACCTACTCCCTTGACTACAAACACGTTTCTGGAGGCAGGCAACCAGCCACTTCCTATGGTGCTGCTTGGGGTACTATTTTGAGAAAGGCACATGGCAGGGGCCAACGCCCTGCAAGGAGAGTCAGGGCTCTGCTTCTGATAGTGGTTGAATGACACACCCTGGCCTCACATGACTGAGAATTTGTATACTGTACAGTACATGAAAGTCAAACTGGAAAAAAAAAGAAAAGAAAGTCAAACTGTTACTCAGTTGTGTCCGACTCTGCGACCCCCTGGACTGTAATGGACTATAGCCCTCTAGGCTCCTCTGTCCATGGAAGTCTCCAGAATATCTTTCCGACCCGGGGAACGAACTCATGTCTCCCACATCTCCTGCACTGCAGGTGGATTCTTTACCATCTTAGCCACTAGGGAAGCCCCCGTTACTGTCTCTATCTTAACATGTCCCAACCCACGGAAAGAAGTTGATTATGGATGCTGCAAATGTTAAACAAAAACTTAACTAATGTATCACAGGTCAATTAATTTGAAGAAATGATGAAATGGAGAGGAAACAAAGGAAAGAAATGTGGCTGAGAGGGCCATCCAAAGTGAGAGGGGCCTTAGTTGACTCAAAACCAGGCAGTTTCTCTTGCCCCTTACAAGGTATGTCCAGTCTGGCATTTTCTCACCAAAGGAAACCTGTCTCTCCACATGAAGGTTTTATTCTAGTACTTCTTCCGTTCTTCAGAACCAGAAGCCAATGAGGAGGCTCCCCTGCCTCCTTGCTGCTGACATCTGTTTCTTAAAATGGCATCGACCACTGCTGCCTTCCAAATGAGACAGGCACAGGGTGAGAAACACACCTGACTGCCTCTCACTATCCACTCCTGAAGGGCTTCCCAGGTAGCACACTGCTAAAGAACCTGCCTGCCAATGCGGGAGACATAAGAGACCCGGGTTCGATCCCTGGGTTGGGAAGATTCCTCCAGAGGAGGGCATGGCAACCCACTCCAATATTCTTGCCTAGAGAATCCCATGGACAGAGGAGCCTGGTGGGCTACAGTCCATGGGTTCGTAAAGAGTCAGACATGATTTAGCATGCATGCATGGACCCCCTTCTGTCTCTTCACTGAGTAGTAGGAGAAGAGGTTGGAGAAATACACAGGGGCCAGAACATGCTGGGCCTTACTGGCCTTGACATGGAGTCTGGAGTTTATTCTAAGGACATCAGGAAGCCATCCAAGGATTTGGGGCAAGGGAAGAAAGTGATCTAATTCCCACATGAAGACGGCACATCCTCCATCAAGGGTGAGCAGAACAGCAGAGGCAGCCAGGTGGGAGGCTGGCAGGAGAAAGGGGTTGAGAGCCGTGACCTAGAGAGGGTGAGGAGGAGTCCAAAAGAATCTGCAAGTACAAATAAGAGGGGGAGCGGGGGGAAGAGATGAGGCAAGAATGATTGTAGGTGGTTGGTGGTGGGGCATGGGGACAGCCTGGGAAGGGGAGATGAAGAGTCCAGCTTGAGGAAGTAAGGAAGTGAAAGCGTCATGTAGCAGAGATGGGCTTCCGGAGCACAGAAGAGGGCACAGAGCTGTTCTGTCAGCAGCAATGTAGTATTTAATATCTCACTCCATGGGCCTGAGCAATATCCACCAGGGGAGGAGAAGCACGGGACAGAAGAGGTCCAAGGAAGGCCGACCGACATTCAGAAGAAGCCTGAGGAGGAGGAGTTGGGGGGACAGGAGGATACCTGGAGAGGAATATGTCTCAAGGCCGTGACTGTTTCAAGAAGAGGAGTGGCTGGCAGTGTGGCAGTGCTGAATGTCTGAGAGGTCGGAAGGATGAGGCTGGAGAACTGAAGGTCTTGTGTGCCCCTGATAAGACAGATGCAGTGGAGGGGCAGGGGCGGCGGAAGCCAGGGGGTGGTGGGTTGAAGAGTCAATGGGACTGGGGGAAAAGAGAATTAGGCATAATGCACTTTTTGAGAAGTTCTACTGGGAATACATACGGGAGGCAGTTAGAGAAATGGGAAGACAGCAGGAGGGAATGGATAAGGGGAGCTTTCATTCCTTTCTACAGTTTATTTTCCAAGTGTTTATTCAATTTTTTTTCTTAAAAAAAACAGCTTTACTAAGATGTAATTCATATACTATATAATTCACCCATTTAAAAGTATACAGCTTTTTGCAATGGCATGGATGGACTGTGAGGGCTAAATGAAATGTCACAGAAAGACAAATACCATATGATCTCACTTATATCTGGAACCTAAAATAAACCCCCAAACCCAAGCTCACTGATGCAGAGAAGAGACTGGTGGTTGCCAGAGGTGGGGGAGAGTGGAGGAAGGGGGCAAAATGGGTTAAGCAACAGTTACCAACTTCCAGTTTTAAAATAAGTAAGTCCTGGGGATGTAGTATTTGAAAGTTGCTAAGAGAGTAGGTCTTAAAAGTTTGCATCAGAAGAAAAAAAAAGACTGTAACCACATATGGTAATGGATGTTAACTAGACTTATGATAACCATTTAACAAAACATATATCAAATCATTATGTTGTATGCTTGAAACTAACTACACCTCATTAAAAAAAAATTAAACATTTACAGTTCATTGGTTTTTAGTATATTCAAAGTTGTGCAACCATTGCCACAGTCGATTTTAGGACATTTTCATCACCCCCCAAAAGAAACCCTCTACCCATTAACTATTGCCCCCTCTTCTCCTCCAGGCCCTAGCAACACCAGTCTACTGTCCGCCTCTATAGATTTGCCTATTCTGGACATTGCATATAAATGGAATCATACACTATATGACTGGCTTCTTCCATTTAGCATGTTTTCAAGGTTCAAGAAATGATATAGCATGTATCAGTACTTCATTCCACCCCCATTAGTATCTTGATGTTACAAATACTTAATTTCTTTTTATGGCTAAATAATATTCCATTGTCTGGACAGACCACATTTCGCTTACCCATTCATCAGTTAATGGACATTTGTGTTGTTTCAACCTCTTGGCTGGTGTGTATAGTACTACTTCTGTGAATATCTGTGCACAGGTTTTTGGGCAGCTGTATGTTTCAATTTCACTGGGTACATACCTAAGAATGGCACTGCTAAGTCATATAGTAACTCTACATTTAGTCTCTTTTCTTTTAAAAAACTGAATAAACCAAGGCAATACTAAGACTATTGGTACAGTGATGGGAGTAAGCTGGCAGGTCAGAAGAGTAGATAACTGGAGACTTAAAGTCCTTGGGCAGGTGGGAGGGGATAAGGTCCAACACTCAAGTGGAGGGACAGGGCGTTAAGAGGAGAGATGCCCTTCCTCCTCTGGAGCAGAAGGAAGAAGATGGTGCACATGGAGGTAGGTTGGTAAGTCTGGTAAAAAGACGAGGAAGCACATATCTGCGGCTATCCGTGAACTCCAGGAAGTGGGAGCAAGATTAGAAGCTGGGATCGAGGGTGGAGGGAAAGGCAGTAACAGTTGTCTCCAGGAAACAGCAGCCTATGGAGAGACAGAGCCCAGACGGCAGGGGTTGCGGGGCACGGGTAGAGGGGTGGGGGGTGGCTGGTGATTAAGAACTGAAAGTGAAATTGATCAGCTCCCTCTGAGCTGAAGTACATGATGCTGTCAGGAAGGCTGGAGTTGGGGCCTGGACAGTGCAGAGAAAGGATAATAAAGGCTGAGAAAACTGCAAAGGACTAAACAGAATGATGGACCATGGAATCTGGGCTAGCCGAGGAGACAAAGGACATGGGGAGGGCTAAGGCTGCTGGGGACTGGGAAAGCAGGGGAAACCTCAGAGCTGTGAACATTGTATAGGGACAAGGGGCTAAGCCTGGGGCGGGAGATGTTAACAAGTGTGCTAAGAGTAAGGAGGCTGCTGGACACCACAGCTCCCTGGCTGACACGGCCCCAGATGTGAGCCTGTGAGTGGGAGGCTGAGGTGGATGAAATCAGAGGATGCTCAAGTGGGGAGTCCAGAAACTGAGAAGATGGGCTTGGAAAGGTAACTAAGAATATGCGGTTGGACTAAGTCTGCGGGTGACAGCAATGATGAGGGGAAAGAGTGGCAGAAACAGGTGGTAAGGGCTTCAAGTGGATTCTGAGGGCATGAAAGCAACAGCTGAGGGACCTTCACTCTACACCAGTAAAGGGTAGAGTTTTAAGTCTTCTTCTCTAGGTAAAAGTAGAAGCTGGCAAGTCTATGGCAGCAACAAAGAGAGAGGAAGAGGGTGCGACTGCTCCGTGATAGCCAAAAGTCTGGGGGTCACCGATATAGTCCAATTTCCTCATTTTTGAGGTCAGGGAACAGAGGCTGGCCCAGGGCTACACCGCAGCAACTGAGTGGGGCTTCTGATTCCGGCTTCCCAGGCACCTCCAAAGGTGAATGCAGGTTCGGAGGTGACTTCGACAGGCCCCTCCCACCCCTTACTGCGCTTCTGGCAAATACCAAAAAGTCAAAAAAATTCCTCCATCTGCCCAGCTAGTGAGTCACAGCGCCAAGGCCTGAAAACAGGCCTAATAACCCCCCCCCCCCACCACTTCTATCTTGCTGCCTACCCCACCCCGCCTCCTCAAAGTTTTATGCCTTAGCTGCGCACTTACGGTCTTTTCTATCTTTGCCCCAACTTTCTTTGCCTTATTCTGCCATCTTCATGGCACCCTACAAACAAAACGAGCCGTTCAGGAAGTCCACTCTCATAAACGCCTTGCCTGCTCCTCCCTCTGTGCCGAGGATACTCGCTCCACACCTTGCCCCAGCCACACCTGTTGAAATCTTCTACTTCACCAAGCTGCGCTGGGTCCGATATAACAGCCCTGAACCATCTAGACACTAGATCAAAAACCCACTCTCTCTCTGTCTGAATCCGCTGGTGAGGCTTCAGCGCCCATGGAGACCGGACAGAAGCCCCGGGCTCCAGGTAACGCCTACCTGGCAGGCCAACTCCTCCTACCCTCCCGACCGCAGGTGCTTACCTTGGCCACCTCCCAGGCGTCGACCGGCCAGAGGGCCGGGCGGCAGTTTCCCCAGTGGACGTCTCCATTTCTGTTGGTGTGATGTTTCAAAATCTCCCGTTTCCACTCTGCGCACACCTGACACTGAGGCTGAAACTACAGGGGGCGGCGGTGAGGAGGGGCCCGGGAGGGAGGGGCGGCTCCGGGCTTCGGAGCCTCGGCTAACGCGGTCGGTTCGGCTCCGGGGAGGGCACGAGACACTGCGCCCGGGGAAGGGGACGGGGTGAGGGGCGACGGTCAAGGCCACGGGCCAGGTGCTCACCTGGCGGGCGCGAGGGCTGCACCGCCAGCCGCCGCTGCAGGCGGCGCGGGGGCCCAGGCCGGGGGCGGCGACGAGCAGCCTGCTGTGGAAGGCGAGCACCTCGCGGCCGACGAAGCCCTGCAAACAGCCACGCAGGAGCAACAGACAGTGGCCCGCCTTCACCCAGTTCTTATACTCGGCGCAGTTGAGGCGCACGGCCAGCTCAGAGAGTACCATGTCCAGACCTGGCCGGCGCGGCCAACGGCTGAGGGGCGGGGCGGACTGCCGTGCGCAGGCGCAGAAGCCTGGGAGCGCCGGAGGCGACAGGGGAGCCTTGGGCGTGGCCCCGCCCCCTTCCCGTGACTGGGTGACCTAGTTTCCGGGGCAAGTCGGCCCCACCCCAGTCTTATAAGACCCCGGACACGTAAGTTCTTTGTCTGGTGCTTGCCCACAAAGCCTCCACGTAAAACTGTCTCCCTCTCCAGGCCCGATTTTAGCTCCCCCTCCTTGGGCCTGTGCTCCAGTTTTCTTACTGTAAAGGTGTACACGGTGCGGGGGCTTCCCTGGTGGCTCAGACGGTAAAGCGTCTGCCTGCAGTGTGGGAGACCTGGGTTCGATCCCTGGGTTGGGAAGATCCCCTGGAGAAGGGAATGGCAACCCACCCCAGTACTCTTGCCTGAAAAATCCCATGGACGGAGCAGCCTGGTAGGCTACAGTCCATGGAGTTGCAAAAAGTCGGGCTCGACTGAGACTTCACTTTCCCTTTCTAGACGGTGCTCAAGGCCCAGTTCTGGGATTACATATGTTCCTTGCATTATAAAGTTCTAGAAAGTTTACTTAACTGTATCCTAAACCTGCAGATTGACTGTAGCATATCTGGACATTAGTTAAACTTGACCGCTGGCTGTCTGGACCGCGCACTTGTTATGTGCCTGCTGTGTGCCAAGGTGACACGAAGCTCAAAAACTTCTGCCATTGGGTCACCTAGCAGAGGCAAACAGGACACATCACCTGGATTCTGGAGGGCTGCATCGTCCCAAGTGGGATGAGGAACTTCTTCCACTATGGTTCTGAAGCATCGTTCTGAGATGATGATGATTTTGGTTATATGATACCTGGAGCTCCTTGCATAGGGTAAGCTAAGTTCCAAATCAGTGCTGTAAAGGTCAGAAGGCAGTGGCTTGTCAACTCTAAATGACACGAAGTCATCTCAATTTTAGTTGCTTTTAGTGAGCTTCTTGAGCTTGGAAGACATGTTAAAATTGCATGTAGTCAAAAGGCTCTGAGGGAAGTCTAAACGTTTGAAGTCTTCCCCTGACTTTGTTTCACAGAAGCGTGGCAGTGTTTAGGAGTGCTAGCTTTGACTCAAAATGCTGCTTCTTAGCTGTTTGATCTTAAGCAATGTTGATTTGATCTCAGCAAATTACTTCATTTCTCTGGACCTCAGTTTACTCAGCAGAAAAAGGAGGCCTACCCTGTTGGGTGGTTGTGACAAGTAAGACACTCAAATAGTTAGAATAGTGCCTGGAAATAGTAAGCTCTCAGTAAATATTATTATTTTATATTGACCTAAATGTGCCCTTTCAGTCAGTCATTCCTGGGCAAGATATTTTAACAATTCACTGGCTACCTGAAAATGGAGGCAATTTATAGAAAACTGTGAGCAGATCAGTCTCCTGGAATTGTGCAGCACACAATGCTGGCTAGCCTCTAATTTTTCCTTAAAAACCTCAATATTAAATCCATCCCAAGTAAATTTCAAATCATTTCCTTAGACAAAGTGTCCATTCCCATTAAACCAAAGGAAGAAGGAAATTCCACAGGATACAATGAAATATACATTAATGTTTCTCCTTTCTGTTCCTTAAATTACCTGAATATAAGTTCACTTGTAGTTTCCTGTGTATGATTTTATATCAGGAACACTTTGATGATAGTAAATGACTAAAGTAAAATGTAACAGGTATTTCTTCTGGGGAAGAAACCATGAAAGGAAATTTCTTTTTTATGTTGAAATTGGATACAAATTTATAGTGGCAAAGTTTTATTTCTTGAAGTTATCAAATCAACCATGATCCAAAAAATGACTAACAAACCATTTAGTATCCTTGCTTTACAGGTTACTGTGTTAACTGCAACATAGTAATTAGTGGAATTTAAATTCAAAATCATGTATATTTTAGTTTATGCCTGCACTTAGGTCACTCATTGTTAATTTTCAAACAAAAGGTTCAGCTCTTGCTATTAATAACTTGGTATGTTCTGGTAAAGTTTTCGCTTTCTTCGTAATTCTGAAAATACTTACACATTCTGAAATGGCATTTCAGCAGATGGAAAAAAGATGTGGCAAATCAGGACCAATTTCTTCAAGGTTAAACCAGACTATTCGCCAAAACATCTTCATGAAAATTAACTAGAGAGTTGTTAGTTCTCTGAAACGTGTATAAATTTCATTTATTACTGAAATTACTATAATCACATTGAAACACACTAAAAATCCAAACCATCAATTAGGAAAAACTCCTATGGGTATCCAGTCCCTTTGATTGAACTTAGTTAACAAAAGAGTTATAAAAGACATAGCTTGTGATAAAACTTAAGATCCAAATGCTAAGCATTTTCCAGCTGTAATAAAGTATGTACCAATTCCAAGTATCAAGTATGATAGCAAAATTCTAATTCATGGATTTACTTTTAATAAGCATCAAAACCAAATTCTGTTCACTGAATCCTATCTTACTTTTGATTTGTACAATGCATTCAGAGATGAGTTATTAATAAGCAAAAAAGTATTCACTGAATGCATCATGTTAAAAACGCAATTAATATTTCAAAACCACCCTTAAAAGGGAAACTCTATTAATAAAATTATTTGAGACAATATTATCCTGCAGATAAAAATACATTTCTTGTATACACATGTATATTTCTACATGAAAGAAAGGATTCAACTCCAAATAGAAAAGGGCTGACCCTGGATAAAATCTCAGACTGCCAAACTGACATGATTACCATTGTAAGTTGAACCAAATATAGAAGGATAAAAGCTAAGTTATGGGAAAGATACAAGTTTAGTCACCTGCTTCCGCAAAGTGGCAGAGTTGGGGGTGAGAAGCAGGAAATGAAAGCAGAAATAAGACATAGAAGAAAAGGCAAAGAAGGCCTCAACTCTGACCAGAAATGAATAGAGTCAAGCAAAGCTGAGGACAGATACAACTGCAATGAGATGCCTGAAACTAGAATTTGGTAATTGACAGTCACAGCAGCTCAATTAAATCATCTTAAAGTAGAATTAGACAAAGCATCTAAAATTTCATGGAAAACCAGTAGTACAGTGACCAGACAACTCAGCATGGTATTACCATTTAAGAAACTTTCCCAAATAACATCAAGTCTTCAGAAGACCTTTGCTTTGGATCATTCTCTTTGAAGCTTAAAAAAGTTCTCGACTGACTGGGAGAGGCAGCACATTGCTCCAAAGAAACTGCTGAGATGGGTCAGTAACAGAACCTCCATTTGACCCTGGACAGGCCCTGGGTCTTGGATTCTTCAAGCTGAGTGGACTGTACCAGGTTTCTTCCAAGTAAAACATTTTCTCATTTTGTTGACAATAAATTAAATTGGGATTGTTTAGAACCACCCCAGTTTTGGTGAGAAAGGCAAGGGGAAGAAGTTACTCAAGATAAAGAAACGTCACAGAAATTTCATGCAAGGGTCCAGCATTCAAGTTCTTGGTTTCCTAATGAATGCTGTGTGCAGAAGTATCCTGTAAACTACATTTGCCTAACAGAAAAGTTCCCACATCCTCAGCAGAGAATGACTGCATTATTTTGAATCTTTGATCAATATGAACTACTCACTATCTCTTCTCAAAGACTGAGTTCTTTTTTTTTAATCCAACTCCTACACTGAAAGACAACCAAGGTGCTAAATGTTAACCATCAGTCAAGTTAGGAATGTCTGAAGAAAATAAATTAATCTTGAAACAAATAAGCAGATGTTTTGGTCAAATTTCAGACATATATTATTAGAAATTACTTACTGGCCCCACAAGGTTAAAGATAAAGGGAGGCCGAGAAGTCTACAGAGCTGATATACACACAAGTGAGTGTCACTGTTTTTCTGTCTTTTTTTTTAAACCTAGTTTTATTAAATATTGCTTCTTTGGGGTGTGTTTATAACAACTCCCAGAACATTTTCATGTAAGGATTCAAAGCGGTCATATTAAAATACAGCTTCAATATAAAGTTTATCACAGTTTTACAGTATTCAAAAATGACAGACCTGCCTTAAAAAACAAAACAAAAACCAAAAAATGACTATTACACCCAAAACATAAGAAAACACTTAAATAAACAAGTTTGGCATTTCCGTAACTTTATAGTATAAAACAGAATATTAAACCTATTACTGGCAAACGGACACTGATGTATTACCTAGTTTGAAATGTGTCCCATTTAAACACACTACACAAGTTAGCTATACAAAAGATTGATGGTCTTTTTGATGAAAGAAGTGCACCCTGAAAATTTTTGCCAGTTTAGAATATTTAGCTCTTAAAGTCAAAAAAGTCCTTTTTTTCTTTTTTAAACTGAAGGCTGAATTCAGATTTTTTTTGTTGTTTTGTTTCTTTTTCAGCCTTCCTGGTTTAAAAACAATAGTGTCTATGGACGCCCACCAGGGGGCAGTGTAAGATTAGCCATTAAATCACGAACAGCTGCAAATATTGTGCATTCACCTGCAACAGAGAAAAATGGTCATTAGCTATTCGCAATACAGGAAAGATGATAACACACTGGTGGGGTAGGGGTAGTTAAATCTAAAATTAGTAAGAACTTTAAAGATCAAAACGAAAGACTAAATTTTAACTGCACAGCTTATAGGGGATTAAGCTTTGGTGTTAGGTATTTATTAGATGATACCTGGTTTGGGTTTTTTCATCATGAAGACATTTTGGGCAACTCCCAGTTAGATGTGAATTTAAGCTAATATGCCTAGAGTTTCTCTACAGAAACACTGGAGCATTGGATAAGCCTCTGAAGCTGGACTTCAAGGCTACTGATGACCTGTTCTTGAATCTAACGAAAGATCTAGTTTTATATTTATGCATTAGTTACAACATCAATGACATCCTTCTGCTGTTACATTAAAGGCCAGGTAACTCCTGTGATAGCACTGTCTTAACAGAATCCTCTGTGATGACAGAAATATTCTCTATGTGTGCTGTGGCTACTGAGTACTTGTAATATAGCCAGTGTGACTGAAGAGCTGAATTTTATACTTTTTATCTGATTTTAACTAACTTAAATTTAAATAGCCAAATCTGGAGAGTGGCAGTTATACTGGACAGTGTAGGTCTGTGACATCTATTGGAGTTTTCCCCAAGATTTCAAGGAACTGATCAACTTCTGGAGTTCAATGTTAAAATCAATTAATAAAAGTAAAGTGATTCCTCCTTCACCAGGGGAGGAAGTGATGAGTCTGGGAGGAGGGAAAGGAGGCTAAAATATGGCACACCAACAATCCAAAAACAAGATTTGTGTGTGGGGGGAGGGGGGATTGTAGGAGGTTAATGATTCATCCTCTCAATTTCCCCTTTGCTCCAAGGACCAAAGAGCCTGCGCCTCTTACTTTCTGTATATGTAAATTACAAATAGTTCAATACAGTTGACCAAAACCAGTTGTAAATATGATAAATCCCAAACCTGATCCTTCCCCTGGAGCATGGTCTAACGCTGAGAGGCTGTGAGTGAGGGAAGTGAAGACCTCAACTGAATAATGGCCTTCCAGCAAAGAGCAGGATGTGCAGTGACCCTGTGCAAGTCACTGCAACCTTCTCTCCAACCACTGGCAAATTAAGGTACACACAAAAAAAACCCCCAAAGGTTTAACCAGGCTAAGGTCAAATAAAAGAAAACTACTCCCAAAATATCTCAACAATTTCTTAAATAAAAGAAGTTACATCTTTTTCTTTTTTAAAAACCCATTTTCATTATTGATAGGGAGAAAAACTTGCCTGATCCCAAACAGGATCAAAACATTTGTTCCTTTAAATTTTAAATTCCATGAGACATAATAATGATAGTCATTTGCTTGTGAAGGAATGGTGTTTGTAATCAAGGTTATACTGAAAATATAATACATGCTTTGAAAATGCTGATAGCTTTAAACTTTGATACTGAAGGACCTATTTTGAGCTGAAAGAAGAGGTAAGTCAAAGGATGAAAGCAGGAAATTGTAAGAAGTGGAAGAAGCATTACAACAAAAGCAGCACACCCTTCTCTACTGCCCAGTGCGTTCCTTATAAACTATGCTTTAAGTGAGAACTTGTCTTTGTACACAATATGGGGTAACAAATAGCTGAAAATATAACTTCTCCCATGATCCTGTGTCTAGAAAAATTTTGAAACTGTGGTAATAAAAAATGTTTCAGAGAACAACTTCCCCTCATTTAAAAAAAATGAATTCTGTTATCATACTATTCTAAACAGAAAGATATAGAGGATTTCCTTAATATTAGATATAAGCAAAATGTACTTTAATTTCCTTAATGTTACAAACAAGCAGAATGGAAGGTATGTTCTCTTTGCTGAGCATTATGTTTTATAACCAAAAATTTAGCACTGCCAGGAATTCCAGGTTAAGCATAGGCTACTCCAGTATTGAAGGGACTGTGTTTATATGCCAGAATCATTCTGGTCTCCTTGAAAATGTTCCGTTTGAGAGCTTCACTGTGCACTTGGTGAAAAGGTTCACTTGCACCCACCTGACACTTAGATAAGAAGCCCAAAAAGCAAGATGCCATTTGTATCAGCTTTTATTCTTCACAAAACATTTAGGAGATACAGAAATTTGGATGATATTATTCTAGTCATGACTGAACCATGAAATATGAGAAACCAACATGCATTTCAACTTGGTGATGTACAGAGTGGCAGGTATTGATGGTGGGGCAGGAATTCACAGCCATGGAAAATTCTATCATCCTAACCTAGGGCTTAGTAGCAATGTGTGCTATAAATACAAGCTTCTGGCATTAGCAACTGGGTCAGTCCTAATAGTAAATCATGAACAAAAATAAAGTCCAGGCAGCAGAGACGTGGACAAAGCTGAAGAGCCAGTGAGAGAGGAAGAAAGCGACAGGCAGACATTAACAGGGCCACGGCAACCAGAGCTCTACTACAAGGATTGGAGGGGTGAGGTGGGTAAGGAAGAAGCAGAGGGGAGAAAGGGGGGCCTCTCAGAAGAACGTTTATAACATATATGCAATAAAATATCATCTACTGGTCATGTACCTTGTCGTGGTGGGTTCATCTCTGCAAACCTCTTCAGAATGTTGCTGACCATCATGGGAGCAGCAACAGAAGAGTTCTGCTGCCTGGGAATGTCTGCCTGCTGGGTGGTACCTGAAGCCATGTCATAAATGATTGGAACTATAATACTAACAGGTTCTTGGGGAGGGACTGATGTCTTCTGAGTCAGCTGAAGCTGTTGACATACAGCACATACAAAAGAAAATAAAAACACAGTAAGAAAACAAAATACTTACTGAAAATGATTCAAAGGTACAATCATTTACTCAGATTAAAGATACAACAAGTAAAAGAAAATTAAATATAACAAAAGAAATGACCAACAACTAAATACTATGATTAAGATGCAACTGTGTCACACAATTACCAGGTTCAATATATTTCTTACTACAGAAACCAAGATTACATGAAGTCTAAACTCACACATACACACCAGGTGGTACTTACAAAAAATAGCATTTTGGATTTCAGCACCACAGCAGGTGTCCCAGGAGGTGCAATTGGTGGTGCACTGGGAGGGATCGTCAGGCAAAACTGAACGTTCCATTTTAGCTGTGTTGCCTGGTCAGGAAACTGTTTTGGAAAAAAAAATCATGATAAAATCATATTAATGTTTAATTATACTGCAGTGTAGGAGCCTGAAACTGGAATTTTATACTCACTTATCAATAGATCGTGAAGTTGATAACCTGCATTTTTCAAAGGAAATACACATGTGAAGTTGCTAACTGAAGAGTCAAGCTCTGGATTTATGAGATATATTCCCTTTCCTTCCCTCCCACTTCATTAATCCCCAAGGCCAGTGGGTTCTGCTTCCTTGTTGTCTCTGACATCCATTCCCGCCTCTCTATTTTCACTGATGCCAAGGAGCTGAGGGATCCATAACTTCTCTCATGGCCCCTGTAACGCTCCCTTCTGTTGGCTTCCTCTCCCAGTCTACCCTTACACCACTGCCAGCCAAATGTCCTAGAGCACAGTTCTACTTTAGCTTACAAATTCTCAGTGACACGCAGGGATCCATGCTGCCCCAAGCACCCCCACCCTGCCACCTAGGTACCAACACTGGCATTCAAGGCACTTCCTAACTGGGGCCAGTCTAGACTTCCCAGTTTCATTTCCAACTCCTTCCCTAAAAGCAACTAGTCAAACTGTACTAATCATTTTAAATTATATCTACTGGAGCTTTTTTAGTGACAATATTTACACCTTTAAAAAAATCTCAAATGGATTTTTTTTTTAACATAAATAATGTTTCCTATAGCCTATCAGAGCAGAAGCCAAATGCTGACACTATTAGCAAAGGGACAGTGCCGTCCCAATATTAACAGTAAAACACCAACTGAAAAAAGGAGTGAGGTATTTACAGTTACCCGAAGCAATGCTAGAAACATTAAAATGAAGGACTATTGTAAAACTGGAAAAATAAAATTGGCTTCCACCTGGATTCCAGCTATTTAATTGTATACTTTCATAGGACAGAAGAGGCATTAAAAATTTCCCCAGAGAAGACAGCTTTTTCAGTAAATGGTATTAGGCATGGGAGGATTATTTAATGATCTAAGAACAGGAAGAAGTTATTTTTTTTTTTTTAGGAAGAAGATATTAAATGTATTTGGTTTTGTAAGAGGGAAGTCACTGGTTACTAAGGTTACCTATGGGGAGGAGGACTAGACAGCTGGACAAGGATGGATGTGAAATTTCCCACTGTCTCATTCTAAACTCAAAAGATACAAGAGGATTGTGTTACCTACCCAAAGACAAATAAAATTTAAGTTAAAAATTAGTAAGAATGCAAAAGGAAAATGCAGGTACATAATGGTGAAAACCAACATATGCTCTCCCACCAACTCCAGCCTCCTCTGATTGACCTGGCTAGAAAAGTTTGTCTCTGTAACTTACCAGCTCTAGCTTCATAATATGCACGCAGTCTCTGAGGATGTGTGTAGGAGCTCCTAATAGCTTGGTGAAAGCTATTAATGTATTGGCTTTAAATGGTGGTCCTGCAACCTACAAGGATAAATAAAGCAAGTTAAGTTACTCTTCATTCTACCTTGATTCTATTTCACAGAGTGTATTAAAATTATGCATTAAGAAACACATACTCTCGTTTCAAAGAACTTCTCCAAAACTTGAAGTTCGTCAGGTTTCCACTGTCCTGCATTTTCGGGTGTCACTTTTAGCTGAAGTGTTTGGTTGGTTTTAGGACTAAGAGCTACTCTGCATTTCAGCGCATCAGTCTTAAACATGATCACCCCGGGTTCATTGGAATTTATCAGCTGTAGCTGTGAAACAAGAAGCATGCATCAAATTAACATATGAGGCAATATGTAAGTCAAAGAGAAAATGTAATTATAAGTAGATAATTGTTTCAAAAGGAAAACAACTAAGTTGAGACCTGTTCCAAAACAAAAGTATCTAGGCCTTGAGCACCAGCAACTGCTAACCACATGGCAGAGAGAGAGGTGATCAAACATTATGTGTCTCTTGATGGAAGAACATAACACCACCTATCAAATACTCTTGCAAAACAACCAACTTGAGCCTGAATTCAGTAGTCAGATCCACAGGACTGATCAACATTACAAAAATATGGGTGTCAAAAGAGCATGTCAGGTGATTTCCAAAGGGATGTGATCACCAAGGTCCAGACTGTGAGAAATTCTGAAGGACAAATGATATGGCTTCTTCAACAAATACAAAAAGGACTTAAAAATGTGTATGCATTCAGATTAAGATGGTTAAAAACTGTGACAACTTGGGAAATATGGACACCAACTAGATAGTTGATTATAAAGAAACCATATTTATGATGAAATGATGTCAGGAATTTGCTGTCAAACAATATGAGAGGAGGAGTTATAGATGAAATAATATTAGTGTCAGTTCACCGTTGAAGGTGGGTATGAGAACAGACAGGTTCACTGTATAAGGGAATTATATATTCTATTTCTGTATATGCTTAAAATTGTCCACAATAAATTTTAAAAAATGGTCCATTAGAAAAAAAAGAATAAAAAGTTCAATTACAGAATGTTAGATCTGGATTGGGACTTTATGCTAGCCCAGGATTGGTAAATATAAGTTCTATGGTTTCTGCTGCAACCACCCAATGATGCCATCATAGGTGAAAGCAGCCACAGGTAATAGGCAACTGAATGCGTGTGGCTGTGTTCCAATAAAACTTTACAAAGACAGATGGAGGGCAGGACTTGGCCCCTGTGCACACAAGCAAAATGAGGTTCAAAGGCTTCTTGGCAGAGGTGAGGCTAGATCAGGGGTCTGATGATTGCCATTTTAAATGCTAATTTATTCAACTTATGTTAAAACTTATTTCTTTCAAATTCAAATGTAAAGGTTGCAAAATAGCTTGGTGCCATCTGCTGAGAGGCTATTTTAAGCATTCACCATTCTGACTACCTCATTAACATAAGTTATCAATAACAATAATTATTATAAATAATATATAACTGAATACCAAGACATTATGTAAAGGTTTATATAAAGTTATCTCAACTTCCCACAACTGCTGGGAAATAGGTAGATACTACTATCTATTATTATCAAAAAGGTGAAGAAATTTGCCCAAGCTTATATCAGCCAGTGGCATGTCCTGGCTACAAACTCAGGTAGCCTGATTCTAGAACTGGTGCTCTCAACTCTGAACTATTTCCTAATGGTTATCACCACAGGATACAAGTCTTTCTACAGGAGTTTGAAATCCATTCAATTGCTCATGTATTTATGAAGCAGCTTTCAGGGCTTTTCCCTGGTAGCTCAGCAGTAAAGAATCAGCCTGTCAATGCAGGAGACACAGGTTCAATCCCTGATCCAGAAAGATCCCACATGTCGCAGAGCAGCTAAGCCCGTGTGCCACAACTATTGAGCCTGTGAGCTCGAGTCCGGGAACCACAACTACTGAAGCCCACACAGGCTCCACACACACAAAAGCAGCTTTCATCCTTGTGTGATCAGAAATAACTTTAGGATCACAGATTCAGAGTCAGCCTGCCTGCAGAAGCATTCCAGAAGGCAAGTAATTACTCATGTGCTATTCTCTGCCAAATCAGACCCTGAGTACACTTGTCTCATGGTATAGTGGAGATCTATCTCCAGGTTCATGTTAGCCACAGTACAGCTAATTCTAAAAGAAGCAACTTGTTAATGGAAGAAGGTAAAGAAAACAGTGGATCCACTTTCAATGCTAGGGTGGGGAGAAAGCGTATTTCTAACAAGCAGGTTAAAGGAGGTGAGGGAACAGTTCAGATCCTATTCTGGGAGGCATCTGAGCACTTGACTTGACAATCACCACCCAGGAATTCACCAGGTACCCACATACCGTTTCCTGCTGAATAATTCTTTGAAGGTGGCGTCTCATGATGACTGATCCAAGGAATCTCTCAAGTGGAGAACAAAGGTAACTGCCTGCCAGGCCAGGCACGAGGCCTGGCGTTGGAGAGGGCAGCAGCAAGATGTTCAAGGCACTGTGAGTGAGGATGGTAGGGATGGAGGCTGCCCAGGAGCGCTGAGGTAGTTTACGAGGTGGAGGCATGTTTGTTGGCATCGTTTGGGAACCTTTTGGGAAGGAAAACATCATTATTTTTTTTTAAACAAATGCATACTATCTCACTGTTCCCTGTTTAGCTTTGCTTTTATATAGCAGTCTGTACTGTGTTTGTTACTCCTTGTGGTGTAACAATCACATATAAGCTTCCTTACAGTTACTTTCCTCCTTGCAGCCAGGTCCCCTGCAGTGTGACTTTATGGCAACTCCTTCAAGGAGTGATGTCTACTTCTTTACTTGTATTCTGGGCTCACTCTGTCACTTGCTGTGGCTTACAGAAGGCACTGGAAGTGACACGGTGCCAGCTGTAGGCCTAAGCTTTTACTCACTCTCTTGGAACCCTCTCCAGCCCAGGCGAACAAGCCCAAATTAAGTATGAGACCACACGAAGCAGAGAGAAGCCAGACCCCCGCCAACCCAGGAGCTGACCACAGATGCACAAGTGAGCCCAGCAGAGCCTGGAAGATCATCCAGCTGTGCGCAGCCCAAACTGCCAACCTGCAGAACGGCAAGCTAACATATAATTGCTGCTTTAAGCCACAAAAAGTCATGCGGCAAAAGCTAATGAACATATCTGTACAATTCTTCTGTATTAATCTGCATAACTATGCCAGTTACCTTGAGATTATCTTTCAAGGTCCAGTACTGCAGCTAAGTTAGCAGTCACGACAGAGGTACAAGACTCTCCTCCAATTCTGGAGAGAACATTCCCCTTCTTCTGCCCAACTTTGCAAATTAACTATCATTACAACCAACTTACTAACTGTATAAAAGTTTAAGTTGTTAAGTATCCTTGTTAAGTCATGACTTTCAAATGTGAGGATGGGATAGGATGATTAAAATAGGTCATTTGTTGGTTATCCTAAAAGCTCACATAAAAATGTTGATGACACTCACTTGTTCCAGCTCGAGGGGAATGAGAAGCATCTGGAACTGGAGAATGTAGTGATGGGTTGGCTGGTGACATCCCAGGCATGCGTGTTGCTGGTGAGGGGCCAGACACTTGAGGAGACCCTGGCCAGTTCCCTCCTCGGCCACTTGGTGACACCATGGTGTATGGAGAACTAGGGTCCAGGGTTCCTGCAAAGAAGTAAACAAATGGTTTTCAAAACCTGTATTTTAATACCTGAAAGGTATTTGACAACATTCACATGCTTATACCCTATGTAGTGATAATTTTATTATTTTCTTTCAGAAAGATATGTCACTAAAGCCTGATGCACATGACACATTTGATCTCTACTTGGTATAGTTTTTGTACTTTTTAACATGATACAAAAATTAGAAACATAAAAAAAATATTGAGAAATGATAAAATGTACCTTTACATAAGGTTCAAGATGTATAATACATAAGTCTCCTTTAGACTATATAGGAAATACTATGGTTGAAAAGATAAAAGAGAAAAAAAAAAAACCTCAAAGCTCCATTAAGGGCAGAAATCTTTTATTTTAAACTAACCCTGACAAATTATGTTTTTAATCTATTCAGAGAAGGCTGGAGAGAGGGAATTTTTCATTTTCTTTATTTAGTAAAAGACACAGTAACTAAGAAATGAACCAAGAATCAAGTTTTGAAAGCAGTGACTTCCTGAACAATCTCAAATTAAAATTTCATCCTGCAGATACTTTCAACATATTTATACCCCTTTGTAACCAAATGACAAAATGAGAAAACACTACCATATATCAGAGAGTAAATGTTCCTTACTTAATCTTACAAATCAGTAAGAAAAAACACAAGAATATAGGCAAAAGATAAACTAGCAGGCATAAAATAAAAGACATGAAAAGACTAATGAACATAAGAACTTCACTAATAATCAAAAAAACACACATTGAACAGTAAGATGACATTTTTTACTTATTGAAGTGACTGAGACTTCTTTAAAAATCACAATACCCTGTGCTGCCAATGATGCAGGAAAACAGACATTCTTGTACGATACTAGAGGAAATTGGCACAGCCTTTCAGGTGAGCAATCTGCAATGTTTCAAAAGCTTTAGAATTTCTCAAACCCTGTGAGACAGCAATTCCACTTCTAGGAACTTACCAAAGGAAATAATCCTGTGAGCAGAGAAGACACCACTTTCAGTTGTGAAAAATTAGAAACATTCTAAACGTATCATATTAGGAGAGCAATTAAATCATGGTATGCCCAGACAAGGGGATACTATGAAGCCATTAGTATGATGATACAGAGTTTTTACTAACAGAAATATTCCTGCAAATATTCATAGTAAAGAGTAGAATCACAGGTGCTACCCAGCTGTACAACCTGAGGAAGCTCTTTATGTTCAGAACTGGCATGGGATTCATGATATAGTTAAGTGACAAAAGTAAGGCACTGAACACAGTGTACAGTATGCTGCCATGTACATAAAAGAGAGGGAAAGACCACTCCACATAAAACATCTCTCCAAGAATTCATAAGAAATTAACAGCACTAAATGCCTTTGGGAAGAGGAACTAGGTGGTTTTGGTCAAAGGGAAGGGAAACACCTGACTGGCTACCTCTTCTTTATCTATTTGAACAAATTCAAAATAGAAATTTTGAGTTAAAAAATTCAAGTCTCAAAGCAATATATATGATAGGGTCCCAATTTTTTTTGAGGGGGTGGTGTTTGAGCAGAGAGACAAGATGGGTAGAGAGCAAGCTACAGCAAGAGATTCAGGCAAGCAGGCAAGCAGCAGGTACATGACAGGTCATGTGAGGGGGGGAAAGAGTTCAAAGCAGAGAGACTAACTGGTAGATCTCTTGGTGGTGTTATTAGAAAAAACCTAGTTTTTTCATTCTTTTTTGGGCTGAGCCATACAGCATGTGGGATCTTAGTTTTGAACCTGCGCCCCCTACTGTGGAAGTGCTGAGTCCTAACCACTGGACTGCAGGGGAATTGCCAGGAAAAACATATTTTCTTTTGCTATTTCCCCAATATATAAGTGCTAATTTTGCAAAAAAAAACAAAAAACTTTTATTTCACAAAAACTACTTTCACATCAAACTCTTATGCTCTAACGATTTCTATGTATGGACTCACCATGTGGACTAGCAAAACTGGCCCCTGGTCCTATTGAGATTCCATGCGAGGATGGGGGAGGAGTTGGAACAAATGATGCTGGTGATGGGGCTCTCAAAGCCCCACTCGGGGAGCTGGCAGCATGCAGATTTCCTAATAAAGGAAAATAATTATAGATGATCTTGCAGGACACATATTATGTCCTGACCAAGGACCCCAAGTTAAGACTCTATCTACAGACTAAAGAAACAAGTAGTAAAGCTCCCAGAAGTAGCACAAAGAAAAACTGGAACAATTTCACCACTAAAAGAGAGATCAATTCCATGGGGCCCCAATTCTAGTTCTTCCATTGACTAATGCTTTTAAAAAATATATATATGCAGTGTACCTTTTTATTCATTCATTCACTCATTCACCAAAAAGGCATGAACATCAATGTCATGCCAAGCATTGTTGTAGGTACTTGGGATGCAGCAGTTAACAAGAGACAAAAATTCTTGCCCTCGTGGGAGTTTATATTTCCAGTATAATGAGAAAGACAAATATATGTCAGGCTATGCTAAGTGCTATGGAGAAAAACAGGGCAAGGTAAGGGGGACATATTGTGTGGTGGTGGAGGTAGGTGCTGCTCCTTACATAGAGCAACTTCTTCAAGAAGGGGCTATGTGGGCTGAGACATGAAGTGAAGGATGAGGCATGAGGATATCCAGGGAATAACACACTGAAGGCAAAGAGAGGAGCTAGTGCAAAGGCCCCAACAGTAGCAGCAGTTAAACGTAACAGGGGGAGGCCAGAGTGGCTGGAACAGCGTGAGCAAGGTGGGGAAGGGGAAATGGAAGACAATTAGGTCAGAAAGGTGGGAGGAGGGTCCCAGATTTCACAGGAACTTGTAGGCCACTTTAAGGACTTAGGGTTTACCCTGAAAGAGATGGGAAGCCACTGCAGAATTTGGAGCAGAGGAGTCATGACCTAACTTCTGTTCCCCAAGGATCATTCTAGCTGCTATTGAAAAACAAGACTATAGGGCAGGGGGCGGGAAAACCAGTCAGAGGTAACTGCAATTACCTAGGTAAAGACAGTTAGTGACTCGGGAAAGGGTGAAGGCCGAGACATTGAAAAATGGTTAGGTTCTAGATAAAGTCTGAAGATGGAGCTGACGATATTTGGTAACTGACTGACTGTGGGTATGAGAGAAAGAAGTCCAACACTACTCCTACAGCTTTGGCCCAAGTAACAGGAAGGAAGAAGCTGCCACTTGCTGAAATGGGGTGTCTATGGGAGCAGCCATATAGGGGACAGCTGGAGGGTGTTAGGAATTTAGTTTCAGCTGTGCTGAGTTTCAGATGTTGGTTAAACATCTATCGATACATAGAAATGCTGAACAGATAGCTGGAAAATAACAGGACTCGAGTTTAGGAGAGAGGCCTAGATGGAAATATAAAAAACTGGGAGACATAAGCTTAAGGATGGTGTTTAGCCACAGGACTAACTTTAATTTAGAATTACGAAGGGAAGGGACTATGACTACCAAAACTATGAATGCAACATTAAAATACTTGCTACATTACCATAATTATCCTCAATACCAGCAGTTTTCAAATTCTCCACTATTATGTAAGAGAATTTCATATTTTTAACGTTATATAATACCTAATGCAGTATTAGTTCAATACAGTATCAATTCAACATTAACATATTTACATTCAAGAAATATGTTAATTGACTTAGTTAATCTTTATTTACATATCTAGCTGTGTGACCTGGACAACTGACTTGACTTCTCCATGCCTCATTTTTCCTCTGTTAAATGGGAAATAATAGGACCTATGCCACAGGTTTGCTGTGGAGATTAAATGGGTTAAGTACTTAGAACAGAGCCTGGTGCACAGGAAGCACTATAGAACTGTCTGCTACTGTAATTATTTCAAAATAATCATCTCTCCTTCTATGCGAAACCAGTCTCAACTCACATCCTAGAAACCCCCTCCCCTCAGGGCCTGGGTCCCTGCTTCCCATTCTCTCCCTTGCTCCCCAGCTGCTCCTCCCTAGGCTCCCACACTGTCTACTGTTGGAACTTCACAGGGGCTGAGTCCCCCACCAGCTCAGCCTTCGGGAACCTTCAATGACACAATGATCCAAGTCTTCACCGGGGGTGACACCAACTCCCATGAGCAGGGAAGGGCTCATCTACCCCCAAATCTCATACCAGTCCTCCTTGCTAGCTTGAGCTAGCAGGGCTTGAGTAAGCAGGGTAAGCTTGAGAAGCAGGGCTGTTATTGGGCTCACTGCTGAATCCCCAGCACCCAGCAGCATTAGACACACAGCAAGTGCTTAAAACATACTGTTTTAACATACTGAATTAACAGTTCAATTAAAAGTCTAAATCTGGCATTCTCCAGCAATTTTTACATCGCACTTCATGAGGCTGCCCACAGAGCCATTTTGTTCGTACAAGCAGGTTGTGCCCTGCTTAACTCTGAGGGTGGGGCACCATTCACATACACCGGGGCTCTGTCAGCTCCTTCTGTAAGGGAGCTTTTCTGTAAGCAGTCATTGCAGCAGGAAAGCAGTCACACGCACTACATACATGGGTGTGGTTGTGTTCCAATGAAACTATTTACAAAAGCAGGTGGTGGGTAGGACATGGCCCACAGGCCTGAGTGTGTCAACCTCTGACATAGATCACGCTGTGACACAGACCATGCTGTGATTCCTGGAGTTGCACCATGAGTCTGGTTCTGGGTGACAACCCTGCCCCTTAATTCAAACCTTTTAAAAGTGCTCCTGAATCACAAACACAGATTCCACAACCCTGCAATAATGAATGAATAGCAAATATCTGGCCATAGACTAGCAAAGCATTTCTCTCTGAAGTCTCAGGCTACATGTTGTAGGATTTCTCACTGTATGTGTGTCTATTTGGGATCTGAAAGTTGAATATGACAAAGAGAAGAGTTAGTATCTTACCTGGAGACTGTGTGTGCATCATAGAGGGAGACTGGTTAACTGTGCTGTGGTAAGATGTAGGGGGTGAAGTAAGAGGATAAGCACCTGATGACCCTGGCTGCTTTGGAAATGGCTGAAAAGAAGAAAATTCCTTGTTGGTAAAATGGGCAACCATGTATCAGATGTAGGCATGGCTTTCCCCAATCAAGAGCTACAGTGTTAATTAACATTTACATGTCACTGGTTATCAAATAGGAAAGGTGAAGTGTGAAAATGCCCCAAATTCACACCAGTATTGCAAATTTTAAAAAGCTACCTTTCAAAGTGTTCTAAAAATAGCAACGTCCTCATTCCTTACCTTGCAGTACCACTACTTTATCCCTTAAGATGTTTTTTTTGCTCATTTTATCTACCAAATCACAGATTTATCAGTATTATTTATCTATCATTTCACTGATTCTAAGATCAACTCCCCCCACATTGTAACATCTCTGAAATTATGGTGTGTCTTCCAATTCATGGCATGTTGCAGTCTAACTGGCAGCACTGTTTCAGGCAGTACATAAAAACAGTGCGCCTTACATTGGTGGCATTTTAGAGTTAGTGAAATATGATAGTTCAACCTGATCCCTACTCACCTTCACCTTCATCTCCAGTAACGAAAAACCTAGGACAACATAATTCTTCCTAGTCTATTTTTTTAACTAGAGTATGAGTCACATACAACAAAGCACACAAATGATGAGGATTTATAAATGTAACCGCCACATAAGTCAAGATACTGAAGGACATTACCAGAACCCCAGAGGCCTCCCTCCTTCCAAATCTCTTATAGCCACCCACCTTCTGAATCTCTTATCGCCTCTCAAAAGGCAAGCAGTATTCTGACCTCCATCACTCAAGCTTGGTTTTGCATCTCATATAAATACTGAATGTACTCCATTAGAGTCTGGCTTCTTTTGTTCAACACTATCAGTGAAAACCATTGTTTTGTTGCATGGAGCAACAGCATTTTTCTTTTCTGTGAAGTATTTCAGTGTATTCCAGTTCACTCACTCATTCTTCTTTTGTTGGTTATTTGGGTTGTTTATAATTTTTTGCATAAATAATGTTGCTGTGAACATTCTTGTGTTCTCTAGCCGCACTTCTGTTGCGCATATACCTAAAGTAAAACTGTTAAATCACAGGCATGCATAATGTTCAGCATTAGCACTCTGAATACTGCTAAACACCACTGCAAGGTAGCTGTACCATTTTACATACCATCCATTAGTAAGTGAGAGTTTCAGGGGTCCTGATACCAAATGTTGGCAAGGATTACTAATTTTTTTCCTTAAAGCCATTTTTGTGGGTATGGGGTATTAACTCACCATGGTTTTAATGTACAATTCTGTGATGTCAGATGACAACATTCACCTTTTCTGTGCTTACTGGTCATTTGGACATTATCTTTTATGACCACATGGGTGATCACCCGAAATTATTTTAAGTGCATGAGTCTAAGGTTAATGCTATCTCTGGTACTATTTACTTCCCTTCACTAGAAGCCTCCCCCTGTCTCCCTTTGTCATTATTTTTCCTATGGCTATCTTGGGTCCACCAAGGACCCCCTCACCTTTTAACAAAGTGCAGGCATCTGTAGAACCTGTTAAGTAACACAAATGTGATGCCATGTGCAATATCAGTTAGACATCACCTGTTGCTGCGGTGGTGGTTGGAGTTGTGAGATTAAAGAATCCATCATATCTCCTCCAATGGGAGATGGGGGATTATCATCCTCATTTACAGACCTTCTTCGAGCATCCTGATTGCTGTCAACAAACATATTCAGGAATGTCTATGGATATAAACAGGTAAAATTTAGATTATTTTATCTAACTTTAGTAAGATATTCTTAATCATTTAGAATGTGTTAACAGAAACAAGCATATCATGTCTATCTCTGAAATACAAATTTGACACATGGCCACCATTGTTAGGCCAACCTAGAAGAGATTGTCATCATTTTGAAGGAAAGAGGGAAAACTGAGGAAAATAGTTAAACACAACAATAAAAAAATCTAAGTTAAATGCTGTTATGTGAACAAAAGTTAAAGAAAGAAGTACACCCTGGTCAAAATACTTTATTAATTTCTGAATCAGAAATGTGGCAAAGAATAAAAAGTTGCATGGCAGGCATGTAAACAACTTCAATGACTTGGAAAGTTTCCTACTTAGTGAGAGTTCTCACTTTTTAAGACAGCAAATATGAAAGAGGAAAATTGAAAAAAGAAAGTAAGCCATCTTTTTCCTTTTTATTTTATGCAACAGTCTTGAACTATCAAGAATGGGATAAGGGTATGTTTTATAGACTATGTCATCAAAAATTAGGCGAGGCTAACAGAATTTGTTTCTCAATCACAGATGCTTCTTAATACCCTCTACCTTCCCAATCTTCAAAAATATAGATTATAAGCTTATCAGAATAACTGAGAAGCTTTTAAAGGTACATAGTCTGATTTCTAATTAAAGGTAATAGATTATCCACAATACTCATTTCATCTTCTCTCAACACCCCTCTGAAACTCCTAAAAGAATTTTTTAAGCAAAAGTCACAAAGACAAAAAGAATGGGATAAGAGAGAAACAGCAATAAATTCTAGGAGGCTGCAGAGCAGATGGCTGAATGGTAACTGAACTATCCAATGTGAGGAAGTCGTTTCCTAAGCAAGCAGTGGGGAAAGCCAAGAAGCAAAGCTATTTCCACACAGATCTCCAAGATACACAGGAACTGACAGCATCAGACACCTCTGGAAATGAGAATGCAAGAAACTAAAAGCAGAAGGACTGGGTGATCGTCTCTTTACGAGACAGTGAAACCCTTCAGAGCCTCTGTCCTCGCACTGAATGAAGCCGACCTCTACCACTTGGCAGAAGGCCTCTGATTTGGGGGACTCTAGGATCAACTGATAGCTGGGGTACCACATTAAAAACGAAGATTAAAGTTTCCAGAATGAATGCTGAGAATACCAGTTTCCTTCTCTTTTTTCATTTGCCAAAAATTGGGAGCCAGTGCACAACAGCTATGCAGAGTTCTGATATTCTTCTCCTGGTCCTCACACTGGCCCAACAAAGAGATCTAAAGCTACTGACACTGGGAGTTACCCTATGAAATGGCCCAAGCAGATCGTCCTGCAGTGAAGATCACAGTCAACGTGTCTCACCTTCAAGAGAGGACAATGTAGCCATATAGAACAGATGTCATAAAATGAACTTTGAGAAACAAAAAGAGCTCTTGAATTTTTTCTTAAAAAGATGGCAAAAAAAGTTCTTGATGGAAATCAAAAATAGAAGGATTGGGGGGAAAATGAGGAAATCTCCTAGAAACAAAGAGATAAAAAACAGAAAAGAAAAGAAAATCAGAGGATATGTCCAGGATGCCCGACATCAGAATAGTGGGGGTACCAAAAAGAGCTCACAGAGAATACAAAGAAAAAGACTTGAGGAATAGCATAAGGAAGTTCCCCAAAACAAAAGGGTGTAAGTTTCCAGACTGAAGGAGTCCACTTGTTCACATAAGGTTGAAGAAGTGGGATGGATTAAACATCTCAATGGTCACAATAGAAGCTAGAGGACAATGGAGGACAAAATTCTTACAGAAAATGACTGCAACCTAGAATTCTATTATCAAGCCCCTCCCTCAACTAGATGAGGTTAACTAAAGACACTTGCCAACACACAAGGTTCTCCCAGGGAGCAATGTAAAGTATTCCACCAAAGCAATGAAGTAAAACAAGAAAAAGAAGTGGGGTCCAAGTCACAGGGCAAGCAACACAAGAGAAATGAAGGACTCTCCCGCTTCACCACTGTTCTGCAGATCCCTAAATCAAAATTAGGCAAAAAGTCTGGAGCGTTTAGAGGTCAGAGACTGTGGAAGAGATGGCTTCAAGATGAAACTGATAAGGTATCTGATTTGTGAACATACTGAGGGGAGAGACTTTAAGGCTGTTAGTGCTAAGTACAGAGAGAGCTAACAATTTTAATTAATTATGAATTTTTAAAAATTAATAATTCCCAGGAAAATAAAATGTTGAGCAAGAAAGGAAAAGTAATCATAGTAAACTTGGTAGAAGAGTGTTATAATATTCATAATAATGTGAACACTGAAAAATTATCTAATTGAAACTGCTACCCTAACCATATTGCAAGGCTGAAGGAAAAGAAGGCAAATGTGTACTGAGAGTAGCCTGGAAGAAGGGGCATATAAGAAAGAACTAAAAAAGAATTAAAACCTCATCTTCCATTAGAGTCAGATAATGTCCTTAACTAAGAAGTCAACAAAGAGCAATGAAAGAATGCTATTTAGAGGTAAAGGTGTGAATACCATGAGAAAGAGCTGTACAGAGTAGGAGAACGGCAAGAGTGGGACTAATTTTCAATACAAGTCATTTGGAACTATTAGACTCTAAACTATAAGAACATACAATTGAGCTATCATACCAATATCTCCAGGGGTTATGGCCTAGGACCCTACATTTAAAAAAAAAAATCACAGTTGAACTGACGCTCAAAGCTTCTCAATATTCACTGATAAAGGCTACTTTCAAAGTTCCTTGAAACTCCAAATAGCAAACAGGACTCAAGATCTTGAGTACCTTCCACCTTACTCATTACATTGTAAGGAAATAAAAGGACATTTTATCATTTCATATACATAGGCACAGAGTTTCTAGCTCCTTCAGAATAAAGCTACAGAGATGATGAATTACTACTAGATGTAGTTACTACTACAGGGAGTAGTAACATGGCTACTCATTAAATTTAAATAGGAAATTGTTGCTTTCCCTCATTATTTCACTTTTAAAGGAATTGTTTTAGGGATTCCATTTATATTCAGTAATTCTCCAACACTAAAGTCCATTACCTTGAGTCCTGGTGCAGGATAAAAACCTTCAACTAACTTGCTATTATCAAAAAGACTATAGGCCCCATCCCGTATTGCCACAACACCTCGACTTCGGCAGTATATATCAATGCAATACATGTTCCTGAAGGCCAGTCGGATGTGGGTGGACGACTGTGGCAGGATAGAGAAGCACTGGTAGGCAGTGTTGGTTCTCTGGGTCAAGCCCAACATTGGCACAGTGGGCAGTTTGTTGATGGCATTCAACGGTGCCTGAGTATCAAACAGTACCTACAAGGAACAAACATAGTGAGAGCAGCCAGTTTCTGTACAGATGCTAAAACCTCAGAATCTTCAAGGCAAAAATCATCACAAATGAGACAATCTCCTTCTGGCACATTCTGTAAAATTAAAGATGAGTTAAGTCCACATGAGTTTTTGAGGAGTTTTATATGACACACTGAGTCTTATTTTTAAACAGAAAATAAAGTTTATTACCTGTAATAACTGAACCACATTTGGTGTTTTGTTGAACATTTCTTGAAGCTGATGGAGAATGGTATTGTGACAGTTACTGCATCCTGAGTTTGGACCCACAGTTCCCAAAGAAATGTGAAATTTCTGATGTATGGAATTCCATTGGATACTAATCTAAAGCAAAAAGATTATGCTTCAGAAACCAAGAAAGGAAAAGATACAAAGAGAAGAAAAAATCTTTAAACACTAAGGCAAAATGCCAAAGATCTAAATGAGGTCTTTTTGGGAAGCAACTTGTTAAGATTAGACTCTGTAAATTCCAGATGTCCTGTCACTATGGATCAGTACATTCACTGAGTGTGTGAGTTAGCCCACTTCTACTAAATTTCTGATATTACTTTATGTGGAAGAGTTCAGAAAGAAACTAGCTAGCTGAAATCTGTATACTAAATTTCTAGGACTTTACATATGGGGTGGGGAAAAAATAAGAACTACAGATTATGGGGAATACCTTCAAGATTAATATAGGATCAAATAATGTTAACAATCATGTGACTAAAAGCGTAGACATACCGTATTGTTCAAGACCATTTGTACATAATCTTCATTATAGTAATCACGCTGCTAAGTAGATTTGAAATCAGTGAAGAAAGAAACACAAATACCAAAAGTACATTACGTTGCCAAAACTCTTAAAAAATACACACTCCAAAGAGGGTATAATTTTTGTTTTCAATTTTTAAGAGTTAACCATTATGAAATACTATAACAGAGTATTTAAAAATATCATTTTATCCCTAATTTTTACTTGTACCCTCAATTAATTCAAGAAAGTTTTCATAACTGTTGAATTCTTGATTTTTTAAAAAGACTTATGAGAGGAACTTTAGTTTTAAGTAATTCATAAACTTACTGAACTTCCCTTGGTGGTTCCATAACACAAGATAAGTTTTCGGTAATTATAAACACGAACTTCTGAGAAAATGTTTAGATGAGTGGGTATGTCTAAACAGAAAGAAAACAAAAAGGAATTTAAGATTATACATGCAACATTTTAAAATATATATGTGAAAAAGAAGAGATCTTGGTAATATTATATGCCTAGACAGAAAGGTCTCTCTCTTTATAACTTAGTTTAAAAAAAAGAAAGAGAAAGAAAACAATAAAAGATCAACAGCATAAACAGCAGGCTCCAATTTCCATTTGGACTGACAGGGGCAGGGCTGGGCAGCGGGGGAGATGTACTGAAGCACATTCAGGGGTTCCAATTCCAGCCCTGTCTTTTACTAGCTATATGAACTTCAGCAAGTTTCTTTTAAGTCTCTGACTTGTTTTCTTCATTTGTGGCATGAGGAATGGTAAATTACCTCCCTCATAGGGTTACTGTGAGGAATGAATGAGTTAATACAAGCAAAGTGGTTATTACATTTATGGCACCTAGTAAATTCTCAATAAGCACTACTATAATCTTGTATACCTATGTGTAAACATTTCTGAATATATACAAATTGTAACAGTAGCTGTCTCCTGGGGAAAGAAATTAAGTCTGAGGTAAAACAGAAAACTTTTCATTAGATATACTCAGGATTTTTTTTTTTAACAATGTACATGTTGTACTTCCTCCAAAGGCATTGGGACAGGGAAGGATACTTGCCCTCCCCCACAAGAAGATGATCACTTGTACCTGGTAGAGAACGTGCAAATTCCAACACACACTCATATAATCGTGCAATGCTATTCCAGTCATTAAGGAACATTTCAACCACTTTTCTACCACCAACGGGTTCAGACAACAGGTTTTCATATGTCAGATAAACATGCCGGGATGGTCCTGCAGGATTAAGAGACATTAATTGGAATCAATACTTAAAAAAAACCCAAAAAAACAAAAGAACAGAAATAGAAATATGCAGACAAAAGTGTATGAAGCATCTCACCTTGTTCCCTGGTAGAAGTGCCATTAAGTGGACAATTTGCAAACACTAGTTCTGCCACCCACGTGCGGTTATTTCTACCTTGTAATCGGAAAGTGCAGTCAAGGAGAGAGCGGTCCAGAGCCTTTTGGGTTTCCTCATTTACACCCTTACAGGGAGGAATTCTGGTGATGAAAGATAGCATATGAAGTGTACTTCACATCACAGAAAGACAAAAGCACAATTTACACAATGACAGGCAGGGTATCACAGTAGAGCTCTGGTTCAAACTCTACTACCAGGTACCTTCTGCAAGAGGAGGAAGCAATTCATAGCAATTCACAACAATTAATAGCATTTAACCCACTTTCATTCCTATCAACATGGATCAGGACTCTCATTTTAATGGTGATGTCTGCCTTCGTCCTTAATCTTGTTATTAGAAAAGACTGCAATTTCTCAGAAAATCAAATATACTGGTTTTCTATGAAATCTACCTAGGATATCCTCAAGGAAAAGCTAAGGAAAACAAAATATTTGTAAGACCAGACTTTGAAGGCAGGATGATCTAGTGAAAAGGACAAGGCTTTGGAATCAGGGACCTGCATCCTAATTCTGGCTCAGCCACATTCACCCTCTCTGAATTTGTTTCGCAAGTATAAAATGAAGATACATAATTACCTTCTGGGTCACTGATTTTAAAACATGATGAAACATAAGGTGCCTACAGTAGTTGGTTCAGCAGGTATTCAAATATGTTAGTTTCTCCTTGCAGTAAAACCAAGTCTTAATCACTAACTGCCAAGACAAAATTTCAGGTTCATTATCTCTCCCCGCCTCATTATTTCATTATTTCCCCTCCTCCTTTGTAGAGGTAACTCATTGTGATGGACCTATTCATGTTATCAACTCATTTACCATACATACTGTCTCTTATATATACCACATATACAAGAGGATTGTATTAGCTTTGGTGTCTTGAAATACCCATTTATCTCTTCTCCTCTTGCAGCTTTATGAACTATCTTATTTGTCATAAAACATTATGAGGTAAGATATTTTAGCAGTTTTTTCAGTACTGGATGAAATAATGAGATAATATTTATTTACACACTATCCTTTAACTCATAGGAAAGAAAGAGGAGTTAACTGTCAGACTTGATAAAATGATTATCAAAATCTAAGGCAAAAAACAACAAATATAACTAGAAATACGCAATTTTGGTTCAGGCCTCTTAGATATAACACCTAAAACAGGGCTCCTCAATGTCAGCAATACTGACATTCTGGGCGGGAGAATTCTTTGTTGTTGGGGGGCAGCTATCCTGTGCAGCCTTGGCCTCTATCTACCAGGTGCCAGTAGCATCTCCCACCCCTTCTTCTCAGTTGATGATAACCAAGAATATCTCCAAACACTGCTAAATGTTCCCTGGCAGGGAAAACTGTTCTGAGGTTGAGAACCACTGACCCAGAATAAACAATTTAAGAGAGCAAAAACAGTGGAAAGTTTGCTCAGGAGCTCATAACCAGGCACTACAAGCAGGCTGCTCTCAAGACTTGTATCATCTGTGTGGTGTGATCAAGGCGCTTCTGAATCTGCACCAGGCAATAGGTCCATGAACCAGAGCAGCCTAAAGTGTTTACCATGATATTTTCAGAGATACAGCAAGGAGACCTGCTCAATAGATTTTCATGGAGATAAGCTGAACAAGAACAGACTACATCTTTAGCAAAGAGGAGAAAAATGTGCTCAGTTTTAAAGCTTTGAAGTATCTACTCATATTCCCACTTAATATGAAAATACCTAGGACTAAAAGCTTAAAAGTTTCTAAAGATTAAATGTGTTAAAGCAATTACTTAATAATTAGATCCAGGCCAGATTTTAATAAAATCATATTTAGACATTATTTTTTCCTTCTTCACGTCTATGAAGAACATACCCCCAATAATGGACATCATGTACCAGACAAACAGATCTTTTTATCTGTTTGTATATATTTTCTTAAGTTTTAAATAAAGAAAACAATAGCCAGGATATAGTAAAGACTTTCTTAAAAATTACTGTAAAATGAAAATCAAAAAATATGAAGTGCATTCTTTCTAGGTAAGGACAGTAATGAATTCTCTTGAGCGCAAGAAGAAAGGGGACTGAAATTTGTTTTGTAAAAATGCTGAGAACAGACATTTTAAGATCGCTGAAAAACATGAAAAAATAAGAGAACACAAATGTTATCATCTATTAATCTGCAATTGTCAAGAAGAGTAAAAAGAAACACCCCATATTAGGCAGAAGTAATATAAAACCAAAGGCAAATAAACTAAAAGTATTACATTTCCTTTTGATGTCTATTATAAAACCAGCTCACTCTCTAGAAACCATTTTGTGCATAAATAAATGAAAAAAAAAGAACAAATTATGCTTCCCCAGATAATTTTGCCTTAACTCTAGCCATCAATCATGTCATGATTAGTAAAGAAAATGATTCTTCTAACTATGTAAATCCTTATATGTATGAGTAAAAAGTGGGAAATAAAGTAAGATTAAAAAAAAACAAAACATTTTGTGGACATGGCATTACAGTAGCCAGGCAGGGCAGCTTTTCTAGTTCTTCAACTCTTTATCTAAAGTGAGCACCACGACATGTGGGTGGAGTACATGCTATCTCATACACCTTCCCCTCTTTCACAGGACAAACTGATTTGCAAGCAACAAATTGGTTACAAATTGATTCCTGCTGGCTCAAACTGCAGAGCCATCCGTGTCTTGGCAGACAGAGGAATTCAATAAATGCTTGCTTTTATGGTTTATATTATTAAGCAACATCTAAGAAACAATACAAATGCAAAAAAAGAAAACTGCTTTCTGCACCAAAAAGGCTGACCTCTTAAAAATGGCATTTGAGCTTGCAAGTCCATCCTGGTCAACTCATAAATCACACACGCTGCCTTAGTTTTTCCTCTAAGCACCCACTGGCCCCTAGTCCTCTACTCATTTAGAACCAAGCCCTCTGTACATCTCCCTCCATGTACTTTTCCCCAGTGATCTAAGTTACTATCCCAGCTTAATTATTTCCACCTTGGTAGTGACTCATCTATTTCCCCTGCCCAGACCTGTCACCTGAGCCTGAGACACATCCTTGCCTGTCCAAACAGATGTCTAAACACCTCGAACTTAGCAAAACCTCTTCAAACTCACATCTTCATTCCCGTGTCTCAATAAACACCACCACCATCCATCATCTGCCCAAGATAAAACTAAGAGCCATCTCTGCCACCTTCTACTCTCTCTCTCACTTTCAATATCACTTATAAAGACTTCATCCCCTAAGTCTTTATGGAACTTGCCCTGGTCCAAGCTACCAACAACTCTGGTGTGAACCATTTCAGCAACTGGCTTTGCTACTTAAGTCTTGTTCCTCTCCCATTTATTCTCCATGTTGCTATCAGGGCAAGTTTTCAAAAAAAAAAAAAAACCCATCTAATTATGTCAGTTTCTGCTTAAAATCATCTGATGGCTCTTTCCTGCCATTCAGATAAAGTCTAAATTCCTTAAGGACATTTACACCAAGGCCCTATAGGATCTGACCCTTCCTGTGTACATCTGTAGGCTCATCTCCCCTAACTCCTGCCATGCCCTACTTCTTTCAGTTCCAGGATGCCGAGCTTTCTCTCCTCTCTAAGCTGTCATTTTAGCAGTTACTCCTTCTGGTTGGGGCACCCACTACCACCCTAGCTCCCTTTCCTCTGGCTAATTCTCACCTCTCCTTCAGTCTAGGTACAACTTGTACTTCCGTGGGGATCAGTCAGTTCAGTCGCTCAGTCATGTCCGACTCTTTGAGACCCCATGAATCGAAGCATGCCAGGCCTCCCTGTCCATCACCAACTCCCAGAGTTTACTCAAACTCATGTCCATCAAGTCAGTGATGCCATCCAGCCATCTCATCCTCTGCCGTCCCCTTCTCCTCCTGCCCCCAATCCCTCCCAGCATCAAGGTCTTTTCCAATGAGTCAACTCTTCGCATGAAGTGGCCGAAGTACTGGAGTTTCAGCTTCAGCATCAGTCCTTCCAATGAACACCCAGGACTGATCTCCTTTAGGGTGGAAATTTCCAAACTAGCCCAGATTCCCCTGCTATATGAACCCACAGCATCCCAAAGTGCTCTATCAGAATTCAAGCCTGACACATACATTCAGTAAACATCTGCTGAATGAATGAAAGAAAGCCAAAGGAAGGACATCCTAAAATACCAAGAGGTGCTGGATCTCCACTTGGCAGGTAAAAGAGAATCCTCTCCTAGACTGTGTAATTCCATACAGAAACTGGTGACATCCACAGGTTCTGAACTCTGCTTTATGCTGACTCGCAGAAGGAGCAGCACTGGCAGTATGGCTGCAGTGTGTGGCACCACATCAGACACATGACAGGGACTTACTTCAGTAAGCGAATTGAGTGGCTGAAGCCATCACCTTCCATTTGCACTCCTTGATGTGGAATCTCCAGATTGGACAACTGGAAAGAGAAAGGTACAGTTATATAAGACCACCAATTTTACAAAGGCAACTACCTTTTCTAAGTACTACTGTCTCTCTTCTCATGGCCTCTGTTCTAGAGCTGTGAGCATTGTCCCCCCTCATCTGATTTCCTGGGGATCTAAATAAGACTGGTTTCCTTGTGTGATGCAATTAACGTCTATTTGAAAACAAAGTTTGAGTCATACCCACATCTCATTTTTAATCACAAACAGTATTTTTCAGTTTACAACTTTTCTGGAATACACTTTTTTAAACAACTATTTCCTCTGTGAAACTCAAGAAGAAAAGATTTCCAGTTGATGCATTTACCCAGAGACCCTGTCAGTGGAACTACAGGTTATTTGGGTATGCCGGGAAGTCATTCTAGTCACCTAGCAGAGGAACACACTTGCCTTCAAGCAGATAGTCCCAGGTCTTCTCTAACAGACTATTTTATATCCACCTTATTCCAGAAAGGATTTAAGGCAGCCTTAAGCATGTCACTGAGCCCTGCTCTTTGGGCCTGGGAAGAGCAGAGGTGTAGAAAAACAGCTGCTGACCATGAAGTAGGGCTCCAGATTAAAAAGACAGCAAAGTGTGGGAGAGCTCAAAAACACTGCCTCTGTTCTATGGATCACAAATATCAACATTCCTGCTAAGATCAGATTTAGTTATTCACATCTCAGTGTAAATTACCTTAAGCAGAAAATGTGCTTGCTTCTGCCTTTAACATCTTTTCAATGAGAGAAAAGAAAGTTTTTAAGAGCTTGATTGAGTTCAATAGAGTACTACAGAATGTTGAATAGCCTACATGTGCGACAGGTATAGGAACACAGAGAAGGAGAAAAGAGGCCATTACGCTTACAGGGTCTATGTGGGCACGACAAAGACACAAGCTTTTGCAACTTCTGGCCTGTGGGTAATGAGGAAGACAGCAGACAATGACTGAGGCACTCCCCCTGGGTATCATGCAGCCTCCCATTCCACTGCAAGGGAGGAACTGAGTGACTTTCATGTAATCCATCCACGTGTTGTGCTTAGTCACTCAGTCGTGTCCAACTCTTTGTGACCCTGTGGACTATAGCCCGCCAGACTCCTCTGCACATGGATTCTCCAGGCAAGAATGCTGGAGTGGGTTGCCATGCCCTCCTCTAGGGGATCTTCCCAACCCACGGACTGAACCCAGGTTTCCCTCATTGCAGGCAGATTCTTTATTGTCTGAGCCACCAGGGACGCCCAATCAATCCATGTAGCATGATGAAAGAGCCCAACAACAGAGTCCAAGAGTTAGAAGCACAGACACTGTAGGAGCTCTGGACAGTTCCCAGACAAGGGACACTCACCAGAAACACAGTTGTAGGAGCTGGGACATCGAGGACATGAGGATCTACTTTAGTCGCATATTTCTGGGCTTGGATTTTCTGGGCTACTGCTGCTCCTCACAATTTCACACCCTAGTTTCCGCCTTTAGATCCTGAAGCCCTATAAAGCAGCAACTGGCATACCATAGCTCATGGGCCAAATCTAGCCACTGCCTGTTTTGGTAAATAAAGTTTTACTGGAACACAGCCACACTCATTTGTTTAAATATCAACTATGGCTGGTTCACACTACAACAGCAGACCTGAAGAGCTAAAAAAGAGATGGACTGATGCTGAAGCTCCAATACTTCAGCCACCTGATGCGAAGAGCTGACTCAGTCAAAAAGACCCTGATGCTGGGAAAGATTGAGGGCAAAAGGAGAAGGGGATGACAGAGGATGAGATGGCTGGATGGCATCACCGTCTCAATGGACATGAGTCTGAGCAAACTCTAGGAGATTGCAAAGGACAGGGAAGCCTGGCATGCTGCAGTCCATGGGGTCGCAAAGAGTCAGACACACTTAGTGACTCAACAACAACAATAAATGACCCACAAGACCTAAAATATTTACCATCTGCCCCTTGATAGAAAAAGTCTGATTATTTTCGTGCAGCCCCCAGCGCGGTGGGAGGGAAGGGGTGAGGCTGAGTCGCCCGGAGGAGGCGGAGGGGCCAGGCGAGGCCGCGGTGGCCCGGGAGGCGGCGGCGCCGAGGCGGCTCTGACGGGCGAGCGCTCGGAGCGGCGCGGCGCGGCGCGGCGCGGCGCGGCGCGGCGCTGCGCTGCGCCGAGGCGGGCGGGCGGAGCGCGGCGGGCGGAGCGCGGCGCGTGGGGCTCGCCATTAGCCGTCGCTCCGCTTCGCCATCTCGGGCTTTGTCTGGCGGCTTGCTGCCCCGGCGTCGGCTGCGGCGGAGCTGCGGCTCAGCTCTTCGGCCCGCAGCACCCCTAAGGTGCCCTTGGCCCGTACTCCCATTCACACGCTCGGGTGAGGTGGCTTTGACCCCGGCTTGCCTGGCCAGCACGACCGAGGAGGTGGCTGGACGGCTGGAGAATGAACGGAGAAGCCGACTGCCCCACAGACCTGGAAATGGCCGCCCCTAAAGGCCAAGACCGCTGGTCCCAGGAAGACATGTTGACTTTGCTGGAATGCATGAAGAACAACATTCCATCCAATGACAGCTCCAAGTTCAAAACCACCGAGTCACATATGGACTGGGAAAAAGTAGCATTTAAAGACTTTTCTGGAGACATGTGCAAGCTGAAATGGGTGGAGATTTCTAACGAGGTGAGAAAGTTCCGTACATTGACAGAATTGATCCTCGATGCTCAGGAACACGTTAAAAATCCTTACAAAGGCAAAAAACTCAAGAAACACCCGGACTTCCCAAAGAAGCCCCTGACCCCTTATTTTCGCTTCTTCATGGAGAAGCGGGCCAAGTATGCTAAACTTCACCCGGAGATGAGTAACCTGGACCTGACCAAGATTCTGTCCAAGAAATACAAGGAACTGCCGGAGAAGAAGAAGATGAAATATATTCAGGACTTCCAGAGGGAGAAACAGGAGTTCGAGCGAAACCTCGCCCGATTCAGGGAGGATCACCCAGACCTAATCCAGAATGCCAAGAAGTCGGACATCCCCGAGAAGCCCAAAACCCCCCAGCAGCTGTGGTACACCCACGAGAAGAAGGTGTATCTCAAAGTGCGGCCAATTGAGATTATGCGTGACTATATCCAGAAGCACCCTGAGCTCAACATCAGTGAGGAGGGCATCACCAAGTCCACCCTCACCAAGGCCGAACGCCAGCTCAAGGACAAGTTTGATGGGCGACCCACCAAGCCACCTCCAAACAGCTACTCGCTGTATTGCGCAGAGCTGATGGCCAACATGAAGGACGTGCCCAGCACAGAGCGCATGGTGCTATGCAGCCAGCAGTGGAAGCTGCTCTCCCAGAAGGAGAAGGACGCCTACCACAAGAAGTGCGACCAGAAAAAGAAAGATTATGAGGTGGACCTGCTCCGTTTTCTAGAGAGCCTGCCTGAAGAGGAGCAGCAGCGGGTCCTGGGGGAAGAGAAGATGTTGAACATCAACAAGAAGCAAGCCACCAGCCCAGCCTCCAAGAAGCCCTCCCAGGAAGCGGGCAAGGGAGGCTCGGAGAAGCCCAAGAGGCCCGTGTCAGCCATGTTCATCTTCTCGGAAGAGAAGCGGCGGCAGCTGCAGGAGGAGTGGCCCGAGCTCTCAGAGAGCGAGCTGACCCGCCTGCTGGCCCGCATGTGGAATGACCTGTCGGAGAAGAAAAAGGCCAAGTACAAGGCCCGGGAGGCGGCGCTGAAGGCCCAGTCGGAGAGGAAGCCGGGAAAGTTGCCGGAGTCGCCCAAGAGAGCCGAGGAGATCTGGCAACAGAGTGTCATCGGCGACTATCTGGCCCGCTTCAAGAATGACCCGGAGAAGGCCTTGAAAGCCATGGAGATGACTTGGAACAACATGGAAAAGAAGGAGAAACTGATGTGGATTAAGAAGGCAGCCGAAGACCAAAAGCGATATGAGAGAGAGCTGAGTGAGAGGCGGGCACCCCCGGCTGCTGCAAACTCCTCCAAGAAGATGAAATTCCAGGGAGAACCCAAGAAACCTCCCATGAATGGTTATCAGAAGTTCTCCCAGGAGCTGCTGTCCAACGGACAACTGAACCACCTGCCGCTGAAGGAGCGCATGGTGGAGATTGGCAGCCGCTGGCACCGCATCTCCCAGAGCCAGAAGGAGCACTACAAGAAGCAGGCCGAGGAGCAGCAGAAACAGTACAAAGTGAACCTGGACCTCTGGGTCAAGAGTCTGTCTCCCCAGGAACGTGCAGCATATAAAGAGTACATCTCTAATAAACGTAAGAACATGACCAAGCTGCGAGGCCCGAACCCCAAGTCCAGCCGGACTGCCCTGCAATCTAAGTCGGAGTCTGAGGATGAAGATGAAGAGGATGAGGATGAAGACGAAGAGGATGAGGAGGAGGAAGATGATGAGAACGGGGACTCCTCTGAGGATGGTGGGGACTCCTCCGAGTCCAGCAGCGAGGATGAGAGTGAGGATGGGGATGAGAATGAGGAGGACGATGAGGATGAGGATGATGACGAGGACGACGACGAGGATGAGGACAACGAATCCGAGGGCAGCAGCTCCAGCTCCTCCTCCTCGGGGGACTCCTCGGACTCTGACTCCAACTGAGGCTCAGCCCTACCTGGGGCTCCCCTCCCCAACTGATCACCTTTGTTTCTCCCCCATGTTCTGTCCCCTGCCCCTTGGCCTCCCCCACTTTCTTTTTTTTTAAAAAAAACAAAACAAAACACGGTGGGGGTGGGGGGGGTAGGCGCTGGAGGCGCCCAGGCCAGAACTCTGCGGCCTCAGAGACATCAGCCCTGGGGGGCCCTCCAGGGAGCGTACCCATCAGACTGAGCCACCACCGGACTGGCCCAGCCCACCCCTCTTCTGCACTTGCGGTTTCTGGCATGGACAATTGACCCGGGAGTGGGACGGGGGTCCCAAAGAGTTCAGTGAGGCCCCCTACACCTGCAGCCCGACTCAAGGCAGGGTGGAAGCTTGAGGAAGACCCCTTTCTTTCCAGAGGGGCTTGCAGCCTGGACCCCTACATTGGAACTGGAGGCAGGGAACATGGGAGAGGAAGGTGGGCGCCTATGAGAAATAGGCCTTGCCCCATGGCCCTCTTCTTCCCTGCCCCCTGCGGGAAGGAGCTGCCTGGACCCACTTACGGGGGCCGGGGGGAGGGGGCAGAAGTGTTTTTTATATATGTGTATATATTTTTTTTTAAGCTCTGAACTGTCAACGAGACGTTTCCTACCAAAAAAAAAAAAAAAGAAAAAGTCTGCTGATTTCTGCTCTAAAGCATCTAAGTGTTTTCAACAAGTCTTCCCAAGACTATCATCAGCCTAACAAATAATCCACTTCCACATTTCTAGGTCTTTCCTTCATCACCAATAATTTACAGAAGGGAGAAGTCTTACATAAAGTAAAACTTTAAGCTAGAGGGAAATAATTAAGATTTTCATGTATTACTTTTTAATTGTTGCCAATCCTTGGCCAAAGTCCTTTTTGGAAATACAAAAACACAGGTTCTGTTAACCTCCCTTTCCTTTCATGCTTGGGGATCATGCTGAATATCACAATTGAGTACTCTTGAAAGACACTAACTTGGCCTAAGTCTATTGCTTCTTCCATGGGAAAAAAGTAAAAATTTAGTTTAATACTCGTTCTGACCTGCTCTCACAAAGGAACCCAATTTTATTAGTAAGCAATATGTACAGCTTCACTCACTGAAAAATAAGCAACCCCTTTAACTATTAACCATCCCTAAAAAAGGTAAATAATGTCCATTCGAGGTATACAAGTAAGGTTCTCAAAAGTTGTCTTTATTTTTTTTTTTAAACTGGGAAGAATTTACTTCCCATTTCCACAAAGAACAGAAGGCCTACAATTTGGAATCAGAGATAAATAATTTAATAATCTCATGGTATACACATATACCATGAGATGCTGTGATTTCAACCCTACCCCTCCCCAAATAAACAAGATCACAACCATCTGGTTCTCCTGATGGAATTCATGTAGCTTTAGCAAGGCATTTAAAACATTACTCTTTGGGTATCCAAAATTTTTCCAAAATATTACCTCCAACCGAAGTCCTACAAATGGCATGTTTGTATCACACATAGCGACAAAATGAGCTAGAACTTTATTGAAGGCACGCATTTCTCCTGATCGTTTGGTTTTCTTGGGTTCTACTGGACATACATCATCAGACAACTAGAATTTAAGTAAAGAACACAAGTGGGTTAAAAAAAGAAAAAGTATGTGATGCAATTAGTTAAGCACTTGGACTACTATAACAAAAGTCAAAGTTAACCAAAACAAATCTTAATTCATTCAACAAATGTTTACTGAGCAAATATTGACCCAAACACTGGAAATTTAGTAGTACATATTATGCACTTAACAAGTTGCCTTGTGGGAAAGGGTGTACAATTAATCATTAATCAAAAAGAAGCATTTTCAAGAATGTGTAGACATTTGTTACCTAAACCTTACTGTTGGTCAGCCTCTTAAAAATCATACCTAATTCTTTCCCATTTAAAAATAGTTATAAGAGTACAGCAAAGTTAACAGACACAAACCCTGGGCTCATTTCTGTTTGTGAACATACCTTGCGCTTGGTACTGGTTCTAGGCTGTTTCCCATTTTTTGTACGATAAACTGATTCCTGGAGGTTTTCCTTAAACTGCTGCAGCAAGAGGGCCATGAGAGGGCTGTCTTCACGATCCACTGCATTCACAGACAAGAAGTAGTACTTGTACGACAGTTGTGTGGGTTTATTGGGAACTTCCAACATCTCTACAACCTAAAAAGGTCCAAATCAGAAATGAGACTCTGAGACACAACTAACTGATAAGTGTTGAGTATTTTCCTCCTTGTATCAAGTAGGGCTCAGAATTATATATCTAATGCAGATGACTTTTTAAACAAGGACAAATCAATCATGATCTCAAAAAAAGCACTGCAATTAAATATGTAATTTGTTTTCTAAAAAACAGATCAGACTAAAGAACAATGATGAAAGAAAAATGACAACTGTATCTCATACTTGGAAGGATATAAAAATAAACCCTGATTTTTCAACTGAAATATACAGTCACTACGAGGATGAGGATAACAAGAACATGAACAATAGTTAATACCGATAGTTTATCATGTGCCAGGTACGCTCCTAGTGAGTGAAGTGAGTGAAAGTTGCTCAGCTGTGTCTGACTCTGCGACCCCATGGACTATTCATATTCAGTTCATGGAATTCTCCAGACCAGAATACTGGGATGGGTAGCCATTCCCTTCTCCAGGGTATCTTCCCAATTCAGGAATCAAACCCAGGTCTCCCACATTGCAGGCAGATTCTTCACCAGCTGAGCCACCAGGGAAGCCCTATACTCTCCTAAGTACTTGACAGATGTTAACACATTTAATCCCAGTAACTCAATGAAGTAGGGATTCTTATCTTCACTTTTCTGATAAAGTTAGGCACAAAAAGCTTAGATTAATTGTCAAAGGTCTCAGAGCTGAGAAGTGACAGACTCACGCTCTGATCCTAGAAGTCTGGATCCAGAGACCCTGCTCTCACTATAAAGGCTTACTATTTTCAAGGTCTACCTAAAGTTTAAGAAGAGTTCCCTAAATACTTGAGTGAGAGAAATAAATGGCACTGGACAGGGCTCTTGACCAACACACACTTTTCTGTCTCTGTTCCTGTCTCTCCCCTCTCTCTACCCCACCTCCCCACATAGTCTCTTCAGGAAATTGTTTGGCCGACACTTAAGAATCAACACTGAGGAAACAGAAGAATTAAAATGGAACTTCACTGAAGATATATGGACAGCAAATCAGCAGATGAAAAGATATTCAATATCATCAGTCATCAAGGCAACATAAATTAAGACTACAATAAGATACCACTACACATCTATCAGAATGGCTAACATTTTCTTTTTTAATTGCAATAACAAGTGCTGGCAAGAATGCAGAGCAACTATAACTCTCACGTATTGCTGGCAGGAATGCAAAATGGTCTGGCCACTTTGGAAAACAGTTTAGCAGTTTCTTATAAAGCCAAATATACACTTAGCGTGTGACCCAACACTCCCACTTTTAGTTACTTATCCAAAAGAAATCACCAAAAAAATTTATATGCAAATACTTATAGCAGCTTTATTCACAACTGCCCAAAACTGGAAACAACGCAGATAGCCTTCGACAAGAGGCTAAACAAACTGTGATACATTCATACCACGGAACACTACTCAGCAATAAAAAGAATGAATTATTATAAATACAACAATATGGATGAAAATCAAAGGCATTATGCCAAGTGAAAGAAATGACTGAAAAGCTAAACTGTAGAGACAAAAAACAGGTCAGTGGTCACTAGAGAGAGCAGGAGTAAAGTCTGATTATAGAGAGGAAGCATGAAGGAATTCTAGGGGGTGACAGATAGCTTCTGTGTCTTACTGAGATGGCAGTTACAAAACTGTATGCATTTATTAAACTCCAGACACTTAAAAGTCTGAATTTTTATTGTGTTTAAATTATATTCTAATAAAGCCAGCAAAAGTAAAATAGCAAAGACATTTAAAGGCAATAAGACTTTCCTCTATTCTTCTTAAAGGCTATGGTAGTTTTCGCCACTATTATGAATGTATCATCCTAAGTGAGAAGGATGAAGAGTGATACACATTCAGTTTGGTCTAAACCATGTGAAACAAATTATTGCTTTATAATAAACCACTAGTTATTGAAACTGAAAGCCTGGCTTTTTGTTGATACTAAATAAAAGTCAGAAAATACATGTAGATCAGGCAGCACATGGAGAACTGAAACAACAATCCTGTCACATGCCAAATCCAGTTTCACAGCTGGTGTTTTAAAATTCAGAAGACAGTGAATTCATATCAGTGAGACTTATTCGTCAACATAAGTAACCCTAACTTAAGATATATCAGGCTACAAAGGGTACCTTTTGATGATAGTATCTTTTTAAAAGTACAGCTTAAAGCTTCAAAAAAATTCACTCCCATTGAATTAAGTTTTTCAAACACCTTAGAATCTTAGCCAAAAGTATCTACTCGGTGTACACAAAAACTTCTACATGCAGGAAATACATTTATGAAATATATGAGTCCATATTTCAAATTCTTGCAAATTTTAACTAGTTCAATAATCTGAAGGAAACTACTAGAAAAATCTAGAAAGGGTGAAAAAGGAATGAGGATTTTACTGTGTACTGAAAAGTACATGCTATCAACAAAATGGATATATATACCTTCAATTAAGGATGAGAAAATAAAGCTAATTTAGTCCATCATGTTTAAAAAACAGCATTATGCAAGCTAACATTTGATTAAAACCAAACAAGTTTATCTGACACCAAAACATCTCCAAATCTTCACAACAGTTGCTTTCAAATTTTTTCTTATATAGAGGAGATGCCTAATTCCAAGCAGAAACTAGGCCTCACTATAGGACAGATCCTGGGGTGAGGGACGAGGCATACCTTATATTCCCCAAACCTGCCTAATCATTGTATTATTTCCTACAGATAAGATTTTCTCTCTGCCCCATCCCTACCAACTCTCCCCTCTCTTGGCTTGAGAATCATTATACAAAATTCAAATATCCAATAAAAAATACATTTTCAAATTAAACTAAACAATAAATGATTCAAGATACAAATAGAATTATTGAACTCAATCACCGAAATCACCCCTTTGCATACTTACAATGTAGTATTGTGGAAGACGGGTAAGTCTGACAAACAGCTTATTCTTAGAAAGGTTTCCTATGGGATGAGTTGAATAATTGGACAGCTGCAATGTTTCACTGGTTATTGTAGGCAGGTGTTTTATAGATTGTTTGCAACGCTGTTGTCCAAGCCAAAACCTTAGTTTAAAAGAGATCATCCACATCACAAAATCATAGACTTCTGATAACTGTGTGCTACTGTTTTACAAATAGATTATTAAACCCCACTAAGAAACCAATTAATATATGAAACTTAACTGAACTACTAAAAGGACATATGACCATAATGATGAATCATTTCTCTAGTTTTGTACTGGACCGTTAATTTTAGTTTAAAGAGTTTAAACTGCAGTGTGAATGACCTTAATTAGTTATAAGGTAGAATCCACTAGTATTAAGGCTGAGAAAGTATCAGTTTATTATAGGAGATGAAAGATCTCCTGTGGTTTATAAGACAGCACAAACTAATCTCAACATCTTTTATAAAATGCATGAAGTGTTTATAAACCAAAACAGAACAATAAATAAATATAAAAGTATCTCATTTTCCTGGTTATCACTGGAGATCTCCAGTTCCAGTTTTTATCCTGCTCATATAAAAGTGATGGGTATGTCTTGCAGGTGCCAGTAAGTGTTCAATTACCCTCCTCTCTCAGTTAAGCCACCAGATTTCACTTTGTTGCTTTTACTGTAGTACCCCTCTCATTCATTTTATCTGGGTATCTACCCTAGAGACCAATATCATATTAACATGTGAAAAAGGTAAAACGATAGGTACACAAACTCACTGATCCACCATGAGACGACTGAAAAAGTAAGAATACACATTTAGAAGCTTTTCATAGCAATATAACAATGCCACAACATCCAAGCTCATGATCAGTCGGCTTGTCTTATGTAACAGGGTACAGACCAGTTTGGGTGCTATTGCACTTGTGTGATGAGCTGTGTGTGATACAAAATGTGTGCTAGCTATGTGCAGTAAAACCATAGTTAATGTATAACATTTTAAGAGCAATTTGAAAACTATTACCCCAAAAATGTATAAAATCTGGAAACTGCTTTTTTATACTGAAAAACAAATTTAACTATAGCTTCACAGGATCAACTGCTAGAACTGGCTATTAATAAAGGAATGATGATAAATTTTTAAAATATACCAAAACTTACTTCATTTTGGAAGACAGTTAAAAACATATACCCTGAACTTGCCAAAATTGCTTTCAAATCTCTACTTCCAGTCTTATCAACATACTTTGTGAGACTGGTATCTCTACTATGTATGTTATTTTTTAAAAAACACAGAAACATTTAAGATAAACATTATCTCCTGTAATTATCATCACCAATCCAACTTTGTTACAACAAACCAGAAACAAGCTCTTTTGCCACATTAAAAATTTTAAATATATTGCAAATATATGTAAATTATAAATATGAATAATAAACAATATATTCAGAGCACATATGGAATTGCTATTTCACTCAGCTTTTTTGTTATGACTTTGTGGGAAAAAAGTTTAAGCGATGAGTAACTTGTCTATACATGTATACGTTCAATGAAAAATGTATAGATTTTGAATTTTTATTATTTTTTGTTCTGATCTTATTTATTGAAATGCAATTGTATGACTATTGACTCTAATAAAAAATTGGGGCTTGTATTTTGAACGTTTTTTCATTTCTTTTTTCCTAGAATTTGTTTTCAGTGAATATTATTTAAAAAAAAAATCACATGAGCAGATGCCCAATACTAATAGTCCCTAGAAAATGTAAATTAAAACCACAGTCAGATACCTCGTCACACTCACTAGGGTGGCTATGGTCAAAGACAGTAACAAAGGCTGACAAGGATGTAGAGAAATGGAAACCCTCATACACTGTTTGATGTGACTGTAAAATGGTACAGTTACTTTGGAAACTAGTATGGTAACCTCTTAAATAATTCCACTCCTAGTGGAATGCAAAGTGTACACATATATTTGCACATGAATACTCACAGCTGCATTATTCATAAGAGTCAAAAAGTGGAAACAATTCAAATGTCCATCAAACGATGAATGGATAAATAAAAGGTGGCCTAGCCATACCATGGAATGTTAGTTAAGCACAAAAAGGAATGAAAAACTGGTACATGCTTCAACATGGTTGAATCTGGAAACATTATGCTAAATGAAAGAAGCCAGTCACAGAAGACCACATACTTTATGATTCCATTTTTATGAAATGTTCAGAAAGGGAAAATCTACAAAAACAGAAAGCAGATTCATAGTTGCCTGGGGTGAGGCTGGGAATGGGGATTAACTGTAAATGAGCATCTTTTTGAGGCAACAGAAATGTTTTAAGTGTTCTAAAACTGGATCATGGTTACGGTTGTTACAAAACTCAGTAAATTTATGACAAGACATTGAATGGTACACTTAAAACAATTAAAGTCTATGCTATGCAAATTATATTTCAATAAAATTATTTCAAAAAATTAATGTCCCATGATAGATTAGTGATAAACTGATCAAAGATCATCTGAGAGGCATTATAAGTGACAACCAGGGGACCTTTCCTATAAATAATGTGAGTTTAAGTACAAATACATATTTGATAAGTTTAAAGCTTTTGGGATTTGACGTCTTGGTTTTAGGCTATATTTCTACTAGCTGGAAATGCCCAACAACCTCAAATTATGCAAAATATGAATTATTAAGATTTAAGTATTAAAAGCCCACTGAACAGTCTGCCCCACCCCCACCACACCATTTGCCAGTTTGGTTTTAATCTCTGATATTTATTTTTATTCCATGGAATTCTGGTCTGTTAGAGTTGCCATAATGATACCTTTGTGTACCAGGGTGGTAATGAAACCTCAAACAATTATCTCTAGCTTCATTTTCAATTTTATTTAGTTTAACAGTCTGAAGCACTCAAAGAATTCTGAGACAAACTGAATTGAAGCAGATGACTACTCTGAAAGTATCAGCTGGTCGATTCATATCATGAAGCTTATCCTAAGAAGAATCTACTACACAGAACCCTAGATACAATAAAATTCATTGTGTAAGTGATTTGTAGAGGGCTTACACAGGAGATAACATGACAAGGAATCAAAGTTGAGTGTCAAGCCCTTCATACCTATATTTGCTTTCGAGAGGAATTTGATATGAAGCACTGCCATCTCATACCTAATTCAAGAAAATTTAGATTCTAAGTACCAAAAGGGGCTCAAGCTTCACATCATAAATAAAAAGGATAGTGGCTGATCAAGAGTAATGATGGGGAAGAAAATGTATCTTGTCAAAATAAGTTTCCAATTTTAGTTTTGAGCTAAATAAATAGCCTTACTTAAGCTGTTGAATCCAAGGAATGATCCGTTTCATATCATCATTCACAGACTTCTCCATGTCATCCAGTGTGGCTTGGTCTATAGCATAAAGCACTTCATTAATTAATGGCTTACATGAGACACAAGATATCCAAGTAGCCCAAAATTCAAATGAGAGTTACTGTTTCAGGCAGAAAGTAGTGTTATTTTGAGTTAGAGAAAAGCTAAATGATAACACATCATGAGGCATAAATTAATCTAATTTGTTTTCCTTCTTTAATATTTAGGGAGAGTTATAGTTAAGATAATTAATAGCAAGTGTACATTAGCAGGAAGAATGAGTAACAAATACATAAATTCTTTGCCCATATTTTAATTACCCAAACTCTTAGTCTAGTTAGTTAACATTATAAATGTGTATGTATTTAAAACTCATAGTATTACTAAACTTAGAACCTTAAAAATTACAAAAACTGTAAAACTTCATTAAAATGTTTATTTATTAAACACAAACGATCTCTGGCATAAGCAAGAGCTGTTGGTTGAAGATTAGCTTGCTAAATAAGCAAGAGCTGTTGGCTGAAGATTAGCTTGCTAAATGTCACTTAGAATTTTTAATGACATGAGAAAATGCTAATAATAGAATGTTGAATAGAATGCTAGATTTCTAATTAAAAAAAATAGATATGCAACAAGCAACAAAAGTTTACTGTATAGCACAGGGAACTACAGTCAATATCTCATAATAACCTATAATGGAAAATAATTTCAAAAATAATACATGTGTAAATGTATAACTAAATCACCTTGCTGTGCACCTGAAACACTAAGTCAATTATACTTCAATAAAATACATATATTAAGAAAAAGAATGTTGAACAAAAAGCAAAATATAAAATGATTTCAACTAAAAAAAAGTAGAGAAAAAATTAGAAGAGCACTGCTATGGGCTGAATTGTGTGCATGCTCAGTCAGTCATGTCTGACTCTGTGACCCCATGGACTGTAGCCTGCCAGGCTCTTCTGTCCATGGGATTTCCCAGGCAAGAATACTGGAGTTGGTTGCCATTTCCTTCTCCAGGGGATCTTCCCGACTCAGGGATCGAATCTGCATCTCCTGCAATGGGAGGTGGATTCTTTACTGCTGAGCCACCTGGGAAGCCCATGGACTGAATTGCATCCTCCCAAATTCATATGTTGAAGCCCTAGCTCCTAATGTGATAAGTGTATAGAGGTGGAGCCTTTGGGAGATAATTAGGTTTGGATAAGGTCATGAGGGTGGGGCCCTCATATAAGATTAGTGCCCTTATAAAGAGACACCAGAGAGCTTGCTCTCTCTCTCTCTTCCTGCCATGTGAGGACACAGCAAGAAGGCTGACAACTATAAGCCAGGAAGAGAGCTCTTACCATAACTTGACCATGCTGGCAACCTTATCTCATACTTCCAATCTCCAAAACTGTGAGAAAATAAATTTCTGTTGTTTAAGTCACCCATTCTGTGGTTCTCTGTTATGGCAGCCTGAGCTAAGACAAGCATACATCCCTTAAAAACAATGATTACCAACAGGCAACTGTTTACTGCTTCTCTCATTTTTACACATTCAGTTTTTCTACTTATATGAGTATGTACTATTTTAATTATCAAGAAAACCATTAAAGTTTTGAAGAACAATTTCCTAATGTGTCACTTATCATTTAGCCATCATAAATGTGATGTAATTCAAAGTAGTGAGGCCAGTTTTTTCCATGAGCAGTTCATAGAAAAATCTATAGTCATGTAATATAACCAGAAAGAATTTTTATTTTCATAAATCTGGCTTAAAATTAATTTCAAATGGGAAATGTGCTAACACATTCAAGAATACTATATCATTAGCAATACAAAAACACTAAGTTTCCAGTATTTCATCATTTCAGAACACCAACTTGGTAACAGAACATGCTAGAAATCAAACTTCAATTTCTACTGTGTTTAAGCCAGGAAAAAAAATTCTTTCCTCCAGGATTCTATATTCAACTCATCTTGAGATATTTATACTGTCATAAATTTGTTCTTCAGTCACAAATGACATTAGATTGTAGTCTTCTCCATGATACCCAACTATTAGTGGTAAAACAGTTAATCTAAGAAAAGATCAGCCATCAACATTATTACTTTTACATAAGAGAAACAACATGAATGAACTTCATATTGGGAAGTTTAACTTCTGGTACAAGAGAGTTAAAATGGGCCCCAAGGAACAGACATCAACTGGTTATTCCTTCCATATCTACTTTCTATATACTGTTTATACAACCCTTCCCAATATCTAATGGCAAAAATTTTTATTCTGCTTTTGTTAAAAATATTTTTCTTTATATTGAGTGAGTCTATCATTTAGTAACTTACCAAGTCCATAAAGCATCAACTGGAACATTCCAGAATGCAAATCGACAAAAATGTGTAGACACTCTGAATTACCACAGGGCTCCAAGATGGGAACAACAAGAGCTGGAAGTGCAGTCTCTATGGAAGCTGAACAGTTAAAAATTTTAATTATATTTCTATCTGAATATTCCCCCCCAAAAAATATATATATTTCTCAGCAAGTAGAAATGAACCAACTACTGAATGATCTGAATGTTAGAGAAAAGACATAACTTTGCTAAACTAGATTAGTACTATTATGTCAATAACTCAAAGGAAGAATATAACCGACAAGGTGACCTGAAACAAACATACCCATCCCAAATACTACAGTCAAAAAAAAACCAAAAACCCTCCAAGATTCCTTAAAAAAAGGTTAAAATAGCTAATGAAAATTTAACCTTATCAACGAGGTGTGTTCTAGCTTTGCTTTCAGTCAGTAATTACTAATAAGCTAATTTTATGGGTTTTCTTTTTGATATGTGTGCTTGATTGCTCAGTCCGGTCTTTGCAACCCCATGGACTGTAACCCACCAGGCTCCTCTGTCCATTCTCCAGGGGATTCTCCAGGCAAGAATACTGGAGTAGGTTGCCATGCCCTCCTCCAGGGAATCTTCCCAACCCAGGGATTGAACCCAGGTCTCCTGCATTGCAGGCGGATTCTTTACCATCTGAGCCACCAGGGAAATCCCTTTTTGATATAGTGGGGGAAAAAAGTTGTTTGGTAAATAAAGTAAATTTCATTCACAACCTAAGTATTTTTAATGCCATTCTTCATAAAGAGAGATTTTTCTGGCAATTAGGGCCCATATATTTAAAAAAACATTTGAAAGCTATTAAGCATTATTTATTATACAGGACAAAGTTTTTTCAAGTTATTTATGTACCTCATTTTCAAGTCACAGATAAAATAAGAACAGAGGCAAACTACTAAACACAAATTCCCAATACTCATTCTAGAGTTTCAAAGTATTTCCACCAGGCCCAATTAACTTTCTCCTTAATCTCACAAGTTAGCATAACAAAATCCAGTAGGGAAGCAAAGTATTGAAAGCACACCCACCGTGTGCTAATCAGACTGATGACCTGCAAAAGGAATATGCTCTCCTGGTTACCACATTCCTCTAAAACTACAGTGCAGAAGGCAGGCAGGCAGTGAGGAGAGTGGTAATGTAGGCTCAGTCTTTCCCCAGGGGTGACTTCTCTATGCTACTTCATTAAAGAAGGGCAAAGACCTCTTCCTGTCTACACCATGGGTTCTCAGGAAGAAGCAATGACAAGCTTGTAAGGGTGCTTTGAAAAGCAAAGTGCTCAATAACATATATTATCTGTATTCCTTTCTGAACCAAAGAAAAAAACCAAAACCTCCCGCTATATTAACTGCAACAAGTAAAATGGGAGGTGTTGCCATTGGTACTGCCTATACAAATTACTAAAGCAAAAAAGATTGCAGGAAACATATTTAATCAGATGAAAACTAACTGCTTTCCAGTATATCTAATGTACTTGCATACAAATCTTTAACATGCAGGTCCAGCTTAACTCTCACCTAAAACAAACCAATAGGACAAAAAGGCACAAACAGGAATTTCTTTTACAATATTCTATATTCAGATTAGCGTGAAAAAATGTAAAAATGCTTACAGACTTGAAGCAGACTTGCAGATTTTTAAAACACAGCTGTACATCTTAAATCCTAACAGGATAGGAAGGTATTCTCTAAAGCAAAACTATTTTTAAAGTGTAGTAATGGAGTAAAACTCTTGACAATTGGGATCACAATTATAATTTCCATCTAATTCACAAAATTAAATATTTTTGAAACAACAGGGAATCAGAGAAGAATACAGAGAACACAGTCCAAAAAATATTAATAGAAAATATGTTCATATATATCTCTGAACATATTTTATGGTTGCCAGTGTCCGTATTTTTCTTTACAGAAATTACTGTAAGGCCCTGAGCATTTAAAGGCAACAGGTTTTAACGGAGAAACTTATAAAGAGACCATTAAAGGCTGTGCAAGATGACCAGGCTGCACACTAGTTTTTCCTGCAGCAGGAATATACACACATCTCCTCTTTCATTTCTCCCTATTTATTGAGGACAAGAGGAATGGACCAATAGACAGTAATATAAAGTGGGAAGACTAAGAGAAGCAACTAAGCCCCATTAGGAATTGCTGTGTGTGGTTCACAGCTTCTGAAACTGATCTCGAGACCCTGAATCTGGCGCTGACAGAGGACAACTAGAGGGAGAGCACCCTGGCTTCCTCGAGTCAGGTGACGCTGAGAAGGGGCCACAGGACAAGTTACCTTTACTGCCTTACATTGCCTTTTAAAAATTTCTCTCCAAGAGTCTTGCCTAGAGGGTGGGATGTTTCAAGAGAACAGCATCGAAACACGTATATTATCTAGGGTGAAACAGATCACCAGCCCAGGTTGGGTGCATGAGACAAGTGCTCGGGCCTGGTGCACTGGGAAGACCCAGAGGGATCGGGTGGAGAGGGAGGTGGGAGGGGGGACCGGGATGGGGAATACATGTAAATCCATGGCTAATTCATTTCAATGTATGACAAAAACCACTGCAATGTTGTAAAGTAATTAGCCTCCAACTAATAAAAATAAATGAAAAAAAAAAAAAAAGAGTCTTGCCTACTCTTCCCTAACGCTATCTCACCCCTATCTCCCACCCTCAAGAAACCACACACTATCCCTTGGGCTGTCCAAAACCTGCAGTCTGTGCTCTCCCTTAGCCCTGTCTTGAAATGCTCCATTCTCCAAGTGACTAATTTCCTCGGCTTATCCTAGTGAGGAGTTGGAAGAAAAGACAGCTAATGAAGGGTTAGCTTCATAACCTTCATTAATGAAGGTTAGCACTAAGAGATTCCCAGAACAGACTATGGCCCCTCATCCCAGCAAAGGATCTGACAAAAGCATGCTTTCCCACCACAAAAGCGATCAAGTGAGGCTACGCTGAGTATAAACGCATGAACGTGAATTAAAAAAAAAAACTTAAAGTATATGTCCTAAAAGGGTGGGTCAGCAGACCTTTTCCTCATTTCCAGAACTGCTCTGATTCAAGTAGGGCTGAGGGCCCAACCCCACATGCAAGATCCTCCCTCTCCTTCAAAACTTACTCTCCAAAGCACCCTTCTCTAACACTGAGGACTCAACAGATTCACAGGGCTTGAAAACCACTGCTACAGTACACTCCTACTAGAATTAGAGATCCAGGAAGAGCCCGGAGTAACATCCTCAAATACAGATGAGGAGAATGAGGCCCAACTTGCTCAAGAGCACATACCAACATCTTCTTCCTACTCAAGCAGTGATATCGCTACAAAGTGCTACTCAAAGAAAATCTTCACAACTTCCTCGAAAAACACACAAAATTATTCCCAGGTAAACACATTTTCAGAGTCCATTTTTCAAAGTAATTTAAATATCCCCCAGGCAATCATACTGAGTTTTTTTTAAGTAAGCCTTGTTTACAGATGATACTAAAGTAAACCAGAGCCTATCAAAAGATCACAAACCCCAATTATCTACAATCCCAATGTTACTATTTTGAAAAAATTGAAATTAAAATTAGAAAAATTAGGATTGTGAAAATACTGTGGGCACAAGGTAATACCAGTCAAAAATAATTGGGGTTGGGATAGTAAATGTTCTCATCATGATACTGGAAACTGTATTCCTAGAATGAAAGCACTTAACTTTCTAAATGACTGACCATTCGTCTCCTAACACTCTGAATATACTAGGTAATTAGAAGATTTTTCACTGCGTGTACACCTGTATTTATTTTGAACCCTGTTGATATATTAACAATTCAAAAAAAACTTTTTTGAAGACATGGGATAAATTTAGCTTCATTTCAAAGAGGCATATTTTATAAACACATTATAAATATTTGCAAAGCTGCCTTATTAACATTTTAGAAGAAAAATTAGAAGAATGAGATTCATATTAAAATGTTAAGCTACCTTCTGTTTCAATAGGGATGTTTTAAGGAGAGTCAATAGGCATACGTTTCAAAAATAAGGTCAAGCTAAATGAGAAAGAAGAAAGTAAGGGGAAAATTAGGACAAGCTTGATAGATCATAAATTAAAAGGCAGAAATGCCCAGCTTTTACAACAAAATCAGTACATCAGGGAAAAAAGTCATTTTAAAAAAGACTCTTCATGAAATAAAAGCAGATGCTAATTTAAACAAAAGACAGACATGCATGCTAAGTTGCTTCCCATCAAGCTCTGTCCATGGGATTCTCCAGGTAAGAATACTGGAGTGGGTTGCCATGCCCTCCCTCCAGGGGATCTTTCCTACCCAGGGATTGAAACCACATCTTTTTATGCCTCCTGCATTGGCAGCCAGGTTCTTTACCGCTAGCACCACATGGAAAGCCCCAGAAATGTCAATTTAAAAGAACCTACAGTTTTCATTAGCATTGACGCCTCTAAGAATGGCCTTCAGTTCCTGAAGCTTCTGATGAGCTCGTGCATGGACACTGTCAATCAGGAGTTTTTCTATTGATAAATGATCAATCTGCATAAACAACAACAGAATCGTAGGTACAATTGAAACATTTTACTTTAAAAGTCTGACAGTAGATGACTATGTTTCAAGTTACTTCCCTTTAGAATCACACTGATGAAGTGTTAACCAATAAAAGAAAGCAAATGTAAACAATGGTATTGATAGTTTAAAGGCTACAGTTAACATCTGGCAAGTACAGATCAAGACGCTGTTAATCATAGTTATCGTGATTAAATGGCAGATCTTAACAAAAATTAAAAGGTGATCTGATCTAAATTACAAAATTTGAAAGAATATCTTAAAAATTATACCATACCACATTAGATGTTAAAACAACCACAACAAACTTACCAGCATAACATTCATTTAAAATAAATTTCATAACGGGTTTTAGGAACCGTTAGGTATTTTAAAGAGTTTGTGCTAAAAGCTTAAGTAGAAATGATAAGTTACGTTATATTCATTTAATCAAGCCAATATTAAAATATATTGAATTCTTTTACCTTCATAGCTCTTTCTACTAATTTGGAATCAGAAGCTGGCAAAGGAGGATCATGAAAAATCTGTAAAGGCTTGGAGGCATCATTCTCATCAATTTTAATTGTAACTTTGTGAATGGATGCTGTCCCTGTTTTTCTCCCAAGAACCTGCTGACTAAAGAGAAAAAATACTAAGCATTAATATTAAGAATTTTTTCCAACCATCTGTTAACTTCTGGAATAAAAGAGTCTACTGTGCACCTTATCCAAAGTCTAGAACACAGCAGAGCCTCACTCTTGGTTGAGGGAATATTAATATTGGCAAGACAGCTATTCTGTAATCGAACACAATATGATCTACTACATTAAAAAAAACCACATATACATAAAAAATCCCCAAACAAAACAAACTTTCTCGAAGTGGTGCCTATTCACCTCTGATTCCTTTACAGAAAATGAAAATCAAGCAAAGTTCAAATGGAGAATAGAGGATTGTAAGTCTGATAACTGACTTTCCCCAAAAGTTTGTAAAAAGTTCAATTCAAAATATAACACTGTGACAGGCAAGGATTTTTAAAAGATGATACCCAGTAATTTAACCTACTGGTGGTCTTTCAACAATCCGGTTTGAAGCCAGAGTAACCTAATCTTTTAAGAATAGTAAGTTTTAGTACAAACAGACAAATATCTACATATTTAAAACATTCCATGTTCTAAGAAAGGTGCTAATTATGGATGTCCTATGTGGTTTATGACACCATGGAACCTTACCATACAAATTCAGGTTGTTAGATATTCAGAGATATACAGTAAATCAGATGCATGAGAGAAAAGGAGAAACAAAGGTATTTACAGTCATTGCATGACGCCACCAGAATCAACTTTACTTACTTCCAAACTGAGAGGGAGAGGCACTTTCCTGCATGATACCTTTCCACCTGTACAAGGTCTCCCCACCGCTCTCGGATTAACATTAGAGTTTGAGAATGTAGCACTTCTAACTGAAGTGATAAGCAGAAGGAATCTGATGGATCTCGTTAAGCAAATCTAATGTATTACTACAACAGCCAAAGAAGTATAAGCAAACTTCATGTAACAAATGCTCTATTCCCCAAAAGTTGACCATTATATTTCTCCAGTGATGTATATAAAAGGAGGTGCGATTTGCGACATAATTTTAGAAAAAAGTTTTACATTTAATTTTGAACCAATATAAACAAAAGGTCCAGGTTACCCCTTAATTCATCATAGTTTAGAGAATATGGGTAGACAAAATAGTACTATTTTTTCTCTCCAAAGAGTATTATTTCTACCTCATTATTTAAAATTTTTACCTGCAAAATCAACAGTAAAACGAAAAGCTTGGTTTAAAAAAAAAAAAAAGATCTACCATTATTCTTTACACTGGCCAGTACCCAAGCCCCATTTCCACCCTGAAAGGGTAAGGGAGAGAGTTTAAGCTGCTCCAGTTCAGGACTAGAGGCAAAAGAAAACATGTGTGTGCTGGGGCGGGGGGGTGTTGTTTAGTCATTTAGTCGTGTCTGACTCTTTTGCGACCCCATGGACTGCAGCACACCAGTCTCCTCTGTCCATTCGATTTCCCAGGCAAGAATACTGGAGTGGGTTGCCATTTCCTCCTCCAGGGGATCTTCCTGACCCAGGGATCAAACCCACATCCCCAACACTGGCAGGTGAGTTCTTTACCACTGAGCCACCAGGTAAGTGTGTTGGGGGTAGAGGGATACAAATTCTTCACAAATACAGGGCTCAAATTTCAGAAGGATACGCAGGCAGTTGTACATGTCCTGAAGAGGTTTCTCATCAGCAAAGAGCCTAGATTGTACCAGTTGATGGATAAAGTTGATCTGCATACTATGAACCAAGGCTCGCCCATCTTCCATTGGCAGGAAAAAAGAAGGTGGTTACTCAGAAAAGTGTCCAGACTCTGTCATAGACCAACTAAGGAAGAGTATACTAACGATAAGTTAAAAAAAAAACCTGAAATTATCTATGAAAACTACTGATTATACTATAGAAATACTGAAACCTTTGTGGTTAGTAGGGAGTTATGATTATCATAAAATCTGTTTCAAATTACAGGATAAATTGCTAAACACATGTATTATTCTGCAAGAATGTAGCAATAACATAAAAACATCCAACATTTAAATCAGTACTTATGATTTAAATCAGTATTTATGACTTACCTCCTGTTTCCTTATCTTCAACGAGAATTTCTAGCTTGAGAAGACGCCACGGAACATCAGGGTCATCTCCCATCACAGTCAAGGTGGCTTCAAATTCTCCTTCAACTCGAAACTTCACTCGGCCATTTGCTTTTAGAAGAAGAAGAAATAGTCTACTTTGCTAGAAAATAAGCAGCCTCCTCCTGCTAACCTAGAACTTTTCAGTCTTGCTCACAAGAAATTTTAAATAGATTGAAGATTCTTTCATAAGTGTTCAAACAATTCAGTATTTCCTACATTAACAGTAGCCAGCTTCCAGGTCATTAAGAAATCAAAGGCAACTCTTATAAACATCAAGGAACAATATTGAGGCTCAACTCTAGGACCCAGGCTCTCCTCCAGCCCCAGGTGATCTTGCCCTCTCCTCAGCTTCAAATACCGGCACTGGATTTCCAGATACAGTGAAATGATATGGCACAAATTACAGTTTCAAACACCACCAAAATTGTAGGTAAAGACTTCATAATATTTTAAAAGATAAAACTCCCAAAAGCTGATTTTAAAAATATTCTAACAAGTCAATTCTTTAAAAATATATTCCAAGCACATACCAACTGTAAGATTTGCTAACTGAGGAGGAAGATCCGTGGTTACAAGCCGATGTCTAAGAATCTGGTTCAGCTGGTGAAGTGTAGCTTGTTTCTCAATTTTGGTAATTGGGTCTGGAGGAATAATTTTATCCTACAAAAATGTTCAAGTGATTTAGAAATAATATACAAAGAGACATAATTTTTACCTGCGCCTGCCCTAACACAGTATTTTCTTACTTTACCTGAGAGAATCTCAACACTCATTTCTGCAGTCTACATCAATAGTGACCATTACTATCATATATTAGTGTCAATGATTCCACCAGTCGCCTGGCTAAGATAATGATGCAACACAATCTTCTTCATGCTCTATTTATGAAACCAACTTAATGTCACTAGATGATTTCTACCACTTCTTAGAAGTATAAAATACAATAGCACCGAGTGAATAAACAACTACAACAAATTTTATAAAAAACACCTCCAAAAAGCAACTAATGTGCCATATTTTCACATCTGAAATAGATGTTACCTTTGCAAATCTGTTCACCCTCACCTAAATGAATACATAACTCATTTTGATAGCTACTTATGTTCGGGCTCCCATTTATTTCAACACCTCCCCTCCCCCAAATTTTAATGAGAGAAAAAGCAAACTACATGAAATATTTATTTTAAAACACAGAACATTTTTTTTTGGGGGGGGGGACTGGGCTACTTATTAATATTCTAGAATCTAATGCCAAAGCCTTCAATTTTGGGGGGGTGGGAACACACTTACCCTGATGCAGGTTGGAAGCCGTGGATAAGACCCAGTAGTCAGTACATCAATAGCATATGGGATGGCAAAACTAGGCAGGCGTGCATGGACCAGAGCATCTCTAGCTAATGAGGCCAGGCGATCCGCAGTGTCCACAAACAGGATGGCTTGCTGATCTAAGAAGCTTGAGATCATCTTTAAAGCAAAAGGTAAACGCATTAAGCTTCCTTGAAAACTAGCCACCTTTCTTTCACTTCATATATCATTTATCGATTCCAAAATAAACCTTAAGAAGTAATAGTTTTTCCATTCGTCAAAATATTTCATCAAAAAAATTTCTAGTAATTTGAGCAAAGAAATAGTTTTAAAAACCAGTAACTTTCTATCAATTTAAATAAAAGGTTTCCCAATTCATTTCTCCATCCTTAACATTACACATACATATGACAAGTTAGGAAAAATAAATAGAATAAAATGCTTTTTCTCTTACAGACTTCTAGAGTTGACTGGTAATAAAGTAGATATAAATGCATGGACTCCTGGACCCAGACTGCCTTGGTCTCAATTTTACTTCTGCAACTTATGAGCGCTGTAACCTTGGGCAAGTTACTTTCCCTCTGTGCCTCTGTTTTTTCAATATAAAATGGAGATGGTTTCCTCCCTCTCAAGGTTGTTCTGAGGATTAAGAATGTATGCATATGAAACCTTTGGAACAGTGCCTAGAACATATAAAACACTTAGTAAACATTGCCCATTATGAGATCTAGGCCAACTTCATGCCCGATACAGAAAACCTTTCCATCAGTTCTCTACTCAATGCATTTCACAGGTGTGCCTAAACTAACAGAGTTCATCCAGAAGCTGAAAACTAATTCCTTTCTAGAACAATACTTAAAAGTCTCTCGTGTCCTTCAAACGGGAAGCCACACTCTATCTTCAAGCTGAACATTACAAACCACATCAATTAGTCTTCACATCTCCAAATTCCTGATTTACCATCCCAAGTCCACTGCTTGGAAATGGTCCAGTTTATCAGTGATCAACTTAAAATATGGTATCCAGAATTAATAATACGTCAGGCTCACACAATGCCCTACATTTTCTCAGCATTCCCACACTTATTATCTGATTTTTACAACTCTAAGAAATAGACAAAAACAGTTAATTACCATCACCTTAGAGATGAAAAACTTGAGGCTGAGGTTCATACACTTGCTCAAAGATAGTCAATAATCAAGAGAAGCTGGAACCAAAAACTTTTTTCTAACTCTTCAGTTAAGACCAGCATAGCCCTGTAGAAATGCTACCTTCCATGACTAGTAAAATGGGAGTCCTACGAATACCACCAACACTAACTTCTAACATCAGGAGCCACGACACTGTTACCACACAGCAACCTTGAAGTTAACTAAAAGGTCTTGATCTTCTGTGCATCAATCTCCTTCAAGCAAGGTCCCCTTTCCCATCCTGAACGTGAAGCATGACTCTACTCTGATTTTAACATATTTAAAACCATTCTGAATCCTGCTTCTTTCAACTTCTGTTACTGGTTTTTATTCAGATTTAGGTCATCCCAAGTCTCCATTCACTTAGGACACTGTAAAAATGCTTAAGCCAAAGAAAACTAAAGATTTCCCTCCAGGAAGATGTGCATCAACCCTCGTGGGGTGTCACAGTATATGCGGCCTACACTGCTCCACCTTAAATGTGGGTAATTAATTAACGAAACTCTCTAAACGGCCTTGCTCAACTCAAAATAAATTAGCCCAGCTGTATTTCTTTGACTTAGAAATCAAATTAATAAAAATAAAAGTTAAGTTTTGAGTTACTTCTTAGTGAATCCATATAGGTCCCTAATGATCACCATGTTCTTTTTTTAAGTACTCACATACCAGCTTTTGATATGATTAATAATAAACTCCTTTAAAATTTTTAACTGAGCACCAAATAGACACTTCTCTAAGGAAAATATACAAATGGCCAAAAGCACATGAAAAGATGTTCGATATCACTATTCAGTATCACTATTCTCATCAGAGAAATGCAAACAAAAAACACAGTGAGGTGCCACTTCACACCTACTAGGATGGCTAGAACCAAAAACGTCAGACAACAACAGGTGTTGGCATGGAGAAACTGGAACCCTCTTACATTGCTGATGGGAATGTAAAATGGTATAGACATTCTCAAAAATAGTCTGGCAGTTCCTCAAATGATTACTAAATATACAGTTACCATATGATCCAACCATTCCACTCCTAGGTATATACCCAAGAGAAATGAAAACACATGTCCACACAGGAACTTGTATATGAATGTTTATATCAACACTAATCATAATAGCCCCAAACTGGAAACAATCTAAAAGTCCATTAATGGATGAATGATAAACAAAATGCAGTAGATCCATACAATTTAGCTATAAAAATGAAGTACTGATACATGGTACAACATTGGAAGACCCTTGAAAACATTATGCTAAATGAAAGAAGACAATCACAAAAGACCATATATTATGATTCCATTTATATGTAAATATTCAGAAGAGGCATATCTATACAGACAGCAGAGATTGCTTAGGGTGGGGGGTACTTGGGGTGACAATTAAAGGGTAACAATTTGAAAATTTTCTAAAACTGACTGTGGTGATGGTTGCACATATCTGTGAATATACTAAAAACCACTGAATTGTACACTTTTATATTATTGTTTTTTGGCCACACCACATAGTCTGTGGGATTTTAGTTCCCTGACCAGGGATCGAATCTGTGCTGCCTGCAGTGGAAGTGCAGAGTCCTAACAACTGGACCACCAGAAATTCTCAGAAATGGGTAGTCTGTACGGTATGTGAATTGTACCTCTATGTTGCTTTTAAAAAAGCTCAAGGAGATTTTTCTTTTTCTTAGCTAGAACATTATCCAGATTGTTTTACCATTAGTCAGAGTTCTATAAACCATGTATTTATACACTCAGCTAAACACTTAATATGTCTGGCATGGCTAAAGACCATTATCTATTAAGAACCTCTAATGAGTCTAGTTAAATAATCATTAAGTTGAGAACACCAAGTGTCAATATGTGAATAACCCTCTAATTCTCCAGTTTATGGACTTTATTCTTGACAATAGCACAAGGGTATCTACATTCACAAAACAAAAATACTGAAATGTTATGTATAAAGTTCAATATGAGACTTTATTCAGAATATGACTTACCGTGACAGCCAGTTCAAAAAATAGGAAAATACTATGAATTAATAAAAGATGAATACAATATGGCTCAATATCAAAACTAAGAGTTTTAGATTTTGCTTGATATTATTTTATCAACATACAGCTCAGTAGTATCAAACAGGTAATTTAAAGACCCATGGAATAATTAGGGATTTAACACTGGATTTGAAAAATTGAACACTTGGATTTTATATACTTCAGTAATACCTAATTCTTTACTGAAAGTCTGAATATCTTTAGGAAAAGATTACCCCAAATTAACTAGCTATTGAAAAGAAACCTTGGGACTTTTCAGAAATACTATACCATGGTTCTTCATTTTGGCCAAAATAGATTCATTAGGCTTGGTGCCCAAATTTCCAAAAACAATGAAACGAATTGTAAACTTTCTGATGAATAAGCTTGAAATAAGTCAGTTTATTCATGTTTATTTAAAAAATTATTCTTTGAATGATGCTTTACAGTGAACAAAAGACTTTCTGTCTACAAACTTTAATTTACCAAGCAAATCAACAGATGAATAAATAAAAGGACTTTTCCCCCATTAAAAAAACTCAATATATGGTACAAGATACCCTCCCTCTTTGACCAATGTTATATAGAAGGATGATATCAGCTTACTCCTAGAGACAAAAAAATCTGTGGCTAGAAATGTCTTCTTTTAACTTTCAAAAAATATATTATTCTAGAATTTTAAGTTCTCAACTTCATAACCTCTTTTCCTTTCACTTTAGCAATTTTCACATAAGCTTTCTGTCTAATGACAGGGGAACTTAGTGAAACTGAAGATATCAAATGCACTGGGCTAAAACTGAGAAGACATTTCAGAAAGTCATGGGCAGAAATGCAATTATGTTATATATTTCTTTCTGAAGTGAAACTTTATGGAATATGCAAATGCCAATAAATCTGCAAATACAGTTATTATAAAAATATTTCAACTTAGCTTGTCAGGTGCAAAAAATAAATTACCTCTACACTGAGTAGCTGATTTGAATTTATCTAGGAAACCTGGCAAATTGAGAATTTGAAAATGATCTGAATATAATTTATCCAGTGTAAGCTTTTTTTGAACTTGCACCTATAAACACTGATAGAACTTTTAAATGTCATTACATAACTGAATGAGAAAAAAGAATCTGGGCATCAATGTCAAGTTCACTTAGAGAATCTATCCATTTTTCCTACAGTGGCTAGAAGGCTACTTGGCCTTGCAGAGCTGGATCTGGAGAACTGACTTGAATTAATGTGGATTAATACATGTTCTCATCATTTTAGGATTTTATTCACTTTATTATAATTACTCTACCCTTTCCAATATGAACTCCTTAACCCTTCTTGAACATAGCTTAAAACTTTTGAGGGGAGGTGTGTGTGGTGGGCATATTTTAGCATCTTTGGTAAACTTCACTACAGGTCACCCTTTTGAATTCAAAAAAGTGACCCAACAGTCAAAAGACCACGAGCTTCTTGAGGGCAGGGACTATGCTTTGAGTCTCAATCCACCATGTCTTTATGCCTTGTGTGCAATAAAGGTCTGGAGAATGAACAGATGAATAAACAAGTATGTTAGTCACTCAGTCATGTCCAACTCTTTGCGACCCCATAGATTGTAGCCCACCAGGCTCTTCTGTCCATGGAATTTTCCAGGCAAGAATATTGGAGTAGGTAGCCACGCCCTTCTCCAGGGGATCTTCCCAACCCAGGTATCAAACCTGGGTCTCCTGTTTTGCAGGTGGATTCTTTACTGTCTAAGCCACCAAGGAAGCCCCATTGAATAAATAAAGGGATAGATATATGCTATCATCAGTTCTGTGGCCCTGAAAAAGCCATTTAACACCTTATTTCCTTATCTGTAAAATAAGAAGAGAATACAGACTCTGCCACTCTCAAAGGGCTGTCAAGAAATCAAGAGGTAAAATTTAGGGAATACTTTGTAAACTCTAAGAAATCATACAAATGTAAACTAACCATTTTCCCCCTTTACATCCAGTCTCATATTTAATGTCTCCAGATATGGTCTACTCTTTTTTTTCTGATTAGGTGGCCATAAACAAAAAATAAGTTTCTACAGATATATACTATATATTATCATACAGAAATGATTACTCACATAAGTAATGTCTCTGAAAACATATCAGCAGATATAAGTTAGAGTTAAAATTTGAAACTATGCCTATTACAAGTTAACATTCCAAAAAGTTATTTTATATAAAATAAAGTCAAAACTTTAACTCACCGCACATTTTTCCACTTTGCCAGCATTATTAGCCCATTTTACTAAAGCTAATAGTCGAACAAAGAGTTGGCGTGTCCGGCTAGCAAACTGCACTATTTCTATTTTCCTTTAAAACAAAACAAAACAACTCTTAATGAATCAGCATATTTGAAGGAGTATTTCACAATTTCATCTGAGCTAAAATATGAATCAATCTGTTTACAACAATTACAATGAAAGAACCCACCTAAAATATTTATCTAAATATGAATTATTGTCACATTTTGTCTACCACCTGCATATGCCTCATTTTCTACCTCAGAATAATAAATCCAATAGAATGCTTAGGCAATGAATCACATTTTATAATTAATTCTATACTACAATAAAAGTTGTTTACTAAAATATACTATATTCACAAATATAAAATTATATAGACGTTAACTGGGTCACAAAGGGAACGAAATTATGCTTCGAAATTGAAACCATGAGTTATGAATCAGTAACATTTTTGGTAAGAGAAAGAAGTGAAAAGCTCCTTACCAAAGCTTGAAACTGTATTATTTTTACAAAAGCAAGGGTCCATTTCCCATCTGGCAGGAGCATGATTTATAAACCTGAATAAAGAACTTAACTACGCAACTCTTTTAACAAACTAAATTCAGTGAAAAGCCTGGATGTTAAATTATCCAAGCAAAGTTAAATAAAGCACTAAAAATAAAAGCTAGGTCTGCCCATATCTATTTTTATGCTATATCCACTACAATGCTTTTTCTCCCAATATCAGTATTTTTATCCTTTCCTCATAAAGCCTTAAAAGCTTTACACCAAAAGCTTTATGTTGTCAATCAGCATGTTAGCGAGACCTCTCAACTTCATGTCGGCTACAAAACTGATAAACCTACCTTCATGGTTTACCTTAAGACACATAAAAAATATTCAACAGGTCAGGAAACAGGCCCCAGAAAGACACCAACGTCCCTCCAAGTGGACTCTGACATGTTAATCTTAGTACAGCTATTCAACGACCTACAGATCCAATCCATACCTCTGCATCTCCACAACAGTAACCCCACAATGCAATGCACCAAAATGAAACCTGCTGCTGCAACATAATCCTGACTGAAGACCACAGAGTCTAGCCTCTATTAAGAGCATACATAGCCCACAAACAACCTGAAAAGCTTCCTGAAGATTCAGCCTGCAATATTATTGGTAGTACAAAGAGAAGAATCCAGGACACTGATATAATTAAGACTGTGCCAGTGTCTGTGAAGGATCCTTAGAGATAAACCAAGCAGAGTGCATCACAGGCAAGACTGGGACACAGCAGAAATGTTAAATGTACAACTCACATCTGGCAGTCACCTTAGTGCTCTCATTCTAACTTAGCAACAGCTTACAGAGGAAGTGAGGTCTCCTCTCCTCTCCCAAAGCAAACATATTTGTATAATATGAACTCCATTTGCCAGATGAGCTCCTCTACTGGAAAGGAAACATAACCCTTTGTAAACTACTTTGACATGTTCTTTTTTTTGACACCACGCTGTCTCAGGTGACAGGCAGCAAGGATTGGTTCTCCAAGGCCCAGTTTCCCTTTCTACCCCAGAGTGGACAGAACACATCCTGATTTTCATTTCCTTCCTTTAAAATGGACCAGCCAAACCATAACACAGGTATGCTTCAAGGTAGAGGTCTCTTTTACCTCTATCTTTTCGATCTCTGTCGAATTCTATCAAAAAGTTCATTGGGAGTTGGGGGTGGAGCAGCTCCTAGTCACTAACAATGCTAAAATTCACCCAAGTGATTTGGTATTAAAAAAAGATCAACCAAGGAGCGTAAGTAGTGCCAAAGACAGAGTCAAGTAGACTATACTGTAGCCACAATTTAAATCTCCATCATCTGGTATCTTTCAAACCTTAATTTATCTTGTTCCCTTGGACTGTGGAAACAAACTAGCATTTAGTTATGTCTTAAGCCCCAACTCCAACTGAATCAAAATTCTCTTAACTATAAATCAGTAATGTTGCTGCTGCTGCTAAGTCACTTCAGTCATGTCCAACTCTGTGCGACCCTATGGACTGCAGCCTACCAGGCTCCTCCATCCACGGGATTTTCCAGGCAAGAGTACTGGAGTGGGGTGCCATTGCCTCCTCTGATAAATCAGTAATAGCAGTAGGAAAATGTCCATTCTCCAAAGATATCTAATAGCATCACTGCAGAAAATGAGAAATGAGCAACCAGCTATCTCCATTTAGTTTTCTATCTTCTGCATCTTTCCACACCCTGAGGCACTTGACCTGGTCAGTTTCTAGAAGACGAGGTCCAGAGCTGGCCACATACCAAGAACTGTCAAGGATGCGGAAATTACACTTCCCAGGGCGCATCTTAAACAAATGGTGTGAGAAGTCACCCTAGGCTCTCTGGGCCTAGGTTCCCGGTCCACAATCCTACTACCCATACCTACACATATCTCCCCCCACCCTCTCTCTCACACTCACACAAACTCACTCACTCACTCATCGATATATCAACACAGATTTAAGGTTTTTTTCATACTCACCTTTCCACATCAGATTTCCTTGGCAGCCTAAGAAGAAAAAAAAAAGTTGACTAGATATATGCACATCTTCATCAAAGTATGATTACGGCCTTTACTTTCACTCTATTAAAATACCTTAGCATTTAGGAAAAACTGGACAAATAGCCACTATAGGCTTGTGTGGCTCCCACTCATAATTTTTATGTTTTCAGCAATATAGCTACAAAGGAAAAACTAACAAAGGAACATTTCTCTTCATTCAAAGTTCTTCAAAAGATACTGCACAAACCTCAAACATTAAAAAAAGCCCAAGTCTTATTAGCACACTACATCACAGAGAAGTCAGAGAAAATCTTCTTTTAAGACCAAATGGTCATGAATACAAGGTACTACTTAGCTGCCAGCCTCTCCATATTCAACAGAACCTGGCTTCCAAGCACCAAATCCCTTCATGCTTTGTTATGGTGGGTTAAGCTAGGCATGGGAAACGGCTAGTGCCATCCAAGGGTTATACAGCAATTATGATGTCGCTTGGTGAGATGCAAATGATTATTTTTAAACAGCTCCAGGAAAATTTTGATCTCTTTTTTGCTAGTTCTGCAGTACTGACAGCCAGCAACCAATGTCACCATTTTCCCTGATAAACGATACCATTTAACACTCTCATATCCACTGATGCTTAGAAAGCTCCTGATCTGCTTCCTGAACCACCACATTCTCCACGGTTCAAGATTCAACAGCCTGAACTCTAAAGCCTCCCCTACATCAGATCCATTCTTGAAGAACACACACTGAGCCACTTAAGATGCTCTTTTCCCACTGACATGCCACAGGTGCAGAAAAACTAAAACCACCTCCAGAGATTGACAGTACAAGGAAGAGGAACTATTAAAATGAGCTCTGGCTTATAGTTACCTACAGTTCTTAGCGTAGACAGTGGGATGGAAGCTCAAGTTATGATCCAAGTGACAAAAGAAACTGGGCAGGAGTTGGAAGGGCCAGCAGATCAGAGGATGAAGCAAAAATTAAGGACGTATTATGATAAGACCGCAAGTAAAAGCAGTTGTTGGCCAAGTTCCTATGCCTGTGAAAGACTCAGAAGGCACTCCTTGAGAACTCTCCCTTGTCCTTAAGAGGGGAGAGAATGAGAACCATGGATGCTTGTGTGCATGTGTGAGAGAGAGAGAAAAAGAGGAGAGCAGAGTCTTTGGGGGCAGAAAGAACAGGAATCATTGTTTCAGCTCTTGCCCCTTGTCCCAGAAACCCTAAAAGGATCTTCTCTTGCCAGAGGTGGTATCATTTCAGGGACAAAGGATAGACTTTGCTGCCTGCATCCTCTTCTCCCCAATTCCTCCTCATCTATTTAAAGTTCCTTTATGGATGACAAGTCCACCACTTGGGGCAAGAGCCCGAGAGTGCAGTTAAGTCACAAAAACCTTATTTACACCAAAGTGTGTAAGATTCTAGCATTTTCTGATTTCAAATTTTTTTTTTAAAAAAAGGTTTTTAAAAAGTAGAACCTAAATCTCTAAAAAAAAAAAAATCACAGCAGAATGTAAACTCTAAGATAAGAGCATATACATGGGTGAGGGAAGGGCGGAAGGAAATGAACAAGCAAAAGAAAAATATTTAGAAATCCAGGGCCAAAAACAAACCACCTTCTTTACTTTCAATACTCCACAAACATCAAATGTGGCAGAAATAAGACTCATAAAGTATACCTTGAACATTGATTTTATATATATAGATATTAATTTATTATATATTTATATATATATTTATTTATATATATTTATTTCTTTATATATATATATATATGAACCCTGACAGTTTCTACCTGGAACAAGGAAAAATACATGGTTTAGGAACTTATTCCTAAACCAATTTTGGTGACCACAAATCAAATGAGAAAAAAGTTATTTTATATAACTATGTATCAAGAACAACAGTGAATTTTCCCCTTAAATTCTCCATGGTCTACAATGGAGGAAACGCAAACAGCAACCCATCCCAATATCTTGCCTGGGAAATCCCATGGACAGAGGAGCCTGGCAGGCTACAGTCCATGGGGTCACAAAGAGTTGGACACGACTTAGCAACTAAATAACAACAACTAAACAAAGGCGGTGAGAGAGAAGACACATCATGTAGGACCTTAAAGGTAGACCACAGTCTTGGTTTGCTCAAGATAGTCCCAGTTTATGCCTGTTGCTCTGACATAGTTATTAATAGTTCCACCTTTCATGTTCAAAAGCATCCTCTTCTGGACCATAAACTTTAATGGTCACTCTATGGGTGACTATAAAAAGTTTTTTACTCTGAGATTGGGAATCATGGGAAAGTTGTGAGTAAGAATATTTCATGAAGGCTATTTCAGGAAGGAAAAAACCATAGAGGGGCAAGGATAGCAGCAGAGGTACCAGTTAGTCGACTACTGCAGTAACAGGAGCAAAGGATTAAAACTTGATGGAATGGTTGAAAAGTGATGGGATTCTGAAGCCAGAGATGACAGAATTTATTGATGTGGGATTGGAAGAAAGAGGAGCCAAGAATTAACTCCAAAATTCCTGGCCTAAGCATCCAGAGGAAGAATAGAGAGAATACTTAGTGAGATAAGAAAGTTTCTTTTTTGCGGGGGGGGTGGGGGGGGGATTGAATGGAATCAGGAGTTTGGTTCTGGATTTGGTCGGTTGAAATGTCCACTAGGTGCTTAAATGAAAGCATGTGGGTATAGAGTCTGCACCTCAGTGGAGAGGTCTGTGCTGGCGAGATAAGTGTAGGAATCATCCTCATATAAAGGGTGCAAGACTAAACCTATATACTTATCCTACAGCAATAAATGTTTCTCTTTTCATAACTAAGTGCTAAAACAGAATAACCCAAGAATTTCTACAAATGCCCTATGGAAAGACAAATTATACAAATTACAAATTATACCCCACGGATAGCGGCAGTTTTCAACATTTTCCCATAGCTATACATAGGATGGGTACATGAGATTTTTCTCATGCCTACTCAAATTCTTATATGACAGCCAACAATAAGCGGTGCAGAGAAGTATACTACCACCATAATCTAATCATGACAGCTATTTAAGTTCCTCATTAGGTGTAGGCTTCTTTCCATCCCCCTCAATAAAGTATATCAAAATTCTCAGAATGATGTCTTACAGGATTAAGTGGAACCTCTTTTTTTAGTCATCTGCAAAAGAACATTTTAACAGTCTCTAGCAACAAATTACTGTGACACTTCACAGCCTCATACCTACATACGCATGTACTTCAACTGAATACACTGTAGTCTACTAAAAGATAAAAATGAATCTAGCTGAAAACTAGTAAGTGTTACTTTCTCTGAACCTAAATTTCAAAAATGTGAAACAGTAACTCAACTATATATAACCCTAAATTTCATAGTTTCTTTTCTTCACACACCTGAAAATCATTAACAGTGTATTCTGATCCTATTCTGAAGGGATTAACACTCATCATATCCCAAGGCATTTTACTGGTAACTTGGTGATTTATATACTCCCCTCATACCCCAAGAGACAGTAACTGCAGGCTAGTTACCAAAAAAATCTTTACTTACTCTACAAGTGTTAAGACTTCAAACAGTCCCAAACATTCCAGGAAAACAAACGTTGGGATCCAATATTTTGCATTCTTTTACATACATCTCCTGAGTTCAAACTTTGTCAGAAGCAATTACAACCTACATTTAAAATGTACCGTAAGAGGCTGTAACACAATTTGTCTTTGGGAATTTTTTTATACGCCCGAGTAATATATATTCCTAAACCCTAAACTCGGAGTCTGGGCTAAAAAAGCTTCCAACCAACAAATCAATAAGGTTCAGCAGGCAAATCGAGCAAAAATTTCAAAGATGGGCTTTTCAGCGAAAGTCAAACAACGTGCATAATTCACAAGTCTCGATTGCTTCATCTCCAGGACCCCAAATGGAAAGCTCCTCCTCCACCTCCGCTGGGCCCCAAGAGTTGAGAAATTCTAGACTTAAGCAGCCCAGCGAAGAGGAGAAAGCCTCTTGCGAGAAGGAGGTGCGAACCTCGCAGCCGGTTGGGCGGGAAGCGGGGGCTGGGGAGCAGGCGTGGATTTCGCGGCACTTACAGGTCCGTCAGCACCAAGAGCTCCGAGTAGGCCCGGTGCAGTAGAAATTCGATGAGGGTGCTCAGCCGGTAGCCAGGGCTAGCCGCGGCTGCAGCGGCCGCTGCCACGGCGGCTCCGGGAGGAGGAGGCGCCGGGGCTGACGCGGGGCCGCCGCTGCCGCTACCTCCGGGCGGGACCAGCTGGTGGTTCTCCAGCTGCACTGGGGCCATGGCGGCACAGGGCCGGGCTTGGCGCAGCGGTACAAGATGCGGCCCTCGAACCTCCCTCCCGGGCGCTCAGTCACCGCGCCTAAGTGGGCGCGGGCGGAGCCGCCGCCGCCGCCGCAGCCGCCGCCGCCGCCGCCGCCGCCGCCGCAGCAGCCGCCGCCGCCGCCGCCGCCGCCCCCCCCGCCGCCGCCGCCCCCGCCCCCGCCGCCCCCGCCGCCGCCGCCGCCGCCGCCGCCGCCGCCGCCGACGCCGCCGCCGCCGCCGCCGCCGCCGCCGCCGCCGCCGCCGCCGCCTACTACTGCCGAGCGGCCTCAGAACAGGAAGCCTTACGCCGGCCGCAGAGGCCCGCCCCCATGTAGCGACGAGCCCGCCGGCTCCAGGGACTGGAGCGAGGGGCGGGGGGAAGGGCGGGGAAGCGGGGCGGCAGCCGCAGAGAAGCAGCGCCCCAGCAACCATTCAGAGGCCGCTCGGTCAGGCAGCCGCAGCGTCCACGGCCCAAGGCGGAAGTCGTTAGGAAGAACGGAAGGGGAACCAAAGGGGGACTTCCGACAGCAACCTGTGCCTTTTCTCCAGGCGGTCGGGCGCGGGGACATTGTGGGGGGTGCGTGGGAGTGGGGCGGGGCCGGCGCGCGGGCGGGAAAAGCGGAAACGGGGGCTGCGGGCCGCCGGAAGTGAGTGTAAGGGCGGAGCCAGTGTTGTCATCGAGAACGTCAGCAGTTGCCCGGCCCTTGCCCTCGCCGCCCTCCGGAATTTAAAAAGATCCGATTTGTACTGAGGTGTTCATCAGCGTTCCCCTGGTGGGTGCAACCCGGCCGGGGAGGACACCCTATTCCAGATGTTTGTGACCTGTGTTTCTGGACTCGAAAAGAAATTGTTACGGCTGAGCGCTTGTGACATCTCAGATCTTTGCACCTCCCACAGTCTGCCCATGCGCCTTTCGTGGGATAGGAGACGTTTCCGTCATTTTTTTTAACTGTGGGAAAAGATGCGAGAAAATATTATTGAGGGTAGAAGAAGGGCCACCGGCAGAATAACTTCACTTCAATGGAGTTGGATATAGGCTGAGCTCCTTACCGACCCCCAAAATCTGGCAGTCCTACCGCAGAAACAGTCTAAATCCTCTACCACTGATTCTCCCACTTGGTTCTTTCTTGTCCCTGCTGTTGAAGTAGCCGCCCTGCCTTCCAAGGACTTTTCAGTTCGTTTTCTATGCCCTACTGCCACATTTTCCCGCTCAAAATGCACGCTTAATATTTTGCTTTCTGATTTAAAGCCATGATTCTCAACCTTGCCTGCACGTTGGAATCGGGGGAGATGGAGGAGTGGGTGGTTTTAAAAAATACTTATGCTCCTCTCCCCATAGATTCGGCTTTAATTAGTCGGGGCTTCAGGATTTTTAAAAGCTTCCTAGGTGGTTTTAATGTGCACTGTTTAAAAGCGTCAATTGCCGCCACCCTTTTCAAATATCTTTTTGCAGAGTCTTATCTGTGACTCAGGAGTAAGAGATGCACTTGCCATTTCCTAAGGTTAAAATACTCTCATTCTTGTCCACTTGTGTAATTCTTAGTCATTCTTGAAGACAATTCACCTGTCTTCTGAGGGTGTAATCTTAATCTCTTGCTCCCTCTTTTGTGATCCTAAAGCACATTTACAGAAACAATACCATCCTAGTACTCATTAAAAAGCAGTAGGATTACTTACAGCCCCCACAGGTACAGTTGCTGGAGGGTAGATACTCTCCCTAACATCCATCCCTATGCTGCTACCTTAGGAAACAAATTGTTTCTAAGTTAGCTAGAATGGTATCATTTCTTTGGCAGTTGTTTTGTTTTATTGAAGGTTCTTTTTCCTCTTTTGAAAACTGTTGACTTCAGCTAAAAAGCCCTGGTGGTCACATACACACAAGATGTACAAGATGGTCCTTAGTTCTCCAAAAAGTGAAAGTGTTAGTTGCTCAGTCCTGTCTGACTCTTTGCAACCCCGTGGACTGTAGCCTGCCAGGGTCCTCTGTTCATGGGATTCTCCAGGCCAGAATACCGCAGCAGGTAGCGGGCTATTCCCTTCTCCAGGGGATCTTCCCAACAGAGGAATGATACCCAGGTCTCCTACATTGCAGGTGGATTCTTTACCATCTGAGCCATCAGGGAAGCCCTTAGTTCTCCAGCCAAGTGTCAAACCCAAGCCCCCTGCACTGGCAGCACAGAGTCTTAACCACTGGACCATCAGGGAAGTCCCTGAGACGGTCCTTAAGGTCTTTTCTAACACATTCTGATTGTGTGATGTTAATAGGATTTTAACTCGGTCTTATTGTCTATATTAAACACAATTATACACCATGCCTTTTAGTATTCATCCTATTGGGCAGTAAGATTATACCTAGAGAAATTACAACCAGTTTGCAAATAAGAAAATTAATGGGTGGATGGGGGTTGTTTTAAAAAAGAGAAATTTTCACCCACATCCATCAGGTTAGATTTTAATGAAATTTCTGTATAGGTATCTTTAAAAATTGAAAAGTTCTAACAGAAAATAGAAAATACAGGAAAATAACTGTATTTTGCTTAAATTGTTGGCGATCAGGGAGGTAATTTAGATGAAAACTCCTGAAAGTGATAGCCCACCTCCCAACCTGATTAGTATAGCCCACCTCCCAACCTGATTAGTATAGCCACAGGCAAATATAGAAGAAATAAGTAAGGAAAGAGGGACAATGTTAGCATGTTTGGCTGAGATACTAAATGAATGGTTCATATCCAAATCACTTTTGGAAATAGTGTAATTTATCATTTTAAAGCCCACAATACAATGTTTGGCATTGTATTAATAGCATAAGTGCCTAATTCTTTCATTCACAATTTTCAATTGTTTCTGTATTTGGTCATCACCAGATTCTATCACACCTCAGATAAAACTATCTGAGGACTAGCAGATGAAACTCAGAACTAGCAGTATGACATTTCCTCAGCTCTTAAATCAACCTAAATGCTAGATCTTTCATGAAGTCAATCTGATTTTAGTAAAAAGAACAGATTGATTGCAAAATACGGAGAAAAAAAGAGAACATTTCCCTTTAAGCCCTTTTGATGGAAAATTGACAAATTGGTACATATACACTTAACCCTTGAACAATGCAGTAGTTAGGGGCACAGACTCTCCCCGCAGCCAAAAATCCATTATTTATATATAGTATACAGTATAATTTATAGTCATCCTTCTTGAACCAGAATTCCTCCTTATCTGTGGTACCTTGATGTTCAACCTACCTCAGATCATGTAGTAACATTTATTGGAAACAAATCTGCATATAATGCAATTTAAACCTGTGTTATGCAAAGGTCAACTGTAGTTTCACTCTGAAACATACAGCTGCCCCTCAGACACAAAAGATTGGGAAAGGAATTGAAAAGTATTTTTTTTCTATGATATTATCATCAGTTCCTCCAAAACAGAGAGCAAAAGCAGTAACTGCATTCATTTAAGAGCTGCTCCATTCCCTGGTGGCTCAAATGGTAAAGTATCTGTCTGCAATGCAGGAGACCTTGATCCCTGGGTTGGGAAGATCCCCTGGAGAAGGGAAAGGCTACCCACTGCAGTATTCTTGCCTGGAGAATTCCATGGCCAGAGGAGCCTGGCGGGCTACAGTCCATGGGGTCACAAAGAGTCAGACAACTGAGCGACTAACACTTTCACTTTCCATTCGTAATGAAGTTGAGGAAAGGAACTCACAATACTGTGAGTATGATCTGATCAATCCAGAAAAAATGAGAACACTTTGATGGCTTTCCATATACATAGAAGAAACCCCAAACTTCTTAGTATGGCCTTTAAAGCTATTAACACAGTAGTCTGCCTGCTTCTCCACCTCTGCCTCCTGCCTCTCTTTCCTTCACTCACTTCACTGTAACCGCCCTGGGTGGGTCTAGTACATGCCATTCCCTAAGGTGTTAGGGCTTATCCACTACTCCAGACACCTGAAACACTTGTTTCCCAGCTCTTCACGTGGCTGCCTTCTCCTCCTCCCAATATCAGCTTAAATGAGAAATCCTCAGAGAGGTCTCCCCTGACTGTATGATATTAGGCAGATGATACAAGGAAGTTCATTGCAGCATTGTTTGTAGAAGCAAAAAAATATGAATAATCTTAACTGTCTCTCAGTAGGAGAATGGATAAGTAAATTACTATGTCTCTACATAGTAGAATAAATTAGACCTATAGGTACCAACATGGAGACACCTCAAAAACAATATGGAATGAAAAAAGCTATTGTTTTCATACTATTCCTATTTTTCTAAGCACACAAAATACTCCATAATTTAATATATTGTAGACAAAGTAAAAAATGTAAATGAGGATAATAGACACCACCTTCAGGATAGTAATTACATCTAGGGAGGGGTAGGGATGTGGTGATGCTTTATTGGTTATTAGCTATTAGTTATATCTAATGGGTTTCTTGGGCTTCCCAGGTGGCTCAGTGGTAAAGAATCCACCTGCCACACAGGAGACCCAGGTTCGATCCCTGGGTCAGGAAGATGATCTGGAGAAGGGAATGGCAACCAACTCCAGTATTCTTGCCTGGAAAATTCCATGGACAGAGGAGCCTGGTGGGCTACAGTGCATGGAGTTGTGAAGAGTCAGACATGACCAAGCAACTAACACACCCATACCCAATGGGTTTCTTGAAGATTGACCAGAAGGAAATGTGACTAATAGCTAGTAACCAATAAAGCATCACTGCATCCCCACCCCTCCCTAGATGTAATTACTATCCTGTAGGTGGTATCTATTATCCTCATTTACATTTTTTACTTTGTCTACAATATATAAAATTATGGATATTTTGTGTGCTTAGAAAAATAGGAATAGTATAACAAACATATTAATATCTGTTAAATCTAGGGATAGAGGTATGATTGTTAATATATTCCGTACTTTTCATTAGTTTTGAACTATTTCATAATTTTTAAAAGTTTAAAATGTTTCTATTAGTATTAATTACACAATCTGCCATAACAAACACCCCCCAAATCTCAGTGATTTAGCACAGTAAGAGCTTATTTCTTGTGCTCACAAAGTTCAGTAAAAATGTGCCTGATGGAGAGGCTCGCCTCTAAGCAATTAACCCAGCGATACAGGCTCTTCTCATCTTCATGAGACAGGCTGGGATCTGGGACCCTCTGCTGCAATGCTTGCACCTGGACACCTCTCCTCAAGCAACAAAATACAAAGAAACTACATGGGACTAGAAACAACTGTGTGCATGCACAGTTAGGACAAATTCTGGACCCCAAAGATACAGAGAGACCAAAAAAAAAAAAAAAAAACACCAATGACCACTTTTGAGGAACCTGGAGCAAAAACTGGGTGTCAGGAGCAAAACCACAGGACCCTTGCACACAACACCATGTAAGAGATGGGCAAATCACCTAAGCCACCCCTCTGGCCAGCCCCTGAACACACCCCTACCCTCAACCGATGTAAGGAACAAGCTTGCCTCCACCACAGGTAGTGAGCAAGGAAAACTGTAGTTTGTTCTCACTCCCCTCTGCTACAGCAGGAGCTCCAGTAAAGCCTTGCCTAAATTTCTTGTCTAGCCTCTGATCAATTTCTGTTGATTGGGAAAGGCCAAGAACCCTGGTCTGTAACATTGGGAAACAATCGCTCCAACCCAGAGA